ACATCATAATAGACCTATATAAACATATATATATATATATATACATATATATATATATATACATCGACATTGTTGGCATCTCATCTCCCGATGCGGCGGATGTGTCCCAGGCACCTGCGTCTTCGGCGCTGCTGGGCTGCACAGTGCCATGGAGGCCGTCCGTACCTCGACGCGTTCGACGAATCGCTACTTCTTCGGCCTGGTGGCCACGGCGTTTCTGACGGCCGCCACCTGGAGGGCTGTGACACCCACTGTTCCGGTGCATTGAACTGCGACATTTTGGGATGGTCAGAATGGGACGAATAGAAAATGGAGATGGTGACCAGTCTCTTGAGCCAATTCAGTCCTGACTGAGCCTGGAGGCTTTGTGAACGGGTCGGCTTAAAGTTGGACAGTTCGCGACCTTTCGAATGACCTGCACAGGAGCGACTGCCAAGCCATTGCTGTTCCAAACCTACCAGAGGTAGGCACCAAAATTTGCTGCCAATGAAGAAGAACAGAGACAATTGGCTCCTGTTAGAAAAGACATGCGCTGATGCTCACATGAAATTACGTGAAAAGGTTGTGATTCCCCCAGAGACCCTGGAGGGCTGTCAAGTAGCTAAGCAAGTTGATCATGGATGACTCTTGGCCCGTCCACTACCAGTGGACATATTCCAAGAATAGACGCTTCGTAACCCCATGACTTTGGAAATTTTGGAAAGCATCCCATCGTACCACATTCAAGAGATTGTCTTTTTTAAGCTTCCAACGTGCCTTGGTGGTTTCACGAGCTTCTCAGCTTCTCGAGCTGGTTCCTGTGATGAATTCAAGAGTGCGAGGATTACCAAAAGGTTGTTGAATGAGACCCTTACAGCATGGGGAGGACAAAGAATAGGCTGTATGGTTTTTGATCAGACTTTTGGCCTTGAATATGACTGGAAGATTGATGAAGGTAGCCCAGGTATCCAGCGTTGAGAAATCGCTCATTCGAGGCTCAGTGCCTTTGCAAGTCTTCACATAAAAAAAACACCCTTTATGATCCTTTATGCTTGTACGGCGTGCTGGGTAGGGTGTGTAGGGCGTGTAGGGCGTGTAGTGTGTAGGGTATTTTGTCCAATGCAAAAAATGGTTGAAGCGTTGAGTTTTACCAGTAGCTCAACAGCTCTCGTAGGTCGGATTTCTGTCAATTGAGACTGATCCAACAGTGCACCCCTTCAAGTGCAAAGAGCATGGCTCCGCGGCGAAGCCATGCTTCAGACTTCGCAATTGGCTGGACGAATGTGGGGGGTCTCAGATCCTCCCTGGTTGTGTCCCCCATCAGCTTCATTGAAGATGAACAAATTCATCTTCGATAGCACAGATTTTGCTCCCAAGTCATAGGTTAGAATACATTATATATATATATTTACACATAATATGTGTATAATAGTAAATGTATAGTAATAAATACAAATATAAATATAGATTTAAATAGAGATATAGATATAAATATAGATATAAATCTAGATATAAATCTAGATATAAAGATAGATATGAATATAGATATAAATATAGATATAAATATTGATATATATATATATAAGTATTATACTGTATATTTGAAGGCTTACGCCTGACAGCCGGGCGCCGGCAGAGAAATGGCCGTACGTGCGTCCCTGTTTTGCGCACGTCGACGACGAGTACTACGACGACGACGACGACTACTACTACTACTACGACGACGACGACTATTAATACCACTACTACTACGACAACGACGACGACAACTACTACGACTACTACTAGTAGTACTAGCAGTACTAGTAGTACTAGTAGGACTAGTAGTACTAGTAGTACTAGCAGTACTAGTAGTACTAGTAGTACTAGTAGTACTAGTAGTAGTAGTAGTACTACTACTACTACTACCACTACCACTACCACTACCATTACCATTACCACTACCACTACCACTACCACTACCACTACCACTACCACTACGACGACTAGTAGCCATACGTCGTTGTCGTTGTCGTTGTCGTTGTCGTTGTCGTTGTTGTCGTTGCTGTTGTTAGTGCTGCTGTTGTTGTTGTTGTTCTTGTTCTTGTTCTTGTTCTTGTTCTTGTCCTTGTTGTTGTTGTTGTTGATGATGATAATGATGATGATGATGATGATGATGATGATGATGATGTTGATGTTGATGGTCTTGTTGGGCCTATGTTGGCCTATGTTGGCCTATGTTGGCCTATGTTGGCCTATGTTGGCCTATGTTGGTTCGATGTTGGCCCTATGTTGGCCTATGTGGGCCCCATCTTGGCCCATGTTGGCCCTGTCGTAGCCCTATGTTGGCCTATGTTGGCCCCATGTTGGCCCATCTTGGGGCCTATGTCGGGATTCAAGGGAAACCCAGTCACTGTCGCTTAGTTCCAATAGGATAGATCCCCAGGTGTTGCCTATCTGTTCTCTGCAGTCTCTGCTCGTTGGGATTTTGTGAATTCACTTGCCAATGCTTATCACCTTGAATCTGCAGTTTTTCTCACTGACATCACAGATGCTGCTGTGGGCTGCTTCCCAGAATCAAAGGCTAGGCACAGCGAGACGGGCTGGCTGTGGATTTGAGGTACAGCGAGGCAGGGCAACGATTGCTTGTGATGAGTTTGGTTTTGTTGATTTTGTTGTTTGTTCAGTATCCGCCTGCAAAAGTCTTACAGCAATAGCATGAGCAAGACACCCAGTGTGCAAGCCAAGTGGTCAGATAAGTCTTTTGCAGAAATCATGAGGGGTGAAAGGGGGACCCTAGCTTCACAGAGCTTCAACCCTCTAGGGCCAAATTGCGGTTTTGCAGGCAAAACTATGCAGAATTAAATTATTCTCTTTGGATCTCTTTTGCTATATGCCAGCATTCTGAGCACACGTCGTGTGCACATGGCAGGTCATAGGTGTTTGCGTTGGGCTACTTCAGCCACAAACCAGCAGAAAGAGGCCAGCCATTTTGCAAAAGGTGGCAGTGCCGAAGCCATGCTTTCAAACTGGGTGAGCTACGGCAGCTACGACTTTGTATAACGTTGTATATATATATATATATGAATGTATATGATTGAACTTTGGCAGAGGACCTACCGAACCTCAAGACTAATGCCATTCCTTTTTCCAACCCGTTATAGGTGAATATAGGTGAATCATAGCCACAAGGGAGGAAATCGCCACGGAGCAACCCCGAATCATCAAGATTCTGTCTTACAAAGATGATGTCAATATCCATCCTGTGGATGTGTACGGATGATCTATGATGATCTCTTGGGCACTGCCCAGATCCGCGCAAGGACTGGCAGAAGGAAAGCGATTTCGCTCGCAAGCTGCGACGCCTTCCAGCTCGAGAGCTCTGTGAGGCAGCTGGACAATGCTGGACACAGATTCGGCAGATTGCTGCCAAATTGCTGGAAGTTGCATTGCATTGCTTGGCAGATCTCGGTCTCCTCAAGATTGTGAAGTAAGCAAGCTTCAAAGAATTGTAGTTCAAAGTTTCAGCAAGAGAGGTATCCCAAGCAGGACTCAATTCTCTACAGTCGTTGACTTTGAAATCGATGATGACACTGATCATCCAAAAAGTATGATGCACCCGAGGCAGTTCAGCCTCGCTTGAATGACTTGGATTTTGTGTCGATGTTGACGGCTTTCCAGCGACTTTCCAAGTTGGGCATCAAGAATCCCGAGGACGGACTTACTTGAATGGGGTTTGGACAACATTGGACAGAAACTCTGAAGAATGGGTTCAATCGTGGGGGGGGCAACATCTTCTTGTAGATTTTCCTGTTTTCAGTTTCAGTGATAGAGAATCCAAGGAAAACAAGAACATGAACTGCTTCCTCCTCAATTGCTGAAATTGAGATCATCCCTGACTCACCTGTTCATGTTCTGCGGGGTTTGCCGAAGACTCAAACGATGATTTGTGATTTCATGAGATTTCATGAGATTTCATGAGATTTCATGAGATTTCATGAGATTTCATGAGATTTCATGAGATTTCATGACATTTCATGACATTTCATGGCGTACAAAGGAGGAGGAGCTGGCAGTGAAACTCATTCAGGGCCTGCGAAGGCGCCCTTCGACCGTGTGCATATCCTTGACCGTTTCCAACAGCACTTGCTTTGCTAACATTTGGAACAATTTGAATCAACAATTTACTAGTAATAGGGGTTGCAACAATTTTGGGTACAGCGCAGAACAGATGATTGCCATCTTGGTACTCATAGACTCGGAGGCACTGTTCGACTATGGTCATATCAGTCGAATGTGAGACTTGCTCGGCGAAATCCTTGAGGAACTTACATGCTTGTTGACATGAACTTTCATGAGCCACTAGCGGACCATGCTAGCGGATTGCATGATTTCACACAATAGGAAGACGTAATCCTCAGATGGACAGATACTCCCAGTTTCACTCCCCTCTGTTGGCAGTCAGACCGTCAGACCACAATATATCAGTTTGGTTGACAGGTACCTGGGCAGCCAGGTCGCACGGGAGCGAAACCGTTCCAGGTGCCGGATGGTGTTTGTTTCGGTGCCCATCCTTGATGATTTTTTGTTGCTCTTGACGTCCCTTCTCAAAGGATCTCATATGCTCAACCAAAGGCGTGCTCCTATCAGTCTGCACGGATTTGCAAGCAGTGATGTCCCGAGCATGTAGAATATTTTAGCCTGTTGCCACACGAGTCACATGAGCGTTTGCAGAAAACTCATAGGTCTGCTGTCATCGACCCCAGAGCAACAACGACCTGTACACGATCCTTTTTTGACACGGTGACACGCGCAACACGAGGCGATTTCCCTGGCTCGCACAGGGAGCTTGGGCGGCAGCCAAAGTGCTGCCCGTGCCTTCAAAGACGCTTCAGACTGACGCAACGAAACTCCTGGAGGAGGTGCCTGGCCGCCTGGCCGCTTTGTCTTGGCATTGTCTTAGCTACACGCCAAGATCTTGAGCTATATTGTGATATGCCAAGATGAGAAGCGTCAGGAGGTGCTTCATGAGGGTAGTTCTCCGTTTCCAAACTTCCCTTGCATAGATTTTCCTCCCTTTCAATCCCTTTCACACATTTCACAAATCCCACACCAGGTGAGCCAAGCCAGCGCACAAGCACTGCAGCGGCGAAAGCCATTTGAAGCCAGGACTGAGCGACGGATGTTGGAGCAGCTTGGGGAGCACCCCGCAACATGATCCAATCATATCCATTTTTCCCTAATTTTATCCAATCATATTTCGATTGGATATCCAATCATACAATGAAAGGGTGCAAAGGGCGACCCAGCACTGACCCTGGTAGCTGGCGGCTGATGACTGTCGGATACTTGAACCATTCTCGTATGAATCTGTTGGAGCGCTGGATTTGTGCAGGGATGCGGCAAACTTGCTGTGGGCCTTGGCAACCATCCATTTGCTTAGCACAATTTTTATATATTTTTGATATTCTTGACTTGGGAAAGATCGTTGCTTCTCTTATGCCTGTTTTCGCCGCTCCTGTCATCCAGTTGTTGCCTGGATGCAGTGAAGCACTCCTCGCAAGGATAGGTCACTAACAAGCTCTCATTCAGACCAGTAGTGTCAGTAGTGTGATCACCGTACACTATCATGCACGTTGATACACTGGCATGTGGCATCATGTCACCAGCTTAAGTGCAGAAGCTGCCAGAGAAGCTGTTTTGACACCGCAACACTGTGCCATCCGACAATTATCCCCATGCGGTGACCTCCGCACCAGGCAGCAGCTCGAGTCTCTGCACCCATCGAAGCGTTCGATGCGCTGCTCGTGATGAAGACGGAGGCATTTGCGCCTCAGGACAGAAATCAATTCTTCGAATTCTTTCATTCATCTTGAACATTTCACAGCATTTGAGAGCATTTGACAACATTTGATGACTCGTCACCCACCCTGTACACAACATATTTCTCACACGTATGCCCTATGGCAACTATGGCAACTATGGAACATGGATAGACCGGATATGACCGGATCAAAGCAAAATGAAATCCTAATGACTTGAGTCAGTTGAGTCCTGTTGAATCCTAATGAGTCCGGTGGAGGACATCGCGAATCTCATTTGGGCCCTGACACGCCTAGAGAACCCCGGCGACAGCCGCCTGGCGATGTTGGAGAAGCTCTGCGGCTTGGCCCAGAAGCAGATCTGGCACTTGGAGCCACAGGCACCGATGCTGACCGATGCTGACCGATGCTCTGGTTTTGACCTGGAGTTGGACCCATTCTGCTCCAAGTCTGCTAAGTGAAAGTGTCAGAGCTGGACCCAAGATGGAACCGACGGAACTGCACAAAGTTTCCTTGCAGAGGTTTGCAACTGAAAAGCAAAATCGAGAAAGCAAAGTCATCTGACATGAACGCGAGATCAGGTCACTATTTCCGCAGCAAACCATGACATACCGGGAGAGAAAAAACATGAAAAAACAAGAATATGGCAAAGAACCGACCCCAAACTACCCAGATATGGTGTATACAACAGACACACTTGTATGTATGTATATAGATAATTCAATGAATAAGTAAATATAAATGAATGAATAACTAGACCAAAAAAATAAACAAATAAACAAACAAAGAAATAAATACCATATATTTATATGAATATGTATTATATGTATGTATATGTATGTATAAATGTATATTGTAGATATAATAGTCCAGTTCAGCTGACATGCCGGCCCTGGGCAAATTCAGGGCCTGGCAGCGGTGCTGAGTGCACTTGCAGCTGCTCGTGAGAGCCTCACACTTGGTCCTGGTGTCGCAACGACCGTGGCTACACTGCTGAGGGCAGCAGCTAAGAGCCTCTTGGTAGAAGATGGGGACTACCTGGCCTAGCCTGGACCTTCAATGCAACCCCTAATGTCAGGGTGCAACCTACTTTTGAACCGACAAGAGAGTCCCCATAACAGTTTTCTTGCCGATTGTAGAGATGCCGTTCAAACATGTTCAAACCAAGTAGCAGCCCATATGAGGATTGGAAGAGGAGCTGGATAACAGAAAGGAGTGGGTGCTCAGGTTTGACTGCCGAGGGATTTGAGAGAAAGGTAACTCAACATAGATTAGAAGAACCACGCCTTTTCAATGTTGTTCTGACTAATGTTTGCGTTTGGCTGCAGCTATACATGTATATGTATATGTTTATATAGTTATGTGTATTATATAGTTATGTGTATAATAATAATATATATATACATACATACATGTATTTGTATACATCTGTCATTATACAGTACGAGCGATCACAAGTCCAACACGGTGTCTCTCATGCTTTGGCTTCTGAATTTGGGGAGTTTTGCTCAGTTTGCAAGGGTCCTCATGGTTCCTTCCATGTACATCATTGAAGCATTGGCCTACATGACAACATTGCTTTAAAGGAGTGTCAAGTTGATAATAACACAACAAGGTAAAGTGGTAACATGCCAGCAATCATTTCAAGGTGACTATTACATTGAATGACTCTAAATAGATCTTGCCCTCACCGTTTGTGTGTATACATGTGAGAGAATGTGAGCATTCTTGTTCAGGAAAGTTGTTCTCGTTTTGCTTAAGCACTGGATGCTGGGTGCAGGACCCATCAAGATGGAGGCACAGACTCGTGGTTGAATTCAAGCACTGAAGATGAAATCGAACAAAAATGCTTAGGTGTTCATCGTTGTTTCCACAGCAAGCTCTGCTTTTTGTTCAATTTGAGTATGAACGCAGCCTGTTTGGGGGAACATCTTTCCGGTACGAAATCTGGCATGCTTTGCACTCCCAATATGGTGTGTGACGGTGTGTGATCTGTCAGATTAAACGTATCCGGGTCAGTCCAGGTATCCTTGCGTTTCTCAGATTTTCTTCCGGATTTGCCGATCAAATTCGTGAGGTCTTCCGAATTGGTTCAGCTGTTTTGGGCCTTCAGCGTCCTTCAGCTAGACGTCGTCCACTACGAGCATTTACCTGCAAAAGGCCTGCAAAACAATTGGACTGAGACTTGCCTGCAAGAAGGTCCCGGTTGCCCCGCTTTCGAATTCACATGGAGAATTGTTTGGGTTTTGGTTTAGCAAGCTGGGGCTTGGAGCATCATGCTGGAGCCTTTGTTGTTTCAACACTCACAGCAGAAATGAATGTGTTCACTTTGCTTCTGTTCACTAACATGCAGAGTATATAACTGCGCAGTATCTTCCACAGTGAGCCATCAATTCCTCATACTATGTGCACCATTGGCTTAGGACCTCCCTCCGCGGGATTTGTCACTGCTTGCATGGAGCCTCTCGGTGTAATTGTGTGTTTCAATGCCCACTTTCTTGGGCTGCTATTGTGTTTCCATAAGTGCAACCCTCTAGATTTGCAGGTCATCCTCCTTTCCTTGAGCCCATGTTAAATAGATAGTGGTTGCATGTGGTTGCTACTGTCGTTTGCGCTTTGGTCGAATCCGGAGCACAGAGCAAAGAGCAGGTGGCAACACACTGCAACACATGAGGATTTTGTTTTCTTGCTCTCCATTGCTGGATCACATTCAACTTTGAGTCTACACATGATGTGGGAAGGTTTCAATCACTCAAGGCTTCACTTATCCAATCGACATTTCCTTTATTGTGAAGTGGGGTTTGTTTACTTCTACGTTGGAATTGTGTAAGGATCGTGCCGTTTAAAATGCCCAATGGCACAAGTCTTTGGCATAGGCCTACTCGAAACAAATGAGCTTTAGGGATTCAAATGCCAGTCGATGCCTTGTAATCTTTGGGATGACCAAGAAGGCATCTTGGAGTCTTGGACATTCTTGGACAGTAAGTCCTATCTTTTCTGCGCTCCGAGGCTTCGCCAACTCCAATTCCGAGAGTCTAGCAATGGTGGCTGAGCATAGAGCGAGCGGGTTGTTCCAGTATCGAAGATTCCTCGCCTGGCTAGGATGACTTTGCTGAAGCTGCTGTCTTTTCAAGAACTAGCCAACACCCGCAAATCTTTGTTTCATTTTGTTTCAGAATAAAACACTGCGAAGCTTGAACTTATTGAAAAAACATTGAAGGTCTGACTTGCTTCGCAGCGCCAATAAACTCGACAAAACTGATAAAGATATATAAATAATTATAAAGATTAGAATTGTTGCTTGACAAAACATGCTACAAACATCTACAAAGTTCTGGCAGGATCTGGCAGGGACAACCATTCGAGTCGAACTCCAGTAGGAACTGTCCTGAGGAGGTCGGGAAGATTGCCGCTGCAGGGCTGCCAAAGCTGAGAGATTTCGACAACCAAGGCCACGGCAGATCCAACAGATACAGAAAAGATACAGATTTGGTCCAAATGGATCCAAATGGTAATGATCGGGTGCAGTTTCGTATCTCCGGGTATCTCGATCTTTGGTGAGGTTTCAGGATTCAGACCAGTGTCATGCAATCACATACAATCATGTTTCCTCGGCTGAGAATACTAGTGTAGTGCATTGTCTCGTTCCAGACGTCCAACTACATGTACGATTCTAACAGAAAAGATCTCAAGTTCAATTTTGAAAAAGCCAATAAACACTGATACCTGTAGCTAAACAATGCTAAACAGATAGCTTGAAGTATGCCTGTAAGATTCTGTCCTATGCCATCCTGCCGTCCTGTCAGGAATATCCAATCTGGTGTGGGCCTTGGGAGCAGTCAGCCTGGCAGATCGGGAGGTGTTCTCCCGAGTCGGGACGCTGGTGTCGGCAGGCCAGGACCCTTCTACGGAGCGTAGGGCGTAGGGAACTACTCGACCACACTGAACGCCAGGTGACTTCACGGCCAGACAAGTGACCAACATATCTTGGGGGTGTCTTGTCCAGAATTGTTCGGGGTTAGGGTGGGTAGCACCGAGTTTACCCGATTGCATCTCCTGTCTGCAAAAAGACGAAAATTTCTCATGTTTCCACTTTGCAAAGTTGGAATAGTATAGTGCCACAGTGGGTCCTGAGCAGAAAGGGTCAGATTCTATACTGAAAATATGCGTCCCAGAGTCGGCCTCAATTGAAAGCAGTTCTTGATGGACAGCGAAGACCATGATCTGCAAACCAAAGTTCTTGGGACTGGCAGCTGTAGGAGCATCAACGCATCCCATTGTCAAGGTTTTACTCTCAATTCTTGTGGCTGAAGGTACGCAACTGCAGCATTTCTTCACCATGACCTCTTCAAAAAGGCAAAGCGTTTGGCTGAGAGGAGTCATGGGATGTGAGGGATCCAGAAAATCGACGGGAGCTTGTAAGATGGATCCCCAGTACCAGAGATAGTCAGTCACTCAACATCTCAAGAAGCGCTTAGTTTCCAAAACCGGATGCAACAATCGCAAACTCCCAGTATTTCTAAATATGGTTCTATAATGTTCTATATCTTTCTCAGACAATAGTCTTTTGATGTCTTTTGGGCTGTACAGGAAGTTCTTGGCATCACCTCCGCAGACATTTGGCCTGTGCATCTTTCAGTTGACAAGAAAGTCAGAGCCTGCATAGCTGTCAGCATCTGTCAGCATTCATCTTTCGAACTGCCCTCGGAAGGAGTCTTGATGCTTTCCGAGTGGACGAGCAAGTTTCCCTGCTATGGTCCTTTGCAATTGTGTCATTGCCGAGTGACACTCTCTGCAGTTCACCATGCTTGAAGGTGGGGCACACATTGCACCTCTTTGTGTAAGCGAAGAATCCAGGTTGCAGTGCTTTGAGGATTCGGTCCTTTGAAGATTTAGTATAGTAACTAGCAACTCTACTGATAGTCTATCGTAAGTTTTTGTAAGTCTCAGAGAGCTCTTGTTCAGATACCGTTTCAAAATGTTTCCAAGGCAGTTGCGAAACTGTTGGATTTCTATGGCTAGGTTGCCGGAAGTGAGATGTCTGCCCGCGAAGCTGCAAATCTCTGTTGGACCTTGGCAGTCTTGGGCCAACACCGGGAGGAGGGGCATTGGTAAAAGGGGCAAGAACCGGGTAAGCTGCATACAAAGGTACTACCTATATCTACCTATCTTGTTTTTCAGTGTTTTGTCGATATTTCCCAAGGTATCTCAGGCCGCTAAACCAGGTATCCAGGTTGAAGGATCGAAAAAAGCAGATGAATCTCTTCCATTCGCCCACCCTGCATTGCCGAGCTGACCGCCTGTGCAGGACGTGCTGGTGGAATCTGCCAAGTTGCTGGAGGTCATGAATACAGCAGGGTGAGAGATCGGAGATCGAGTTTTGGAATGTTGGGGATATCAGAATGCCAAGCGAATCCAAAGTGTGCAGTCACTCTGTGGAGTTCATACAATTCATACTCTGGTGCCCCTGGGCAAAAAGTATGGTCCCTCCTTTGAGGCCAAAGGCAGCCAAGATCTGGAGCTCCACTTGGCTCAATGGCACTATGCATTCATGGCCTTCAAACTTGAAGGCAGGAAATGGCATCCGAAATTGAGAGCCGACGGATTTTTGCGCATTTTATTGGGATTTTTTGGAAGGTCAAATACACTCCCCTCCCCGCTCATCACATGGATTTGGATGATGTTGGTTTGTTTTAGCACGTTTTGGCCAGATTCAAACATCGCACTGCAGGTGGCAACATCCCGGGTGACTTGCAAACCTTCGCTCTGCGGGCTGCGGCAGCGGCGAAAAACCGCGCAGTGTGGCGCCCAGTTGGCAAGTGACTTCGCAAGGTGTGACAACTTGGACTCTGAAAGGTCTTGGCAGATCTCAGCCGAGTTGTCAAAACTTCATCCCGTGACATTGCCAGTCGTAGATAGTCGTAGGTTATATAGTGTGTATATATATATAGGTTATATACATGGCATTACTGGAGATTTTACTGGGCATTAGTATGCGTATGCATCAGTATGCATTCGTAATATCCGACTGGGTTCTCACGGATCAGACCTGTGCAACGCCTGAGGTGGCGAAGCTTGGACGCACGGAGGCCTCCTCCAAGCTTCACAGCGAGGTGTCTGCGAAGGCGCGGCGCATGACGACTACTTGAACATACCTTTGCCTTTAACATACTTTAACCATCTTTAACCAATTTAAGAATCTCAAAGACTGCTTTCAACGCGCTACGTGTTGACACGCAGGTTCGAAGACTGTGCCCGAGTGAGCCTATCCGGGCCGGATGCCCTAGTCAATTGGGGTTGAGTTGGAGCGTCCCTACACTTGTAATCAACTGCATACGTACCAACAGCATCCAACAGCATCCAAGAGTTTCTACAATGTTGTCTAGTTCTATCATGTTCTATCTAATTCATCTTCACTTGCGCCACTGCCGCTGCTACATATCCATTCCAGCTGACCCGCACAAAGAGGCGGAACTACTCAAAACGCAAATCATTCCAATCATGCATTGAGTGGCAGACGAAAAACAAATAATGGATATTCTGATGCTCGAATCCACCTGGAAGCTGATGTTACCACTCTCAAAGCAAGCGGAAACATATATTATATATAAACATCATAAAACGACGAGCAATAGTTCATGCGCCTGCGTTTGCCATGTGGGCTGGTGAAGCCTATGCACGCGCATGTTTCCAATTGGGCTTCCAGCTGGATCAGGGGATCTTGGACGCCCTTACTCAGCATGGTCTACTGATGCTGGATCTTCGTCTTTGTCCTCCAGCTGCTCTGTCGACTACCTGCTCAACTTTGCGGGAGAAACCCACTGGGATTCGCCAGATTCTTCTACGTTTGATAGATAGGATTTTCATTTACTTTTTGGAATCTTTTTTATATGTTTGTTATTATTTTTGTCTCCATTCTCTTCAAAGGTATATCGTAGGTTTCACCCGTTTTCCTACTATGTCCCATGCGCTCCAATTTCAGCGTGAGGATTGTCTTGCGAGATGGCATGCGATGCTTTTGCCAGGATTTGGCCTACCGGAAACACGCTGCAGCCAAGGACAGGCAGTTCGGGAAGTATGCCTTGAACACTTCCCACCTCCGCATGTTGATGACTGCCTTGTCGGTCTTCCTCTCAGCTAGAGGTCAAAAGGTGTTGATCTTGGATCTCGAGGGTCTTCCGCTTGGCAAACAGCTCAGCTCTTTGTTGGCACCACTGGCAGCAACATTGACCGAGGCGGGTGCACGGCACCTGCAGTGGTTGAACCTCTCTGGTTGTGGGATTGCTGATCGTGGCCTTGCGTTGCTGTTGCCGGCGTTGGGAAACTCGGGCAAAGTTCTGCTCCCGGAACTTGAAGCCATTCTGCTGGCTGAAAACAGACTGTCAGATGTGCAGCTGGTGATTCACCTCCTGCGAAGTCGGACCTCGCTTTGCATGAATGGCAAGGCTACCTCTTTGCGACTGCTGGACTTGTCCCGAAACCCGCGTTTGGTGACTGATGTTACTGAGCGCATGACAAACCTCGGCACAAGATTCCGCGGAGATACTTTAATGCTATCAATCTCGAGGTGGGGGGAGATGCAGGGAGCCCGAAAGGGGAGGTGCCATTAGGTGACTAAGCATGAAATATCATGAAATATCATGAAATCTTTGAATTGCAAAGAAAGTGGAGCAAACCCATTGCTTAGGTTTGCTACAAGGGTTAAACATTGGATGCCAATGTCCGAAATGTCCCGTAGGTTCCTTGCAGAGGGTCTTCCTCTTCAAGTGCTGAGACTCAAAGATCTGAAGCTTCGAAATGACACCCGATCTCATTGGATGAGGGGACAGGATTAGGGACAGTGGGATGAAGCCACGGTGAAATACCCAATCGTCGTCGTAGGCCATTGGAAGTTTGCTCATATTATATTATATTATTACTGTAAATTATATTCAATTATATTCAATTATATTCATACATTTGCATACATTTGCTGGTTTTTCTGTGGATAGACGTATTTTATCGTATTTTCAGCAATCCAAAGTTCAGCCATGAATCAGGTTCACTCTGAGCCCTGGTGGCCATAGCTTTGCTTTGGATGCCTTGGGAGTCCGACAAACCACCAGTGCATCAGATTCTAGTTGAAGCTATTTAAGAGGGATTAAGAGGGTGCGGCATCAATGCCCGGCAAATTTGTTCCAGATCTGGGTCTCAGAGACACATTTTGGGAAGGGTTCTTTTGAAAACTGATTTGGAATGTTGTCGGTATCCCACTAACAATATCTAACAATCAAGTTTGAACTCTTTTGAAGCACGCGTCGGAATTTTGTACCACACTGTATCTCTTGAAGCATGTTCCACACGTTCCGTTGGCAAAGTCTAGGACGACATTCTGCCTCTCTTGAAGCTGCTGGGAGCGGAAGCTGATGGCTTTGCCATGGCAAACAGCGAAGGTCCTGCCTGTCAAACGTGCCTGGAAGAGGTGGATTTGAAGCTTAGCCGGCTTAGCCTGAGACATTCAAGAAAGCTAAAGATTGTAGTTGCTGAGCAAGTGTGTGTGTGTGTGTGCTGAACATGAGTTGAGTATAGTTGTATGATATGATAATATATCATCATACAAACATCTACTGTATGTGTGGCTGTATTAAATGTACATACATGCATATATGCACTGTGCAGTTCATTGCTGTCATTCTTTTCAATCTTTTTCACATCGGATATTAATTACAGGATGCTACTGGTACTTGATGTTTGAAGCCGAGGACAGGCAATTTCTGTTCTGCTGAGTTGCAAGCAGAAGTCACAGATGTCATCAACCTGCTGAAGCAGCTGCGTTCGCAGCCCGAACTCTGCTGGAGATTGAGACGGTGTGGCTCTCGCTGGCCGGTGAGGGTCGAACGTCCACAGAGGTCACACCCCAGGAGTCGTTCGCAGCCCGAAAGTGAAGCAAACGTCGAAAGTGAAGCCGAGATCGACGATTTAAAACGAGAGGCTGTGAGTGAATGTCAAGTTGATACAGACCTTCCACTCGCATCCCTAGAGGATTTGAAAGATGCCAAACATTGTGAGACTCGTCGAGCTGTGAGGGAGAATGGTGTAGAGGCCGGGGAGATCATTTTGGGTTCGCCAGCACCTCCTTCACTTTTGATCAGACAGATGATCTTAGATCAGATGCAGCACCTGCAGCACCTGCAGCACCATGACATGGACGGAAGTTTGATCCCATCGCCAAACCTTTCAGCCACTGAGCAGACTGAGCAGTTGCAGGTTGAAAGATCTGCCGATGTCGTCCTGGAAGAGGGAAGGATAGATCACTGTTTTGAAGGTCTTCCCTTGACAGCCAACGATGCTAACACCGAAAGCTGTGAAGGAAGCCCTGAGTTTGAGATGAGAGATATGCAAAGAGATATGCAAAGAGATATGCAAAGAGATATGCAAAGAGGTGCCATGGCAAAGATTCCATGGAATGAGTTTTTTGAAGCAAAGATCAATGAGATGTGTCAGGGCTTTTTGGAGCAATCCTCACACCCTGCGGGGTCAGCTCTTGGAAGGTCGGAGCGATCAGTGCTGTCCCAGCAAGACTCCAGGTTAGATGCTATGCATCGGGAGGCTCTTGAATCTTTGCAAAGTCGGCTACTGGGTACACAATAGTGATCAATGGTGATCAATAGTGTACGTTTATGATTCGCACAAATTGCATTTCATTGAAGAAAGTACATTGACATGTACATGCTCCAAGTTCAAAGTTGGACGACAAAAAAAGCACTCTTTGTGCTACCCACAGGGGCCAAAGTCCTCGCAGTGAACCGATGGTGGACCTTTCATCAGGACCTCTGACTACTCCACAAACCCATCCTGGATCATCCTGGTCCCAAGAGAGGATCAAATTCTTGAAAAAAGGATAAAAAAGGCAGAATGAGCCAATCAGCCAGTAGTCTTACTGACTTACTGGTTCTCGTGGGGTCTCTTGCCTTCTCAAATCCCGGAACCTTTATTTTCTGTCTCCCCCCACTCACTTTTTTCGATGGCAACAGCCTGAAAGAACTTGCAATCGCCGTCTGCCATGCGCACAAAGGGAATCACCCTTCAATCACATGTTCTTTTTGCCTGTCACATGAAGACGCAGCCAGCATGAGGAGAGATGTATGTCCAAAGATCACACAGCTGACTTCAGTGTCAGCATCACGGCTTTCAAGTGGAATATAGTGGAATAGTTGCACATGCAATGACTGCAATGCAAGTCCTGAGGATGAATTCTTGATCGAGGATTTCTTGCTTGTTGACATTGCCTGGCCGGAAAGACGATCCTTGGCAAAATCGTCACCAGACATTGAAAAGTGAATAAAAATGAACCCAAAAATGTTGAACAAAGCAATCCTAGTCTCAGACATCTTAGACTCAGTCCTTCCTGATGCAGTGTCTCGATGTGTCTCTGCCTTGGCCATCAGGCCTGGTACTGGAGGTCGATGGACCATGGCACTTTGCCAGGACTTTGCCTCAAGGACTGCTTCGTTTCCTGATGTTCTCTCCACTTTTCTTCCAACGTTTCGGCTTGTTTTCTAATGTTTTGCCATGTGGAAGTTTCCTAAAATGAAGGTACCCCCAAATCATGCAAAATTGGACCATTTTAGTTTAAGAACCCCCCATGTGTTGCCATGTTTTCCGTTCTGCTTTCCGGTTTTTGTTTCCCGAAGGAGACCTGGTCCTGCAGGGTGGCACGCGCCTAAAGCGGCGCTTGCTGCAGCAGCTGAACTGGCAGGCTGGACATCTTGCTGAGCATTGAATTTATCTATAGAATTCTATAGCCATATCATATCAATGATTATCAATGTACATCCATAGTCATTCCGAATCATTCATGTAATTTGTTTGTGTATAGACATACAATAATATATACTAATTACATCTAATTACTGTATATTACTGTAATAAATGAATGATATTTATGCAGCTTAGCAGCTTGTGCTGGAGTTTGAGAAGTCAGTCGCCTCTGGGATTCCGTGTTCTCCGTTCCAACATGTTCCAACCGAAGGTACTGCAGATTGATTGGGAGAGCTGGGCCAAGGACTCAGGCAAAGCACTGAAGCCCTTGCAAGATCTCATGCGGCGCCCTCAGCCGCCAAAAAGGACAGCAGAAAGACAGACAGAAATTCATGTTCTGCTTTTCTTATCTTTTCTTGCTGGAGGACCTGCTACCACTGTACTATGCAACACATTGACATATATTGACATATATTGACTATCATTTCAACATATTTCAAATGGCTGTCTCGAAAAAAGTCCTAGCCGACTCATTCGTTGGGCCATGAGAATGAACATTACTAATTTCTTTTTGGGAGATTCGTGCCAACTTTGGGCGTTGCCCCTCCAAGCACAATATATATATATTATATATATATTATCCGAAAGTCGACACGTGGGCAGTGAATTGTGATGGAGTCAGTCTTCTTCAAGACCTTTGGCTGAAGCAGTAGAGCGGAAGCAAGCCCAGCAAAATCGACCGGGTGTCATTCTGCCTCGGTATTGTACTCATACCACGATAACACATACAATCTGGTCTTAGGATGTCTTAGAGTCAATTCGTTGATTGCGATTCCTGGGAAGCCATGATGGCCACACACATTTGACCGTGTCTTGGCAACCATATCCGTGCCTGCACTGATAAAATGGTCACTCATGTGCGCCTCGTTTCATGATCTTGAGGGCTTTCATTCAATAGAGGAGGCTTGACAACTCAAGGCAACACTAGGTAGACGGCTGCAACACAAAGTATTGAAACCGAACCAAGCGTGGCCCAAGCCATTCATCCGTGGGCGCCATGGACGAGAAATACCAAAGACTTAAGGTGCAGAGCACAGCTCGTGGGGAATCGGGGAAGGGCATCGTAGACATCTCAAGTCATTCAAGTCTCATCCCATGCATATCATGCAATTTGTTTGTCTCCTGGAGGTCTTGGGCAAAGGCAGCTTTGGCAAAGCTTACCTCGTGAAAAACACCGAGGCAGTCTTGCCCGATGCGCAGAGCTCGCTCTTCCTCAACTTGGAGAGTTTCCTCAGTAAAATCATGTCTAGGGGTTTGTGGCATTCGTGGATATGTTGAAGTGTGAGGTTTTTCCGCTCCTGTAAAGCTCACCTCGCAACTTTGGTTGACGATCACGATTCTTGCATCCTGAGGAATGATGGTGTTGAATTCTTCATTGAATGACACATCGCAATACCTTCGGCCATCACCGCGAAAGGAAAATGCGCTTTGTGTTGTCAAGCAGATGGAGACATCTGCAATGGAAGCAAAGGAGCAAACGGGCCCAACTGCGAAAACCATTGCATGGCAGGTGAGGAAGATGATCATATACGGCAAGGTTTAACATTTGCAGACACAGAACAAAAAAGAGAAGATGCTTTTGCATGTATGCGTTGGCTTTGAGTGTTGAACAGCTAATATACATATCAAGTCCGCTTAGTTGCAAACTGCAGCCGCAAGGAGCGAAACGAGGCAGTGAAAGAAGCGATGCTTCTGAGACTTGGCCCCATTGGAAACAAGTCACAATACTGGAGCCGCCACAATGCTGTCTCTTTTCAAGCATCCATCAGTAAAAAACACAGGTGTCCTCATTCTGAGTTCTAAGGAAGACCACGCGAAATCGATCGTTTTGCTTTATTTTACTTTTACCATCTTTTACCATCTTTTACCATCTTTTACCATCTTTTACCATCTTTTACCTTTGAACTTGAAAAGTCAGGTGGGATTCGCTACTCCATATGACATTGGTTCAAGATGCGAGGAAAAAGATGGATCATCCAAACATCATCCGCTTCAAGGAGGCGGAAAGCACGGAGTGACATCGATTTCAATCCTGAGATATCCTGGGGGCTCAAGTTGGTTTGCACCAACGGTACAACTGTTTGTTGACATGCTGTCTTGTGACCAGGTGGAGGGTTCCATTTATGACCACTGTTGTGCATGGTATGGTAGGAAGTGCAAATCGGCTTTGGGTTTAGATGAGATGGTTCGGGATGGGCAGGTTGTAGCGTGTGAATTGATAGCTACGAGTTTGACTAGATTTGTTGTGGAAAGCAACGTCGCCGCGAAGCCACTTTGATCAAAAGAACGACAGCCCTGTGGGTCAGCGAGACCACCTGCGTAGATGGAACTGGCCTTGGGCATTTGGAACTGCTGACGCCGTGTGTTGTTCATTTTCTATATCTTTTCAGATATTAACAAAAAACAAGACACTTTTTGTTGATCATGCAATGTTGCGGCTCTAAGGATTTGCCGAGACGAGGCGACGAGACTGTGTTGCTCTGCATTGCGAATATGCCGCTGTTGGAATTCATGTGAGTATATGTGAGTAAGTGTGTTCAGAGGAGGCTCGTCAGTGCAAGAATTATTGGTTGCATCCATGGCGACCCAAGATGGATGCCTACTTAGCCCGCCCACCAATTCAATTGCCACCGGAACCCCAGAAGTTTTCAACCACCCTCAAGCCACTGGTAGTTGGTATCAAAGAGGATGCATTTTGATCCTCGTCACAACAGTCTGAGAGTGTGTGATTTCAAATATTCGGTTCAAAAGACTTGCTCACAACTCTACCACTGCGATACTTAACCAAAACTAAACATGTTGCTGTTGCTGTCCGCTAAGATATTATTTCAGACCAGCAAACTAGCAAACTGGGTATTTAGACCTGGTTAGACCAATAAGTAGACATATGCCATCTGGAGACGTTCACGGCACAATATGGTGCAAGATGTACAGTACAAGTGTTCGACTACCCCACAACAAGAACTGGAGCATGATGTTTGGACTGTCCTTGTTTAGATCTTCCAAAGACATTTCACCGGATCTGCTTAGAAGCTTCTCATCACATTTTTTCAGTGACAGGTGTAGGTGGTGCCCTGGGCATCCACGCACCCTCCGTTGGCCGTTCAGAAGCTCTGAAGGCTGGACGTAGTTGAGACAGTTCGACACAGCACACTACACTTTGAAAATCTTTGAAACACCCGCTCCTCCTCCTCCTCATCATCATCATCATCATCGTCATCATCGTCATCATCGTCATCATGATCATGAGATCGTGAATGATGATCCGTGCATTTGACATAGATGATCACAAAATTGTAGCAAGCCAAACACGCAGGAAGCATGCATGAGCATATGTGTAGAGTGTAGAAGCAGCAACAAACGTCCATGAAGGTTCCCGTCAAGTTGAAGACCACATGACACGTTAAGTGTGCAGATGCTCAGTGCCATAGGGTTGCACGTCGCAGGAGCACTCTGCAATATCCCGCTCATCCACCAAGCTCGATGGCGGTGAGGCGCTTGTCCGCTTTCGCACCGGGTCCACAGAGATGAACATTCTGTGAAACCTTTGGGATATCTTTGGATGTAAGACTCTGTGATACAGTAGTCCAATGTAGTGCAGTAGTCACTTAGAAGTCTTTGGACAGGTTGGCAACATGTCACAGTGAAAGCAGATGACAGTCAACACAAGTTGCAGTTGGTCTGGGAACAGATCGAGATCATCAGGTGTCAGCAGTTTCAAGTATACTTTCCGCATATTGTAATTTGGATATGTCGGCCTTAAAATTCATTAAAGCTCCGACTTTTGTGGACGTGTTGCTTCGCAACTGCTTCGACCAGGAATGGCTTCATCACTGGAGCAGGGCTTCGACTTTGGCACCCTATGCCACCAACTTCCATGTCTCTCGGCATCTCTCGGCCAAAGCAAAAGATATACGAAGCCTTTTGAACATCTTTTGAAGGCCTTGCGACCGGTTGGCAGTAGTTGGGTGATGTTAGGTATGTTTAATACTGTTTAATCTAGAGAGTGTTACAGCGCAAGCAAATTGTTTTTTCATTATACTTGTATATACTAGAAAGGTGCTGCAGAATGCAGGCAGAGGAAAACACACATGGAGACCTCGTTGGATTCCTAGTAGAATCTGAGGTGAGAGACGCGCCAGAGATGCAATGGACGGGCGGCCACAAGGTGCAACATGGTGCAACCGTGTGGCAATGCTTTGTGATCAAGGGTTCGGAGGGTTCAGGCGGCTAAGTTGGTATTTGATGGCATTTGGCAGGCCTCTTCCTTGACTCACCAGCGGGTGTTCAACAGAGGTGGCCTGGAGGAGTGCTTCTGCAGTCTTCACATGTCGGCTTTTCCGGGTTTCCTCCAGCCAAGAGTTGGTGCGTATTCTTGCATCAATTGATTTAGCCAACAACAAGAACAAGAAGAACAACAACAAGAACAACAACAAGAACAACAAGAATAATAATAATAACAACAACAACAAGAAGAACAAGAAGAACAAGAAGAACAACAACAAGAAGAAAAAATAAGAAGAAGAACAAGAAGAAGAAGAACAACAACAACCAGAAGAAGAAGAACAACAACCAGAAGAATAATAAGAACAAGAAGAACAAGAAGAAGAAGAAAAAGAAGAACAACAAGAACAAGAATAACAAGAAGAAGAAGAACAACAACAACAACAAGAAAAACAAGAAGACGAAGAAGAACAAGAAGAAGAAGAACACCAAGAACAAGAACAAGAATAAGAAAAAGAACAACAACAACAAGAAGAAGAAGAACAACAACAAGAAGAAAAAGAAGAAGAAGAAAAAAATAATAAGAAGAAGAAGAACAACAACAACAACCAGAAGAATAATAAGAACAAGAAGAACAAGAAGAAGAAGAAGAAGAAGAAGAACAAGAAGAAGAAGAACAACAAGAAGAACAAGAAGAAGAAGAACAACAAGAACAACAAGAAGACAAAGAAGAAACAAGAAGAACAAGAAGAACAAGAAGAAGGAAAAAAAAGAAGAACAAGAACAAGAAGAACAACAAGAAGAAGAAAAATAAGAAGAAGAAGAATAACAAGAAGAAGAAGAACAACAAGAAGAAAAAGAAGAAACAAGAAGAACAAGAAGAACAAGGAGAAGGGAAAAAAAAACGAAGAACAAGAACAAGAAGAACAAGAAGAAGAAGAACAACAACAAGAAGAAATTGAAGAAACAAGAAGAAAAAGAAGAACAAGAAGAAGAAAAAAAGAAGAACAACAAGAACACGAATAGCAAGAAGAAGAAGAAGAACAACAACAACAAGAAAAACAAGAAGAAGAAGAAGAAGAACAAGAAGAAGAAAAACACCAACAACAAGAACAAGAAGAAGAAAAAAAACAACAACACCAACAACAACAACAACAAGAAGAATAACAAGAAGAACAAGAAGAAGAACAACAAGAAGAGGAATAACAACAAGAACAAGAAGAACAAGAAGAATCAGAAGAACAACAACAAAAAAAACAAGAAGAAAAAGAAGAAGAAGAAAAAACAACAACAAGAAGAAAAACAAGAAGAAGAAGAAGAACAACAACAATAACAACAACAGACACTGCAAGCTTTGACGGATTCATGGAACAATGAGAATTTGGGCACTGCTGGTACTGTGCTAGCTAGTTGGCCTGCATCCTCTGAGCGTCTACTCGCACTGAGGGATTTTAAGAGGAAGATACCCGTGAAGACATGTCAATGCGAAGACAATAAATTTTTCAATAAACATTTGCCTTTTCTTCGCATCCTGCGAACCTCTCTGGAGCGCACACAGTTTGGACTGTATGATGTTGATGTTGTATGATGTTTATATGATGATTATGATGTTGTTTTGACGGTTTTCAGCTGGGGATCAGGTTGGATCTTGTGGAAGTACATTTTGTCACAGGAGTTGCATTCCGAGACAATGAAAGCGCGAGCTGCATTGCCACCCCACCAGGCCCCATAGAAACAATGGGCTGGAAAGCAAGTTCCAGGATATCTTCGGATTCAGTGAGCTGGAGCCATTGACTCATGTGACTCATGTGTTTCAAGTGGGCCGGAGAGCATTATTTCATTAGTACAATTATAAAGTTAATACAGGTAATACATCTTTTTTCAAAAATGTACTATTTGCTATACGACATAGATACATGGAATGCATTGGAATGCCATGTAAAATCATGTAAACAAACGTGTGCTGATTGGTTTCATACTACATCCTGTACCAACAGAATCCAATAGATTCAATATGATTCAATAGATGTGATGTAATATATGACACGCAGCACTGCTCCAGGGAGTGCGACCTGCTGGTGCTCCATCCGGTGCCACAGACCGGGACATTGGAAGGCTGCCACTGGTGCCACCGGTGCAAAATCCGGTTCCAACAACCTTCAGATTCTTGTGATTCATCGACTTCAATGATTGACTTCAATGATTGACTGCATTCTTGGATATTCCTTTGGTTTTATCTTCAAGACGAAATTGATCATTTTTCTCAAGGTTTTTTTTGGCGAGAAGCGCTAATTACCTTGCTTTCCAACAATAGTCAAACAATGACACCAAGAAAAGCAAACATGTTCTGCACTGAAGCAGATCAGTCGATATGCTGATCTCCTTCTCTAATAGATCCTTTCTCATCGTCCATAGTAAATCCTATGCGATCACATCAGGAGAATTTATACGCTCATGACATTTCTCTTCTTAAGTTCAAAGACTTCTAGTATCATTGTCTCAGTTCTCAGCCACTTGCACTATTTGACATATATACTTTCAGTGTTGATCAGGATGGCAGCCTTGAACTGTGGGCTGAAAAAGATCTGAGTGCAATCTCTGCCACGCGGCTTGAAGTGCTGCTTTTTGGTTCATGCACATTTCAATGCACAGTTCATGCATTTACTTGGAGAAGAAACCATTTCCAAACAGATCCATAAAATTTCGTTACTTGCTTCCCATCGAAGAATGTTCCTGTTGAACAAGCTGTGCGGTTAATTCCTGGCAGTCTCGCAAGCGGATTCCGGGCAAGCCGACAAGAACAGGTGATCACTTCACCATAGAAAATTTCAATTTCTACAACGCTCCTTTGGCGTTGTGGCAGAACTCTTGGAGTGTCTGGGTGTTCGACCCAGCCTCAACTGGGCTGCCAGTCCCTAGTGATGGCCTAAGGCCACAACTGAGGTGCTGGCACGAAAAAAGGGGGACCAAGGTGGAATCATTTTGCAGATTTTGCAGATCACAGTTAGGGTTGCTGGAATTAGCTGCTGGGATGCTTTGGAACAAAGATGAACAAAGGCAATCCAAGCTTCAACGTATCATCGTGCCGTGAACTCCCGTGTACCCTTGGCTCCTGGTGCATTTCCGACATGCCAAAATTGATCAAAAGCATTCAGCTAACTTCATCATACTTCATCCAACCGACTTGATACTTGAAGCATTTTCACACTTCTCATCCAAAATGGCAAGGGCGAGAAGGGATATGAAGATGGGAATAACTGAATTTGGAATGCGTATGAATGAGTGATACTTCAAAAAAGGTTTATCTTGGCTTTGCGAAACGCATGAATTGGACTAACCTGGGCTCCCTTTCAGGTCTTCATCACCCGTAAACATCGTTTGTGCATTGTGGTGACCTCAGAGTGAGTCAATGAGCCTATCAGATAGCTACAGTATCATGCAGGCAACCCCTCGTGTTGATCATGTTGATCATTGGACCGGACATCCAAAACATATCAAAACATAAAGTATTTGTTGTTTTCTTTTTCATATATAGTAAGTAACCAGCAGATAGAATAAAAAACTGGTCTTCTTTTTTTCAAAAAAGAGTCAACATCAGTCTATTGGGTAAAGAACTTGCAGATAGAATATTATATTTGCTGGTGCTATGGTTTTGCAAGGGTTTGGGTGATTTTAGATGGATTTTCCTTAAGATTGTGTGCCAGCTTGGCATGCAAAAATATATCAATTAGTTGCAGTAAATCACACACATAATAATTGAAATTGTTCCTTTTAACCTGAATTAGTTGCAGGAAATGGTACACATAATCATTGAAATTGTTCATTTTAACTTGATTTAGTTGCAGGAATGATCGGAAATTGTTCATTTCAACCTATTGGGTAAGAATAATATTCTATCTCTCTGGTTTTTGTCCTATTCTATTTGTTGACCTGGCAATCCTGAATTTTCTATCTGCTGGTTACTTACTATATGTCATTTTCATCAGGACTTCTGATTGTGGACTCATGAGATCTTGCATGTTATTGTTCAACTTTGGTTAGCTCCAGTATCCGGTATGTAACATTTGCAGGCCTTGCTGCAAGTTTCTTGATTGCTGACTTGGCAAGCTGCATGAGAAAGGTCATGGACTATGCTGATGGTGGAGATGTTCACATGAAGATCAAAAGCAGAGAGGCACAGGATAGAAGACGATGCAAGAAAGAACATGATGCTCAAAACAACTATAACTTTAGATTATGTGTGTGTGTGTGTGTTTGCTCCCCAGTGTTTGCCTCTGTGGTTTTGTGACAACCCTACCTCATCTCCAAGCGCACGTCTACCGGCAGGGACAGCTGCTTGACGAGGAGGGGAGGGATCGGAAGATGATTTGAATCAGATCTGCTCCAAAAACTTGACCGATGGGACAAGGGTCACCATGTGGGTCACCATGTGGGTCACCTGTTGTCATGACATGCCAGTGCTGCCAGTGATTGAGTTCAACCTGGTTGTATTGGATTCCGATGGTCCAGCCAGACACTAGCTGGTTGCAAAGAATTCGAATAGTGCGAACCACTCGCGAACCAGGAGATCTTGATAGATCTTTGAGTTGTTGTTGCATTGGTGCTTCATGTGCCTTGCCAGGCTCAGATCTTGGAGTGGTTTGTGCAGACGTGCTTTGCGCTGAAGCACGTGCATGACCGGAAGGTTCACATGAGGGCAGCCTGCGTAGCCCTTTTTGCCAGTGTCCAATTCGATTTGAAGCGTAATCTCAGAAATGTCCAAGGTGGACTTCTTACTTGGGTGGGATGAAATAGACATGTACAACGGGAAATGATGCTACCATTTCACTAAGATGTAATAGCTCTCGTTCTATGCCTCAAAAGCGCCCACATCTTCACATTTGCTGAAAGGATGCTTGGCAGTCGAATCACACCTCCTCATGAAATCCAGCTTCATAGATCTTCATCATTAGTCCTGTTTGCACCTACATATTTTTTCCAGGTTAGGAGTTGAAGAATCCTTTCTCTCATACTGTGCCGGGTACCAGTTCTTACAGTCATGGTGCCTCCATGTGGGATTCCAATGTGCCTCCCAACTCCAGGTGCTTCATCGAGATTTGAAGACTCAAAATATTTTCCTGATGTCCAACGGCTGGGAAGCCTGGAGGAAAGAGGATCATCGGGAGCTTGGAGGGGGAAGAGTTTGGCTTGCCTGGACACTGGAAGGCTGTCAGGTTTCTGTCACCGACTGTGGCCACCGGGTCTCCACGCTTTAAAAAAGCGGAGTTCATGAGTTGTTTCGTTTGAGTCATTTGAGTCATTTGTTTGTTTGTCGGTGGTTTGCCCCAGACATTTTCGCTGTGGCAGCTGAGGTTGTGTGAAATTGGGCGACTTTGGCATCGCGAGGGTCTTGGAGTTCACGAAGGACTGCTGGAGGATTTAGAATGCTGAAGCTCCTGCATTACTAACAAATCTAACAAGCATGGGAAACCTTTCAATCATGGTTGAAGATCAGCCAGATACTCAGGCTCGTCGAAGTATGCTGGTGAGCATTTGTTTCGAACGAATGCTCTGCGCAGCGCACTTTTCTTTTGGCGATATCTTATATATCCAAGCCGAGACCTGTCCACGCGAAGCAGCAAAGCAATTCAAATAATTCAACTTGTCAGCTTGGAGTAATGTGGCTTGGAGGACTATGCTCGAACCATGGCTCTGCACTGAGTTGCGTGACTGCCACCAACAATCGATATTCTTTGGGACTGGTAGCCACTGGTCAGCCATGAGTAAGCCCCAGTAAGCCACTAGCACACAGACACACACATTGGAGAATTCAACACCTGAGACGACGAGGTCGGAACTCCCTACTACCTCAGCCCAGAGATCATTAAGGACCTGGGCTGCCTGGGCTGAAGGCATGCTGCAGCTAAGACAGGAAAGAGATGGAAAGAGAGGCCAGATTTCTTTGAAATTATTTCCATTTATTCCAAATTATTTCCATCTATTCATCGAATTTGGCTATCATTTTTGCTGTTACTCCCTCTACGGAGCGCTTCTTGCTCCGTCCCAGGATCGCCCCTACAACTTCACCAGTGATGTTTGGAGTTTAGGTGTCGTCCTCTATGAGGCCAGCAGACAAATAGAGTCTGAGAAGCTCTGATCTCGGCATGGGTCAAATGATGCCAGATGCATTGTTCAACAACGCTGCATGTTTCATGCATTTTGTAAGTTTGCTTCTGCTTGCTTCTGCTGGCTTACGTTTCATTGTTCTCATTGGTGTGACACGATAAGATCAGAGAGAGAGAGAGAGAGAGAGACAGAGAGACAGAGAGAGCCCCTCTACGCCCTTCCAGCTCAGCTCATTGAATGTCAAGAACTGTCACCTACATCAGGTTTGTCTTTCTTTTGCTGAAATTTGGATTTGCTCTGATTTGCCCTGCAGATGAGCACACTCAAACATCCTTTTGATGCGGATTCGTTGGTCCTCTTGGCCAGCAAAATCCTGAAGGCAGATTCTGTGTGGGTGTGCAGTGCAAAACCCGTTTTGACTCGACAATCTGAACGAAACACAAGCTGTAGTCGAATGCTTGCTGCCTCGTTTCAGAGACACGTTGAATAACTGCCGCTTTTGAATGAAACAGTGGCCGTTGAAACTTCATTTTTTACAATTAAGCCACCTCAAGACCTTCAAAAGTCTCAGGACTGAACCAGCTACACGGTAAAACAGTGACAGGATCAGTATCCTCCTCCGGACTCCTCCTACTCGCCTGAGCTCCTGTCGTTGATCAAGGCAATGTTGTGCAAGGCCCGAGTCGTCGGGCTCTACATGGTAAATGATGGACATTGAGTATCTTTAAGGTGCTGTAACAGTGCTTTTGAGACAAACTTTAAGATGCTTGAAGTTGATAAATTATGATAATTTATGATAAATTATGATGAATTATGATGAATTGGCCTTTTGTCCTTTGTGTACCGGTCGGACTCGGAGTTGGACATCTCGCAAGGGCCAACGGCCTGGGTCGTGTTGCCAAAAAGGTATGATGTTATTCGGAATCGCCAGTTTGAAGTGAGAAACCAGAATTCAAAGCAAGATGCACGAACCCTTCTATACACTAGGAGTTGTTTCATGATTTTCATTGAAGGGCAGGCAACACTTGTAGCATGCTCAGCCCTGCAACACAGAATTCGGAATTCTGGTTTGGACGAACAGTGACGAACACCTCTGGTCTGGCACATGGGGAGTTGCTACAACCTGCAGGATGCCCATATGCGACCGGTGGTCAACAAGATCCTGTGCTATGGATTTCTCCAGGCGGAAGCACATTGCTGGCTGGTTTTTTTTGGCCACGACTGGTTGATGTAAACGGAAATCGGAAATCCCTGGACACAGAATATGTGATTCAAAGTCTTCTAGCCTCCGCACATTTTACCGCGATAAGGCGATAAGGTACTGAAATAGAGAAATAGAAAGGAAATAGAAAGGGCTTTGGTTTTCTTTGGATGCTTTTCCCAGGAGACCATGGAAAAGGCCAACAAGGCCTACCATTTGGGCCTCGACCTTTCTGAATTTGCCAAGGCGGCCGCTGTGCTGTTTCGCCACAGTGTTATGAGTTCTTTGATGTTTAACGTTTTGCATCCCTTCATAACCCTTCAAAATGTGAGGGATCTAAAGAATGCAAATCTGCAAATGAACATTTTCTATCATGGCTTACTTCAGAGTAGGGCGATGCAGCCGAGGAATACAGTACTGTATCATACTGTATCCAGCTAAAGTTTGTTTCATTTGACTTGTTTTTTCCGCAGAGGATCTGAGATTAGGTATGTTTTTTTTGGCGATTGGAGGGCTGCTTTCAGTTTGTTTCATTGTTTCAATGCATGATGACTTCGGGTGTAGTTCATACGCTTGTTACCAGAAACCATCACCTTGAATGTTGTGAATACCGAAACTACAAATAACCTTAGCTGTTACCTTGCTATACCATATTCTATATAGATGACAATTTCCTAGACTATCAACCGCATATGTAATTAACTATCACCTTAATTAGGGTGAATGGTCACCTTTTTTGGGCCAATTGGCCAGGGTGAATGTACTCCAGAATGACTCCCCTTTGGATCGGTGTTCTGGATGGGCCAATTGGGGTGTCTGTGGAGCACAACTGACACGTGATCCCAGAAGTTATGAGTTGATAGCGCAAGGTGACAATTTCGCTTTTTCCAAGCAAAATACTCACAACACTCACCTTCAAAGGATGCAAGCTTCAGTTCAAGTGCGGTGAGTGCGCCGGATTCAGATGACACTTTCGGATACTTTCGGGAGTTCACATCCCGGACACTGTGATTTTTGCTGCAAGGCTGCCGCGGAGACGGTGATGCGAGAGAAGCAGGCCATTGGTGGCTCGTTGGATTTGACGGGAAATGACTAGCAGGATGACTAGCAAAGACAATTGACTTCTCATTGACTTCTCATTGACTTCTCATTGACTTCTCATTGACTTCTCATTGACTTCTCATTGACTTCTCATTGACTTCTCATCGACTTCTCATTGACTTCATGCACAAATACAGATGACAACATGGGTGACAAGATGAATCAGCAGTGTTGAGATTTGGATTTTGGATGCTCCAAAGTCTGCCAAAAGTCTGGCAGCCCACAGGTCTGCCTCCAGGCTACAGCCCACAGATGTGATTTGGGTATGCCAGAATTCCACCAAAGCAGTTGTGTCTTCTCGGCACCGCCATTCTATCGTTCAAGCGGGGACAACCACGCTAGAAGTAGCAATGTGCAGTCCCCTTTTGCCCAGTTTATAGAAAGATTCACTCATTTCACTCCGATGTGGAACCTCCGTGACAAGTTCCTGGCCCATTCACGGTGCAGGCACCAAGCCCCAGTGGCGCCACTGGACTGCACTTGAGAGATTCTCGACTAACACAGTGAAATATGTTTGTGAAATGTCAGTGAAATGCAGTGACGTCAGACTTTGCTGTTGGGATTGTGCAGCGGGTTGCGATGGATGGATGTATAGCATGTAGAGCGCAAAGATGTACAAAGGCGCCGAGGATAAATTTGTTGGACTCGGAGAGCAGCCTTGCTCATGGCAATCATGGCAATCATGGCACAAGGGAATTCACCAGATGACTCGATGACTCAACCGGCATGAACACAGTTGAGATACGGAATTACGATGAAATACGGAATCCGTGCCGCTGTCCGCAGAGTATAGCCCGAGGCATCGTCAGGGTTTCGTGAACCAGGCGCCGAGAGACCATGTAGTTGGATGTAGTTGGCAGATGTCGGCAGTACCATTTGTTTTGCGATGGCCATGCAGGCGAGATTTCCAACCTCATGCATGACGTTGGTGCTGGGGCTGTTGCAATGCCTGTACAGGGGAAATGCCCTTAGCCACAATGGTCTATACATTTCACGCACCAGAAACCAAAATTAGACCTCCAGATGGATTTGCAACTATGACCCTCTCTACGTGCCACCCAGTCAAAATCTTCCCGCTCAGATGTGGGAGTCGCCACGGCAAGCTTGCCTGGAAGACCGACAACTGCTACTTGGACGGCAAACATTACCGCCGTAGTCGAAACATGCACAGACCATCATCCTTGAGTGTCTTGGCTTTGAATTATCGTCTCTGAATAGTCTGACCTTGACTACGATTGGACACGTGTACCATTTGCACAGCCAGATTTTGGTTTCATGGTCATAATCTTCGATATTAGGCCAAAGTACGATAGAGGGGAGATGGATTGGGACAGGCTTTGGCATATTCAAACTAGGTGGCATTTTTTAGTAGCATTTAGTTTCCAAAGTTGCACTGAGCTGCAAAGGCTTCACCTGAGAAAGAGGAGGCTGGAACTTGCCAACATCTTGCAACCAGTTTTACTGATCTTTATATACAGATCATCCAACCAATATACACCTGAGAGTGCAAGAGGTCTCAAGTGCCATTTGTGACTCTTTGCATGGCCCGCAGAATGCTAAGTCAGGTGATGCAACAGGAGTTAAAGCATGCCGGCAAGCCCTGAAACTTCAAGATACAAGTCTAGGATGTGAAAATGATGAAAATCATGAACATGCAGGAATACGAGGAAGAGTTTGAAGACTACTCTGGCTCAGAGGCGCAACTTCACTTCTGATTCGGACTGATATGGACTGATCTAGAGCTTGGTCCCATGGTGGAAAGGTTCTGGAAATGCAAGGAATTTGCTCTTGAAAGTCTGAAGTCTTCCTGTTACCCGAGAACCACAAGGATCAGAATCACAAGGATCATAAGGATCATGCATGTTGCTGGATGCATCATGTTGCTGTGCGGCTTTGAGCACTTTGAATTGGCTATGTGAATGAACTGCATGGTTTGCAGTTTCTGTTTGCAGTTTCTGTTTGATCTCCGAGATCTCCCACACGTAGCTGTAGCAGCTGTAGCCTGCGATCCAAAACAAAATGATCCGATAGGATCAGAGCGAGGTATAACTCAGAGGTGTCGTGCACGGTAGATTCCAGTAGATCGGACATGCTATCAGTAACTCATCAGTAACTCTATCCAACATGTTGTCCAACATGTTGTCCAACATGTCCAACACGCAACATTGAGTGACCGAGCTACAGCATTGGCGTGTGTGCTGTGTGTGCCAGGCTGGCGATGAGAAGCCGCCCAGCGAGCTGAGGCACTTGAGCTGTAACAGACACTGCGGAATCGATGATAGATTTATGAAAGGTATTAATGTGATTTAATGTGTATTCATTGTATTAGTATGTATAGAATCACATAGATATGATAGGAAGTGACAAGCCAGACTTTCAAGTTGCCCTTTTGTGGTCGGATGATCAGAACATATCAGAACTATATAACATCGATTTTCCGCATCGATTTTCCGCGTGTACGTGACACGTATTTCCCATGCGGATCCATGCGGACTGTGCAGTGCTTGCAGGACCAGTGTGGCAAACCTCAAAATTGGCCAGGGAGCCCAGTTCCGGGGCAGGGTCGGCATTTTAAAATGTGGAGCAACGTGGAGATCCTGGAGCAACATGGAGAAACACAATGGAACCAATGTTGAACGAATGGAAACCAATATTCATCAATATTCTCCAATCTCAAGCGAAGTGTGACGACTGAATTTCACATTCGAGAACTGGCAGCTTGATTAGCACATTGACGTGATTGATCTTTGATCATTGATTGATCTTAGCAATGCCGTAGACGTCAGCACTGGCCCATCCCTGAGGGAATAGCAAGTCCATAGAGGCGCTGGGATTCGATGGGTCCTTGTGGTTCTTGAAGAATTTGTCTCGTGTGGGCCGTGTGGGTCAAGGTCGTTTGTGTATTCTTTGATTTCACCCTTGGCTGATCGTTGATTAGGGTTGAACGTACCTTCCTTATACCCTCCTTTTGAATACCGAATTGCTTGCGGTGTGTAGGTTGCTTCTCGCCCGGATGCCTGGATAGCAGTGGTTTGGGGGGTTGCCTGGCGATGATCGATCACCAGCCATGTACGGCTACTGAAAGCTTTGGCCACTTGTCGATGTGTGTGTGTGTGGTGCACGGAATCGTGTATCTGGATGTATCTAGGATGATGTGACCCAACCAGTTAAAGAGCGAGGCAGTTTTCCCTGCCTTGGAAGGATCCTTTGAAAACAGGAGAAGGTAAAGCCTGGGTCTTTGTCTTGCAAAGTTGGAGGTTGTTAACCGTGAGTTTGCATATGTTGGCACCTTCTCCTCTGACTACCCCTACAATCTATCCACCATGCATGAGCTTTATTAATTCAACAACACCTGCAAACGAAAAAGGCACAGACTCACTTGCAACCTGACAATGAGTCAGTGTTGCATTGATGACTGGATGAGATTGCTTTTGCCTTTCCTGCTGGGGTGGAGCTGCCGCACGAACTTGAAACACGAAACCACGAAGCCATGATTTCCGATGGTTTCCTCCTTTTCCATCTTTTCCTCCAATGGATTGTCCCACAAAGCCGCGCGTCCTGGCCAGAAGCAGATACTGGTGCAGTCACAGAGGACCGCGTTGCATCCGTTGCATCCGTTGCACTGTGGGCTTAGCATGATGTTTCATTCCGTTCTGCAGGTAGACGGTATCATACGATATGGATCGATATGGTATATACACACTGCGTCTTCAAGAGCTCTTTGAAGATATATGGAACAAAGATCAACAAAGAGAACATGAACGAACTGTGTACAGTGTACATATCATAGATTTGAACCATAGATGCCATAAGATGCCATAAGATGTCATAAGATTCCATAAGATGCCATAAGATTCCATAAATATTTCCAGGGTTTCAAGATGTTTCAAGGGTCATGTGATGTTTGGGATAAGACTGCGGCAATTGGGATCCCAGGAGAAGGCCGCAAGCTACGCTCACAAGGTGCGTCCGTTGGTCCGTTATGGTCCAGGGAAGAAGTAGCTTTGATAGCTGCAAGATGCAATTGTGTAAGCCACACATGTGATATCATATTATATAATATCATAACATATATATATATATATATTATACACATATAATATCAAATATTATCATCCTGCACTATACATTAATGAACATTTATCTATACGTATGATATTCATATGCCGGAATTCGCGGCAATATCTTCTGAGAAAAAAGGCTCTTTTGATGTGAAAGTTGACTATCTCAAACGAACTCAGGCGAATTCAGGTGGAATAGATTGCGTGGCGTAGTGCTTGCCACCAATACTGTATGTGCCACAAGTATGCTGGCTCGTGTTCACCTCAAGAATTCACGAGAGACGAAAGGATAACTAACTGTAATTTCTTCAAAACTTATCATAGTTCTGACCTATCGATATTGAAAAACACATGATAAACACTTTGAAGCTTCATTCCAGTTCGATCCAATCCGCAGTTTCAGCTGTCCACATTTTTCCGCCAGGCGGATGCCCTCAGAGCGTACCTTCGTGGGCAAATGCCAGAGGACGGTCGGATGCTTCCCGATGTAAACTGATAGGGACGGCCATGATCTTGTCAGTGAGATGCATCAAGATGTATCAAGCATATCCAGAGTATATCGAGAGTATATCCAGCGTGTCGGAGTTACAACAGGGCCAAGACTCACGAGGCTTCACATGTTGCGCACCTTGACTCCGCGCTTGCTACCCTTTTTGGACGTGTATCTATTGTACCAAGTGCGTCAAGTACCCGTGAGTACTGGCAGGCTGTTCTTTTTGAGTCTTACTATAAATTGCTTTGAGTGCAGCACTCAAAGCCTTTTGTGGGACAAGACCGTCACAGCTAATTGACACAATCCGACATACATTTTTTTTGGATGCATTTTGGTGCTTATCCACACACCAGGAAGAGTACCGCAAGGTTCATGCCCTGGTGTGTGCCTCCGGAGAGGCAAGGAACTGAACCCATATCTTGCATTATCTTGCTGGGTTTATAATGGTTTACGATGGACTTACGATGTTTATGTCTCCTTTCGTGCCGCATTTTCCCACTCTGAAAGAATCCGTCAGAATCCGTCACTGTCTCCGCTTTGAGGTGAGCCCTGAGGAGTTGCAGCGGCGCGTGTGCAGCGTGCTGGGCGCCGAAAAGGTGCTCGGAAGGGCGATGGAAATCGATGGAACTCCGGTTTTCGAAATCGTAAAAAAGGAATATCTAGGAATATCTAGGAATATCTAGGATCTTGAGATAGTAAGAGATGTAAGAGACATGTCTATCTTGCCCAGCGTTCGAAGAGAGACCGCGTCCAGAGTCCAAACACATTGCGAGGCCCCCGACCTGTTGACGCTTTTCCAGTTGCTCTGTTTCCTGGAAAACGTCTCTGTATGGATCTCAAGAGCGGCAGACGTATCGTGCTCGTACTGATTGCCAAGGTAAGACTCAGGTACGACATCTCTCCCAGAGCATTCAACATCTTGCAATCATATGCAATCATATGCATTCATATGCATTCATATGCATTCAGGCTGGAATCGGCGGCCATACGCCAACAAGCACCTGAACCGGCTGCCATGCTGATAGCTCAGCCATTTGAAAAATGAAGTGCACAGCTGTGGCACAGCAGCGAAGCAATGGTAGGGAATGCAGTGAACACTGTGAATGCTGTCGACTTCCGCTGGATCCAGGGCTGATCCAGTTGCCAAAAGAGGAACAGCTAGCCACCCCGATTCCAAAGGTGGTACTTCGGGACTGTGTCCAGGAGAGAGCACAGATCTTACACTGAGATGGTATCAGATTCTATCCAAGATTCCATCTTAGATGGCACCCACATTGTAACATCCGGAATTCGAAGAGAGACCTATATAATAATATATTATGATTATAGTAAGCAAGAGAGATTTCATGCGCTTCATTTTTCGGAGCTGGTCGATCGAATTGCAGCTGAGAGACGCTGGTGTGCACTGCCACTGGGCATTGCAATACTTTTTGGCAGCTTTTGAGCTAGTACAGGTTGAAGCAGGTCCAGTGCAAGACGGTGAAGGAAATATGTAGAAGTATTGGACAAAACAATTTAGAAGACAGATACAGATACAATATGATAATGGTGATACGTGTTTCCTGCCAGGTGCAAGTTGCTCAGCCGATGGCACTTGGAATTAGAATCCTGGCTATTTGGTTCTATTTGGCATGTTGTGAGTTTGTGTTTTCTCTACCTCTCATATCCCCTGAGATCCCCTGAGATCCCCTGAGATCCCCTGAGATCCCCTGAGATCCCCTGAGATCCCCTGAGATCCCCTGAGTCATCAAAATTCTTCGAGCCATACATCAAATCTTGAATTCTGTTTGCGCTCCAAAAGGACTTTCAGCAGGAGATATATCAAGGCCACGGACAAAATTGTACTCTCATCGTGGCGCGACACACACACACAGATGTATATATTGCACATGAAACAAAGTATATGGTCATTCTGTGAACATCTTTACTGGCTCAAAAACTGGCAGACACACCCAGCATTTCTCGAGCCTTAGAGGTTAACATTCATGCGGTCCATGCACATAGAATTCTCATGTTTTCACCTTGAGCCGCTGGCCGACTGAAGCACGTTCTCGAGGAAAGCTACTGAACGCCAAGAAGACATACGTTTTTGAAAGTTTCAGATAGTTTCAGTCTGGTCTTCCTCTGATCTTCCTCTGATCTTCGTCCTTCTGAACGTGTACTGCCTGTGACATTCACTGTGCAGAGAGAGAATTGCACAGGCCCTTTTTTCTCGCGGTTGGCCATGCTGTGATCAATCTAAACACATGGGGTGACTTGGCAAAGGAAATTAATAATTAAGGAGCAGTACCCACGGGCTTGATCTGAGGTCAGAGACACTCTGACTCGATACTGCGATACTGCATTTTGAATTTTCAGGGATGCTATGCTGCTGGGAAAAGAACGAACATGAAGATTCCATGTCTCAATTTCAGAATAGACCGTGATGCAGATCGCTCAGCATGCGACATGGTTTGGACTCAAATTTCTGAGCGACTGTGATATGTGATATGTATTATTCGTATCATTCGGAGTTGGTTTCAACATCTGAGCCACCCCATGGGCCTACGATCATCACTTCAGATTCTTGAATGTCGAAAAAGAGCCCGCTCAGCATGTTTACATTTGCAAACTCGTGAATGGCGGCCTTTGGAGGATGTAAGTCCAAGTCACTTGAACGGGGTTCGCTTCAACATGTGAGGTCTTCCATTTGTGCGGATAGCACGTTTGCTTAAGAAGCGACCCACTCAGCCGTGAATCATACCCATGTGTGACATTTGCAGCTTTTCAGCTCCATCAGAGGACACATGGATTCTCCGGTGGAATATACCAGGATCATATAAAATCATATAAATGATAAATATAAATGAAATGATAGCCGAATCCATGCCAACCATGCTGCATGTCAACGTTGCAAGAAAAACTACCACCAATGCCTGATCCGTTGACTTTGCAACGCCAAGTGCGTACAAGTCAGTGTACAAGAAGGCGGCGGGAATAGCACCACTTGTCCCATGTAGCACCAGCCTTCGGACATGACAAGCTCGGCTTGACAACTTGACCACATTTGAGCACATTTGAGCACACTGGGTTCATGGTGTTTTCATAATGTTTCATGGTGTTTTGACAATTTTGACATTGTTTGTCTGACATTGTTTTTATCGCCATGTTGCCGGCAATGACCTCACTGGGCACTAGCACACCGTCCTGGAGACCGGTAGCTGTCTCAGTGTGCTGTGCAGTGCTGTGGAAAGACAGGTGATTTTGATCCAATGTTGGTAATTCTTGGTAATTCTTGGTTGTTGGATGTTGTTGGTGTCTTTCTCACACTTTCCTGATGTACCAACGTTCAGACCCTTGGATCGATGATATATTTTGGGATTAGATGCATGGCAAAGGCTTCCAGCTCTACACCTACGAGGGGTAGCCCACCACAGCACCAATATGTTTTGTACCAACACGATTTTTATTTGTGATAGTTCTTTATCAATTGTTCAGAACCGTTCAACTACCTGCAACTAGATCAAGCATAATTGCACACAGGATGACAGGATGGTCCGTAGGAGCTTCTTGAAGTAGTCTGGTCTCTTGATGTTTTTCGAACCGAAGTTTCAAACATTTTCAAACCAAGTTCCATGTTGTTCCAGGTTTGGGTTTCATCAGTTTCATCTGAGGTGCGGTTTCCTCACCGGCACCACGAAGACCACGAAATGGCCGGGTGCAGGACCACCATGCACCACCATGGACCACCAACATTAACCCTAAAGTTGGAGGCATAGTAGTTCTGAACTGCTCTGAACATCTCTGAACAGAATAATAGTCGAGCCACCATATGATCAACACCATGGACCATATCAATCAAACAAGCAATGATGTCAATGATCAAGCAATGATCAATCAATGATATCAAAATATGAGTTATTACGAGAGCCAGCCGATAGGCTAGGCAAAGTTGTTTTCGCGAACGAAGTGAGTATAGGCTGTGTGGGGGGTGGAGGTTGCCCAGGTGGACCAAAATCTCATAAAATCTCGATATTGGGTGGTGATTAGGGTGGCCAATTGGAAATTTTTAGGGGGCATGTACCACTAGGCAATTTGGTGACGGTGGGGTTCGATTCCCCCTAGGTCCCTTGAAAACGGAAGGAAAAAGGTAGGAAAAAACTAAGGAAAATGAAGGGAAATCGTTAAAAACAGAGGGACGATGGAGGAAAATGGAGGAAAATTGTGGAAAAACCATTACACTGGAGGAAAAAATGAATGGCAAGCTTGGAAAAACCACGGAAATCGAGGAAACCGTTGTGAAAATGAGGAAATTGCAGGAAGGAAACTCTGGAAAAACCGTAGGGACGCAGGAAAAGGTTTGAAAAAAAGGCATGAAATGGAGGAAAGGCAAGGCATTGAAAAAGCTAGGAACATAGAGGCAAGCATATTGAAAAAACGAAAGATCCGAAGCTCAACGGAGAGCAGCGTCCGTTGGGCTTCGGAGCAAGACGGCTTGCAAGGGGATGAGGAGTGATGCCGGGAAGGAGTGGCGAAGGGTTGCAAATAGGACAATGGAGGAAAATTGTGCAAAAACCATTAAAATGGAGGAAAAAATGAATGGCAAGCTTGGAAAAACCAAGGAAAATTGAGAAAACCGTTAGGAAAATGAGGAAATTGCAGGAAGGAAACTCTTGAAAAACCGTAGGAGCGCAGGAAAAGGGTTGAGAAAAAGGTATGAAATGGAGGAAAGGCAAAGCTTTGAAAAAGCTAGGAACATACAGGCAAGCATATTGAAAAAACGAAAGATCCGAAGCTCAACGGAGAGCAGCGTCCGTTGGGGTTCGGAGCAAGACGGTTTGCAAGAGGATAAGGGAAGAGTTTCTGGGTGAAGAGTCTCTGGGTGAAAAGTATATGGGTGCAAAGTATATGGGGGAAAAGTCTGTGGGTGAGAGGTATATGGTTGACCCGTCTGTGGGTGAAAAGTAAATGGGTGAAAAGTATGTGCAAGAAGAGTTTCTGGGTGAAGAGTCTCTGGGTGAAAAGTATATGGGTGAAAAGTATGTGCAAGAAGAGTTTCTGGGTGAAGAGTCTCTGGGTGAAAAGTATATGGGTGAAAAGCATGTGCAAGAAGAGTTTCTGGGTGAAAAGTCTGTGCAAGAAGAGTTTCTGGGTGAAGAGTCTCTGGGTGAAAAGTATATGGGTGAAAAGTATGTGCAAGAAGAGTTTCTGGGTGAAGAGTCTCTGGGTGAAAAGTGTGTGCAAGAAGAGTTTCTGGGTGAAGAGTCTCTGGGTGAAAAGTATATGGGTGAAAAGTATGTGCAAGAAGAGTTTTTGGGTGAAGAGTCTCTGGGTGAAAAGTATATGGGTGAAAAGTATGTGCAAGAAGAGTTTCTGGGTGAAGAGTTTCTGGGTAAAAAGTATCTGGGCGAAAAGTATGTGCAAGAAGAGTTTCTGGGTGAAGAGTCTCTGGGTGAAAAGTATATGGGTGAAAAGTATGTGCAAAAAGAGTTTCTGGGTGAAGAGTTTCTGGGTGAAGAGTATATGGGTGAAAAGTATGTGCAAGAAGAGTTTCTGGGTGAAGAGTCTCTGGGTGAAAAGTATATGGGTGAAAAGTATGTGCGAGAAGAGATTCTGGGTGAAGAGTTTCTGGGTGAAGAGTCTCTGGGTGAAAAGTATGTGCAAGAAGGGTTTCTGGGTGAAGAGTCTTTGGGTGAAAAGTATATGGGTAAAAAGTACGTGCAAGAAGAGTTTCTGGGTGAAGAGTCTCTGTGTGAAAAGTATATGGGTGAAAAGTATGTGCAAGAAGAGTTTCTGGGTGAAGAGTCTCTGGGTGAAAGTATATGGGTGAAAAGTATGTGCAAGAAGAGTTTCTGGGTGAAGAGTCTCTGTGTGAAAAGTATATGTGAAAAGTATGTGCAAGAGTTTCTGGGTGAAGGGTCTCTGGGTGAAAAGTATATGGGTGAAAAGTATGTGCAAGAAGAGTTTCTGGGTGAAGAGTCTCTGGGTGAAAAGTACATGGGTGAAAAGTATGTGCAAGAAGAGTTTCTGGGTGAAGAGTCTCTGGGTGAAAAGTATATGGGTGAAAAGTATGTGCAAGAAGAGTTTCTGGGTGAAGAGTCCCTGGGTGAAAAGGATATGGGTGAAAAGTATGTGCAAGAAGGGTTTCTGGGTGAAGAGTCTCTGGGTGAAAAGTATATGGATGAAACGTATGTGCAAGAAGAGTTTCTGGGTGAAGAGTCCCTGGGTGAAAAGTATATGGGTGAAAAGTATGTGCAAGAAGAGATTCTGGGTGAAGAGTCTCTGGGTGAAAAGTATGTGCGAGAAGAGTTTTGGGTGAAGAGTCTCTGTGTGAAAAGTATATGGGTGAAAAGTATGTGCAAGAAGAGTTTCTGGGTGAAGAGTCTCTGGCTGAAAGTATATGGGTGAAAAGTATGTGCAAGAAGAGTTTCTGGGTGAAGAGTCTCTGGGTGAAGGATATGGGTGAAAAGTATGTGCAAGAAGGGTTTCTGGGTGAAGAGTCTCTGGGTGAAAAGTATATGGGTGAAAAGTATGTGCAAGAAGAGTTTCTGGGTGAAGAGTCTCTGGGTGAAAAGTATATGGGCGAAAAGTATGTGCAAGAAGAGTTTCTGGGTGAAGAGTCTCTAGGTGAAAGTATGTGGGTGAAAAGTATGTGCAAGAAGAGTTTCTGGGTGAAGAGTCTCTGGGTGAAAAGTATATGGGTGAAACGTATGTGCAAGAAGAGTTTCTGGGTGAAGAGTCCCTGGGTGAAAAGTATATGGGTGAAAAGTATGTGCAAGAAGAGTTTCTGGGTGAAGGGTCTCTGGTGAAAAGTCTATGGGTGAAAGGTTTGTGCAAGAAGAGTTTCTGGGTGAAAAGTCTCTGTGTGAAAAGTATGTGGGTGAAAAGTATGTGCAAGAAGAGTTTCTGGGTGAAGAGTCCCTGGGTGAAAAGGATATGGGTGAAAAGTATGTGCAAGAAGAGTTTCTGGGTGAAAAGTATATGGATGAAATGTATGTGCAAGAAGAGTTCCTGGGTGAAGAGTCTCTGGGTGAAAAGTATATGGGTGAAAAGTATGTGCAAGAAGAGTTTCTGGGTGAAAAGTCTCTGGGTGAAAAGTATATGGGTGAAAAGTATGGGCAAGAAGAGTTTCTCTGGGTGAAGAGTCTCTGGGTGAAAAGTATATGGGTGAAAAGTATGTGCAAGAAGAGTTTCTGGGTGAAAAGCATATGGGTGAAAAGTATGTGCAAGAAGAGTTTCTGGGTGAAGAGTCTCTGGGTGAAAAGTATGTGGGTGAAAAGTATGTGCAAGAAGAGTTTCTCTGGGTGAAGAGTCTCTGCGTGAAAAGTATGTGCAAGAAGAGTTTCTGGGTGAAGAGTCTCTTGGTGAAAAGCATATGGGTGAAAAGTATGTGCAAGAAGAGTTTCTGGGTGAAGAGTCCCTGGGTGAAAAGTACGTGGGTGAAAAGTATGGGCAAGAAGAGTTTCTGGGGGAAAAGTCCCTGGGTGAAAAGCATATGGGTGAAAAGTATGTGCAAGAAGAGTTTCTGGGTGAATTGTCTCTGGGTGAAAAGTACATGGGTGAAATGTATGTGCAAGAAGAGTTTCTGGGTGAAGAGTCTCTGGGTGAAAAGTATATGGGTGAAAACTATGTGCAAGAAGATTTTCTGGGTGAAGAGTCTCTGGGTGAAAAGTATATGGGTGAAAAGTATGGGCAAGAAGAGTTTCTGGGTGAAGAGTCTCTGGGTGAAAATTATATGGGTGAAAGGTTTGTGCAAGAAGAGTTTCTGGGTGAAAAGTCATTGGGGGAAAATAGGGGTAGATGGGATGCTGGCTTTCGTTCCCCCCTTCTCAGGTAAAGTATTAATAAAGTATTAACGTGATGGTCCTCTGCCAGTATAGTACTGCTGGCAGGTTTGCAGACCCAGCCTGACACCAGTGACACCAGAGCGCAGAAGCTCTTGTAGGACCTTGCGAGGCATGCGCATCACAATGGCCCTGGTTTCAGGCGAAGCGGCGAAGCGGCGAAGCGTTTCCCAGCGGTTCCATTGCTGCAGATGTCGCTCCATTGAAGTAGGTTGAACGGCGTCCAGAATGGACAGGATGCATTGCACATCACTACACCATGATTGACCTGCTGAAAGTCTTGACACGGTACGGCAGGCTCTTTTTGACATTTTTTGACTTTCCTGGAAAAAAACAATTTAGTTAGATGGTCAAATCATCAAATGACACACACACACAACCTGAGGAACCACATGAGTGGCCTACTGATCCTCACAAATTCTGATGCAGAGTCTGAATATGAAGGCATGATGTGTAGCTGTTGACATACAGAGACATAGAGAGACTCTATACTTCGTTTGCTGAGACATGAGATTTCCTTTACCTGATTGCAAACGAAATCAGAAAAAAAAACGCATCCATTTTTGCCAACAGGGTCCGTGGTGATGCGGGCAAGAAGAAGTGGAATGGGTGTCTGCTGGCATTGCACGAGCTGGGAGGGCAAGAAATGGCAAGACATGTGTAATAGAAAGGTTTTGCGGAGCTGTTGATCCACCCTTTTAGAAAGATTTTGGAATTTTGATGAATTTTGCAAACCCTCGCTTTAACAAAAGGATCTCTCTTGGCATCACTTGAGTGTAGGATACGAAAAGGCTTTCGGGAGTGCTTCACAAGATGTCCTTGCTCACGGCATTGATTTCTCTTTTTTGGTGTAAGAAATGTGTCAAAGCCCAGAGCAGTGACTGCAGCAGTGTGGCATAGTGCTGCAGTATGCTGCAGTGCTTTTAGTCGTTTGTGCCATTTTCTGCCAAGCCGCCAAGGCCATGAGTGAGTTGTTGTTGCAACTGCGCTCAGCTTCGGCGCCAGAGAGGGAGGAGATGCTCCATCAGGAAGATGCGAAAGGCGCGCAGAAGTTGTCCTTTTCTACGGATACCCACGGGGTGGGATATGTTGGGTTAGAGTGAATGCATGCGAACCCCTAAGGCTGAAGGTAGTGGTTGGATTTCCAACTCAGCAACACGAAACTCTTAGAAGTCTTAGAAGTCTTAGAAGTCTTAGAAGTCTTAGCTTCCAAGTGACAAGCAACCGAAGCAACCGAAGCAACCAGAGTTGCAACCAGAGTTGCAACCTTCGGCCTGCCGGCCTGGAAGAGTCCGGACAAGGAGCTCGGAGCTCGTTGTGCGCAGGCCTCAAAGCCATTTGCGCCGGCTTGGGCCGACCAACTGGCGGCACAGCCGAGCAAGCACTGCTTCGCATCCAGGTGGGCCACGTCCCTTGCCAGAAGAATCTCAGAATCTCAGAAGTGACTGCTGATGACTGGTGATGACTGCTGTAAATTGTACGAAAAACGTGAGAGTTATGAGATGGCAGGCTCGCAAGCTTCATTGCTCTGAAGTTTCCATTGATTTTTCCTTTGTTCAAACATGTTCAAACTTTGTAGACTCAGCCTAACAAGACGGCTTGAAGTGGCAGGAAGTGCTGCACATGGAGGATGGTCTCTACGAGGAGGGCCTCACAGCCCGAATCATCCAGGTGTGGGGGAGAACGGTCTGAGAACGGCGGAGGTTTGTGGATCCTCGTGTGGATCATCGTGCCATGGTGCCCCATGGACTGGTGTCGCATAGTGTCGCTTATGTTGAGGAATGCTGAAGATGACCCAAGCACCAAAGGGCCTCCTTTTTTGTGTTTAGGATTGTTCAGGGCGCGTTGTACCTGAGTTTGCTGTGGATAAATTTGGAAAGCTTTCCCTACCAGATCTGCTAGGATTGGAACATATTGGAACGTATTGGAAACAATCATTCAATTAGTTTGGGGAAGCCTAACACATTCTCCATTGCAAGGCGGTTGGAAAAGTCTCTGAAACCGACGGTGACGTCATAAGCTTCCTTCAAAGCCGCTACAAAGCTGATGAATTGCTAGAAGCCCAGAGAGCCCAGACACAGCCACGAATGGATTGTGGGCCTTTTGACGATTTGACGAGGCTTAGTGGCTCTTTTCACATCTGTTCACATCTGTTCACATCTTTTCACATCTATTCACATCTTTTCACATCTGTTCACATCTGTTCACATCTTTTCACATCTGTTCACATCTGTTCACATCATTTGACATCTGTTTACATCTGTTCACATCTTTTCACATCGTTTCACATCTTTTCGCATCTTTTCACATCTGTTCACATCTGTTCACATCTTTTCGCATCTTTTCACGTCTTTTCACATCTTTTCACATTGTGTCACATCTTTTCACATCTTTTCACATCTTTTCACATCTGTTCACATCTTTTCACATATGTTCACATCTTTTCACATCTTTTCACATCTGTTCACCTCTTTTCACATTGTGTCACATCTTTTCACATCTGTTCACATTGTTTCACATCTTTTCACATTGTTTCACATCTTTTCACATCTTTTCACATCTTTTCACATCTTTTCACATCTTTCACATCTTTTCACATCTGTTCACATCTTTTCACATCGTTTCACATCTTTTCACATCTTTTCACATCTTTTCGCATCTTTTCACATCTTTCACATCTTTTCACATCTGTTCACATCTTTTCACATCGTTTCACATCGTTTCACATCTTTTCACATCGTGTCGCATCTTTTCACATCTGTTCACAACTTTTCACATCTTTTCACATCTGTTCACATCTTTTCACATCTTTTCACATCTACTCACATGATTTCACATCTGTTCACATCTGTTCACATCTTTTCACATCTGTTCACATCTTTTCACATCTTTTCACATCTTTTCACATCTTTTCACATCTTTTCACATCTGTTCACATCTGTTCACATCTTTTCACATCTTTTCACATATGTTCACATCTTTTCACATCTTTTCACATCTGTTCACCTCTTTTCACATTGTGTCACATCTTTTCACATCTGTTCACATTGTTTCACATCTTTTCACATTGTTTCACATCTTTTCACATCTTTTCACATATGTTCACATCTGTTCACATCTTTTCACATCTTTTCACATCTGTTCACATCTTTTCACATCGTTTCGCATCTTTTCACATCTTTTCACATTGTTCCACATCTTTTCACATCGTTTCACATCGTTTCACATCTTTACATCTTTTTACATCTTTTCACATCTGTTCACATCTTTTCACATCTGTTGACATCTTTTCACATCTGTTCACATCTGTTGACATCTTTTCACATCTTTTCACATCTTTTCACATCTTTTCACATCTTTTCACATCTTTTCACATCTTTTCACATCTTTTCACATCTTTTTCACCTCTTTTCACATTGTGTCACATCTTTTCACATCTGTTCACATCTTTTTCACATCTTTTCACATCTTTTCACATCTTTTGCACCTCTTTTCACATTGTGTCACATCTTTTCACATCTGTTCACAACTTTTCACATCTTTTCACATCTGTTCACATTGTTTCACATCTTTTCACATCTTTTCACATCTTTTCACATCTTTTCACATCTTTCACATCTTTTCACATCTGTTCACATCTTTTCACATCGTTTCACATCGTTTCACATCTTTTCACATCGTGTCGCATCTTTTCACATCTTTTCACAACTTTTCACATCTTTTCACATCTGTTCACATCATTTCACATTTGTTCACATCTGTTCACATCTTTTCACATCTATTCACATCTGTTCACATCTTTTCACATCTTGTCACATCTGTTCACATCTTTTCACATCTTTTCGCATCTTTTCACATTGTTCCACATCTTTTCACATCGTTTCACATCTTTTCACATCTTTTTACATCTTTTTACATCTTTTCACATCTGTTCACATCTTTTCACATATGTTTACATCTTTTCACATCTTTTCACATCTTTTCACATATGTTCACATCTTTTCACATCTTTTCACATCTGTTCACCTCTTTTCACATTGTGTCACATCTTTTCACATCTGTTCACATTGTTTCACATCGGTTCACATCTTTTCACATCTTTTCACATCTTTTCATATCTGTTCACATCTTTTCACATCTTTTCACATCTTTTCACATTGTTTCACATCTTTTCACATCTTTTCACATCTTTTCACATCGGTTCACATCTTTCCACATCTTTTCACATCTATCCACATCTTTCCACATCTTTCTGCATCTTTCCGCATCTTTCCGCATCTGTTTACATCTTTTCGCATCTTTTCGCATCTTTTCACATCTTTTCATATCTGTCCACGTTTTTCCCCTTTTTTCCAGTCTTTCCACGTCTTTCCACGTCTTTCCACATCCTTCCACATCTTTTCACATCTGTTCACATCTTTGCACATCTTTCCACATCTTTCCACATCTTTCCAGATCTTTCCACATTTTTGCACATTTGCCACATCTTTTCACATCTTTTCACACCGGAGTAGAAGGCTTTGATGACAAGGTGCTTTTGTGAGACTCGGAAGTTCCCCAGCTTTGTTGCGTGTGCACGTGTAGTCATCAGTGACCGACCTAGGTTTGCGGAGGTCAGATAATCAGATACATGCTGGGCCCGAGATAAGCAGGTCATTTTGCTCTCACATGTTTAACAGTTTGTTGCAGCAGCTAGAAGTTTCAGCAAGGATCTAGCCAGTGAAAAACACACGCCATCACCTCTTTCAATTTGGTCATCGAATCGCATTGACACCCCAAACCTCAAGTGTTCTCTCAGCTTAATGGCCTTCCCGTTTCCGAGGAAGGAGATGTGCCGGAAGCTGGGCTTGCCCCAAAGCCCCTCGTCAAATTTTTGGACTGATGATTTCACATGATTTCACACTGTTCAATGAGGGGCTTCGCGATGTTCAACGGGCGTCCTTTCTGCGCCGTTGAACATCGTACCGATATGTACCGATGTGGCCTGAGGCGGTCGCAAAGCTCTGCTGGCAGAGCGGATCGCCAACAAAGCCGTGGAGCTTTGGCAGGTGATGAAACTCAGAGGTGGCAGCCGCCAGCATCCGCCAGCGCCAGCTGTGCTGTTTGCCTAACGGATTCCTGTTGCGGAAAACATGGGAAAGTATTGGAAAGTTATGTTTGCATTCTACTGGTCTCAGATTGGTCTCAGTATGTCTCAGTCCTTTCAGGAAGTTATCAAAGGTCGCATCGGTTTCCATATCAGGTTCCCAGATGTTCCCAGTATGTTGCTACGTAACACGTTGCACATCACTGCACATCATTGCACATCATTGCACCATGTCACCATGTCACCATGTTACACGTGTTTTCTCCATTGTTCTCCCTAGCCAGGTGAAGGAACTTCCACCAAGCAGCGAGTTGGGTTCCGCAGAGAGATCGGTAGATTCACGGTAGATTCATATAGATTCATTGGATGTGATTAGTATTGATTAGTGAGATGATTGGTTGAATTAGTATGGATCAATTGAATCAATATGAATTATACATGCTTGTCACATCTTGTCACACTTGTCTACGTTTGTATTGATGCGCGTGTCTGATTGTATTTGGGCATCCTAAGGTGGAGACAGTGGAGACAGTGGAGACCGTGGAGACCGTAGAGACTGTAGCCGAAGGTGTCCAAGGCCTGCAGGGTTCAGCCTTTTGTCACAAAGCACTGGTCCAAGCTCAGTTTGAGCCCTTTAAAACTTTAGCCTTTACTATTCAATTCTATTAAATTCTGTTAAATTCTAATTATTCATCTATATATTTGTGGTTGAGCCGTGAGTGTTCACTCTGTGCCATAGTCATGAGTCTCCTTGAATATGATCCTATTATGATTCCATTAATTCGAATTTATTTACGTATATAGTATATTAATATGTATTATTCAATTTCAAGACCATACAAGGTGACAGAAGCATTCCATGGAATCAATGTAGTGTTCTTGAGCCCGGCCACATTTGGCCACGCCGATTTGCCCAAAACATCCCAAAACATCCCAAAACATCCCAAAACCATTGTCGCCTTTGCAGGTGTCGCGGAGCCTGTCTCTGTGCCATTCTTATTTGCTGGTCAAATCATTTGAGCACATGTGGGTCCAAAAGCTGACGAGTTGGAAGAAGCGGAGAATCAAGACATTCATAAATATTTTTAGTATTTTTTAGTATGATTGAAAATCACAAATATACCATGAGGTGACCTCAACTTCGCGAAGGTCTCGAAGGTCTCGAAGGTCTCGACCACCTGAAGTGGAGGAGGTGATGCAATCTGTCAAAGAAACTTGCCTGAAACCATGGATCGGACGGCAGATGCTGCCTGTATGAAGGTCATGAGATGTCATGAGATGTCATGAGATCCTCTTGCCCAGGTTTAAACGCCACGTCTTGGTTATGTAATCCACTTGCTCTTTTTTGTCGGCAGACTTGTGTTTGTTTTGTTTGTTTTCAATTGCATTTAATGTGTAGAATGGAGAACAGCCCTTAGCATCCCTAGCTATGTGTTTATGTGCGGCTTGTTCTCTGACAACGTGTAAAACGTTTCAATATGTTCAGTACCAAGGTGAATTCGATTTGTGTGCTGCTTTTTCCTGCAGCTTACAGTGTCAGATCCTTCTACTAAAGTGTTCTATTTGTTGGCAGCGCTGATATTAGGCTTATCCTTTTTCATTTCTCGAAATTTGCCAATGTCGACACATGTTATTTGTTGCATTCAACATTGTGTTTAGATTTGATATATATAATTGGATGTGTTCTGATGAAGTCTGAAGCCTCTTCTTGCGGATTTGCTAAGGAGATGCCGGACGAAGGCAGAGTGCAATACTCACAGCGGGGGAGTCCCCTCCCTCTTCTTTGTTCTGGAAGTTCCTTGCGGATCGCATGGCTTGCACACGGTTTCATGGTGTATTTCAAGATTCCAGGACTGAACACATAACGGCTTCAGAAGAACCAAAGAAGATCGACTTGAGTAGGGCTGAATAGACAATTTGCATCAATTTGCCAATTTGCCACAGATGTTAACATGTCACGTTCCAAGCACAGGTGACATCTCCAGAATCAGTGACCCACCTGTGGCCGCGCAGGCTGGGATGGGCCATTGGATGACCTTATTGCCTTCACACATTCCAACCATTCTAGTTATCTTATAATGTTTACCTTATTGTAGTTGTTGGGTTGTTGGTCTTATTGTGAATTATTTTAAGTCATGTTATGCTATGCCAATTTATGTTATTTTATGTTATTTAAACTATTCTGTAAGAATGTCACGTCCAAAGTAAAATGCGTCAACATGCGTCAACCACTCCAGTTTGCATCCTGTCGTCTCTTGCATCGTTTGTAGCTACAGGAGCCGTTGGAGGCAGAAGTTCTGCACAATGAAGAGGTGCATCACTCTCGGCCCACAGATCTTTTTGGTGCAAAGGTGTTCTCTGTCGAACAGATGTTTTCTGTCGAACAGAAGGAGCTTGTGTATGTGACCGCTGAGATGTGATGGATCTCAGGTGGATGCAGACTCCTTTGAGGAGGACAGATTCCAAAGCCGAGACAGCAGTACAATGCAGTACAGCATAGTACAGCATTAGCCTTTGGTGGACATCAAACAGATCCTGATCCCAGTCTCGTAGACTGATAGTTGATGATAGTTGGATAGACATCACACCTCTCAATGGGTTTGGTTGTGGCAGTTCTCGTTGGAATGTAGAAGAGATACTTGCTGTCGATTCACTTGCAGGATGAAGACGACGAAGATGAGGAAGATGAAATGGCAAGGACGTTGGAGCAGAGCATAGCAGAGCGGTTTGGTTGGTAAAGTTTGGAACAACGTTCTTCGACGCAAATGATGCAAGAAGGTAAAGGCTTGTGCGCCCCTCGAGCCACTCGAAGTGTATCGTAGATTTTTGTAGATCCATTGTGAAAATGCTAGCCAACATATGGCAAGCAGATTTGGTTTAGCTTCCTTTCCAAGATTTCCATGGCAATGTCATCCCAGCCCAAGCTTTTTTCAGGAATGACAGTGATTTCGACCACACAAGTTGCTCACACAGCACAGCATATCCGGCACATCCGGCATATCCGACATCCTCTTAAAGGTGGCAAGGATTTTGTTGCTTGAATGGGAATGCATGGGAGACATCTGACTGAAGGAAATTCACAAGAGTTAAGCCCTTCTTACATGTCAAGCCATTTCGGGAGATGTGATTTGACATCAAACGTGAGGAAGCAAAGAAGATTCAAGGAAAGACGTTCCAAATTGATGGGTTATGTGGTGGAGGTGTGGAGCATTGCTGGCGATTCAAATGCAGACCTGGAGTGACAACCAAAACGAGATAAAACAAGGCTGAAATCAATTCGTTGAAAGGAACGGCCAGGCAACCTGTTTGATTGGACTTTGAGCCAAACTATGGCTCAATTATGTATATATTATGTAATATATATATATATAATATTATATGTATATATATATATATATCGACAGGTTGCCTTCCATTAGCTTCCAGTCACCTATACTTACCTGCTGTTTCAGAATTGATCACTGGACCGTTGTGATTCGGAGTCGTGGCATTCACCGCAGGAAAACGCGAGTGTGTATGGGGAGGATCAGCAGAGGTACCTGAAGGATCTGAATGCTGCAATCGAGGACTCATAGCAAGGCTTTGATCGACTCTTCTTGACATATAATATACTATCTAGGTTACAGCCAAGTACATAGCTTGATACAAGCACATTGACCTTTGAAGTGCCGTAAAGCGCTTTTTGTAGAAAGTTTGAATAACGCTGCTCTTTGTTTCAGATGCTCCATTTGAAATAACCTCAATTGAGATTCGATGTCAAAGATCTTGCCAAAAGCTGCAGATTTGCCAGCGCCATCACCTGCCTCTCGGATTGATCAGGAAATGTCTGACGGAGTGCGGCTCTCTTACTTGAATGACAAGCTGGAGGCGGGGCCTTAAAAGCCACCATAAAGATGATATATATATATATACATGTATACATATGATGTCAACAGAGTTTGTTGGCCACGGACTTGTTCAAGTCTAGAGCATTGAATACACGGAATAGACGTCAAATGATCTAAGCAGCCAGTGCTCCCATGACCAGTTGGGCATCTTGTCTCCAGGCGCCCAACCTCGACAGCCGCCTTCCCAAGGCTGGAAACATCGAGCAGGACCCATTCAACTATCAACAACTGCGAAATTTCGCAAACATATAAAATGTAAAAGTCCCCTACAAGTCCTGCATTTCACATCTCATAGAGTCTCAAGAAGGCTAAAGTCTCAGAAGCTCCCTGACATGGGACATTCACGGGTCTCATGACTTCTGGTGTCCAAGATGCGCCTGGCACTGCATGGGAAGCTTTCCTTCCCACAGAGATCGTTTTCCCATGGAGCTTTGTTTCCACCCAAACGACCGAAATACTGCACCCGCGTCGGGTCCCAAAGCACAGAATGTCGGTTTCCGGCATTCTCGTAGTGCATGAGCAGATCGAGCAGATCGAGCAGTGTCAATATGTGTCAATTGTCAAAGTGTCCTACCGATCCTACCGATCTGCCTCCTTTCGCTTTGATATTTGATGTGGAGGTCTTGGGACCGGCAAGGGACACCGCAGAATATGCTGCCTGGCACGTGGAACCCTACAGCGCGCCCTGTCTGGTCAGATGATGTCCGGAGGGATGTTCACAACTCTTGCTGCCTATTTGTGCAAGCAATATGATACAAGATGATAATATAAGCAATGACGACTGATCGTAGATACATGGCCGGCCTATGCTGGTTTCATACTGTACATCTGGTGGCTTTACTGCATTCTTGTTGAGTGAAAAGGCTTCCAGACCTTTGCCATATGCCATATAGTTTGTATTATTTTGTGATGTGAGCCGCGTGCTCTGATTTTTCACGATTTATCTAGTCAAGTGTCTCAGTCTCCACAGCTTTGGAGTTCCATGTGCGTTGGATGAGATGTCAACGTTCTATTCAAGTTTCCTCCGATGGGGCTGGCAAGTGCAACTCGACACTCCTCAGGAAGAGATGCACATGGTTGGAGAGCTGGGACCTGCGCGAGTTGTTTCTTGGCAAAGGGAATCTGCGAAATAGATGAAGACATGTGAATGTGATATGTAGCAGTGCATGTAGCGGTGCATGTGGCGGTGCACCTTTGTTTGCCCCCACGAAGATTTGATCCAGGTTGCTGTGAGAAAAAAGCTCGGACTGCTCGGATGTCCGCCATGAGCTTATGTGATGAGGCTTACTGCAAATGGTGGAATCGCGCACGTGGGCCCGAAGCTGAACACTGATTGCTGCAAGATGTGCAACATGGGTGCGGAGAAGTTTCATTTGCGGGCCGTTGAGCAGGAATTACATGGGAAGATGTAACCCTCACATACCCTGAGATCGTCTGAGATCATGATTGATCTATATTGATCTGACTTTTAGGGTTGCACAAACATGCACAAGCCATGTTTTCCTATTTCAATTGGGATTTGTTGTCCACAAGACCACGGGACTAGAAGTCGTTTCTGTAAAAGAACTGGATCAACTCCTCGACACCATTCATTTGTGAGTAGAGTAAATTCATTGAAAATTCGATCATTCCAGAGAAAACAACTCAATTGAACTCCAAACATATGACTCAAAATTCAAAAGTTATTCAAAATATTTCAAAATATGTTTTGGGAGCTGTGACACGGTGGGTCCTTGGCTCTCTAAAACTCTAAGACTCTAAGGTGTGGCGAGGTGGTCGACACGGTCGACAAAGGTGTTGCTGTGGTTTTAGCCGCTGCCCTGACCACTGGCGCCAACGTTGCGCCCACCGCCAAGCGTGAGGCCCTAGATGCGGGATTTTTTTTCAGCATAGGGCTGCTTGCACCACACCGAATCTCCAAAAACGGTACCAAATCTTGTTTGGATACATGATGATACATTTAATGGTACATGATGATACATTCAATGTACATTCAATGTTCTTGAGAACAACAGTGAGCAACTTGCACGGACTCCCGAACAACGGACCCTTTCCAACTCCTGGAAGTTGAAAGCTCAACAGCTGAGAGATGTTTTCAAGAATTGTGTGCTTTGAACTTCCCAAAGGCACTAACAATGAGTTCCGATGCACAACTTGAACAGTTTTTTTGCTTTTTGCGCTTGACCGTTTTGTGTGCCTGTGTGTGTGCGTTTGTGTTTTTTTTTGTGAGGATTTGAGACCCAGCTGGAATGAGTTTAGATGCCAATGGCAGCAGTTATCCAAGTAAAGGTTGTTCGCAAGTGGCACTTGACCGACCAAACACAGTTGACATGGACCCAGGTATTTGATCCAGGGTGAGATGGTGGAATATCGAAGGCCAAGACTGGTGGCTTTCTGGTTCGAGATGAAGGGAATACTATGGAATACTCACATTATCTCACATTCCTTTAATTTCCTTTATACAGTATTATACAGTAACATGTTATAACGTGATTGATCGTCTTGGACCGCGCCCAGGGTAAAAGATGCCGATCTTGACAGAGGGATCCTTGTCCGCGGTGTTCGAGGCCCACTGCCATGAAGTTGTGTTTGGCTGTTTGGCCCGTGTTTGGCTCATTTTGGCTCCAGAAAAGTTGAGCACCAGGGATGTTAGTTGCTTCGCATGACATCATGTTCTTTTTGGGAAAAGCATGTTGAGAAATGTCGAGAATTGTTGTTCTTTGCACTTTTTAATTCCATACACATCCATAGACATCCTATCTCTCAGTCCCCTGTTGATCCCCGGAGTCTGCAAGATCTTTGTGCTGTGTGTTCGGTCGTAGGATCTGTGGTGCAATGTATTATATTTAGAAAAGATAATACAATATAATACACACACACACGTTTAAGTGACGGAAGTTCGAAAGTAAAATACATTGTGTCAAGTTGGTATTTGTTGACGTTAGGGAGGGATTTACATGATTCACCTTATTCCTCTGTACCCAGTCAAGTAGCTATATAAAAGTTACATACCTCAATCAAACAATTCTTGTTTCTGCCCCAGTTCGGCAACTAGAAACTCTTCCTCTGTGATGTATGCAGCTGACATCTTATCCAACCATATCCAACCCAGCCTTCTGAAGTTCGGAGTTCCTCGTCAAACCTTGCCAGGGTGGCCATTGACCTGTGAGATGGATGGAGCGAAAGCCTTGCCTGGATAGCCTTCCAAATTGCTGGATGATTTGCTTATGATTTGCTTAACCTACCACGATAGTCTCGATAGTCAAAGGAAATGATGCAACGAACTATCCCTCTTAACTAAAACGTAGTCGCTTCGAAAGCTATCCATGGGGACTGCTTTGTCATCGCTGCTGCGAGAAATGAACGTCAATTAGAGGCTGTCCAATCATTGGTATTTGCCTTTTGGCCATGTTGATAAGTTGTTTACCACATTGTTTACCCGTGTCTTGGAAATCTCTCGGAAATGCTGCATTATCCACAATTGTTCCATCCTCGTTGGTTGCTGCAGTGGTTGGTCTTTGTGGTGTGTCGGACACTGATGGATTGTGCGGACTGTAGCAGAGGCAAGCAATCAGACTTTGCAAACAAATTCGCACCTTCAAGAACCGCCGGAACTGAATGCAGAACACATTGGATCAGAATATCGGCGCAAATTCGACGCTCTATCAACCAATGATCTTCAACTGAATGATGTCCATCCATAATGAGATGAAGTATCAACTGATGTCCATTTTCGCGTCCACCTAGCTGTAGCTGGGTACAGTTCTGCGATGGATGTGCAGAGCTGCTCAAGTTCCACGGGGGATTGGAAGGACAGGAAACTTGGCAGAAACTGTCCAAGCAGCTTGAAGTTTTAACAGTTTTGGATGCTGTCTGACTGAATTCAGTACCTTGATGGAAAGATTGGAAAGCTAGATGAAGATGCCACTTGCCAGCGAACCATGAACGTATTGAATCGCGATATTTCATATTGAACCTTCTGAGTGAGCATGGAAGGCCGAAGTCGACAACCTAAACACTTAACTTGTTCACAACAAAATGAGCCACATCAGTTGGTCCGAGTTGGTCTGAAGACATCCACTTGCCGCAGACAGTTGTTCTTTGATGTTATTTACCATCTGAATTCTTGCCAGATTCTTTTGGGCATACTTAGGAAGTGCCAGGAGGCTGAGCTTGCAGAGTTGGGCTGGGAAATTACTGTAGATGAATTTGTAGGATTGTCTTTAATATCCTTTAGTTCCTTTAGTTCCTTTAGTTCTATGCATCAAACATCAGGCATGGCAACACTGCCACCCGACAATCGATATGATCAGATCACCAACTACAAAGTGTGTTTCTTTCCGAGTTGTCCTTGGATTTTCACTGCGCTCGTGGGGAGTCACCTTTGGGCTTGAGGATATTTACAGAGGTGGTTTCTTGCCATTTGCCTGAAAAGCAGAGTCTATTTGCTCAGTACTGATCCCTACCATTTGTTGGGCAACAAGAATCCAGCTCCATGTGTCAGTCTATGTACATGTATCTTATCTTCATGCATGTGTATTAGTACCTGTGCAATACATATATATATACATATAATTATATATATATATATATTATAATAAGCAGTCCTTGTTTGGAACTACTCCCAATTCCAAAGCACTTGGACTCAGTGACAGGCATCGCTCTTCCTCTTCCAAAAAGACCCTTTTGTCCACGTGCCGTTGTGTGATTTTCCTTCACTTGTTAGCTAGAGGCACTTGTGTCCAAAGATCAATGGTGCTCTGTATTGTGAATTTGATCAGGCAAAGTCAGCAGAAGCAATCACTGATCTTCTGCTGGTAGCACTGCAAGAGGAGAATTACAGGACTGATTCTGGTCGGTTCTCATTTCATGGGACCGGAGCAGAAATCACTGTAGAATGAAAGAAAAAGCAAGCCAGATTCAGGGACCTAGACCGGACTGAGCAGGCTAGCTGAGGTACCACCTGAAGATAGCACACGCCAACATGTCCAACAGGCCATTGAGGTGATTTCGAAATCTATCCCACTTTGAACTCGGACTGAAGTTGACTGGCCAGAAGATCAAAGATACTTTTGCAACCCATGATCAAGGATGTTTCTCAATCAATGGCTTCATATGGCTTCTGGGATCAAGATTCGTACTTGCTGCATCCTTTTTAAATGAATTCTAGCTATGTCGGCCTAGCCGTCAGCTGTTTCTTGACGGCAGGCTAAGAATTCGCTTCTTGGCCGCGATTGGATTTTGCAGCTGGAACTTTTTGGATTTCGGCTTCCAGCTGCAGCACGGTACAGGTCTGTTTGCAGCACTTGAAGCTTAAGAACTGAGCAGAGACAATGGTATTTCCTGAAATCATAATACGTTTACTCGGAAAAAACAGGTAGTTGGCAGCTTGACAATTCGCTGCAATCGTTCAGATGATCGAAATTGCGTGGGAACATGTTCAGGGCGACTGACACAGCCCTTCCGCTTCCCCTGCAGCTTGTTGGTGCTGAACACCTCAAAGCTACAAAACGCACTCCTGCACAAACTACCAGAATCTTCAACCCTACACAATGCGGATGCTGTCCCAACTCCTCCCAACCATCCGATCTATTCCTGGATTTGATATGATTTGAAATTATTTTGAACATTTTGAATAGATACCATGCTTGAGCATCATGAAGAATTCATGAACCATGGAAATTGAGGAATAGCATGGAAGAGCTATAAAATGCTATAAATAGTTCCGTAACATGTTGAGGAATTTGTAGGAAATGGCATGGAAATGGCATCAACCTTGCCCAGGTGCCCTCCAAGGCATGCGCCATGGCAAGTTGCGACGCCTAACACGAGAGGCCTTGCAGGCCTGGCGTGAGGACCGCGGAGGGCCATGGAAAACGATGAGAGATGAGACGATTCAGACGATTCACTGTGCGGTATCAAACATGTGATCACAATGAGTCACAATGAGTCACAATGATCATCAACGAGTTGCATTTTGTGTTCCAAATTCGATGGAATGCGTTTTTCCTGCATTCAGCTGCATTCATTCAAGTCAATTTACTGTAATTTGCAAATGGTCCTTTTCAAATCAACGCAAGAAGCTAGTTTTGCCGATCCCACTTTGACTTGCAGTTCCTGACTTTCTGCTAAGTGCATCTTTGCATCTTTCAGTCCAGACACAATAATGCTCAGAATCTTTTTTTGCACAGCTGTCCTCGAAGGATGTACGTTTGAGGCGGCTTCGAAGTCAGGTTCTACAGCATGCAGCACCTCATCCTGCACATAATCAACGAGCAACACAAAATCCGACGGTGAGAAGACTCGAACCCATGCATTTGGTCAGGCTTTGCTGGTGAATTATCTCGGAGAATCTGGAAGAGAATGTCTGACAATGTTTGCAATATGAGACTCAAAAGTTCTTATTCCAGGCGGGGTCAGTTCTAGGTAAGTCATAGGCAAATCATCAAGAAGTTGGGAGCACTCAATCGGTTCAGCCGCAAGATATGGCAATTCGTTTTTGAGTTCAGTTCCCGGAAAAGGAGGCGTCTATGTTGTCACAACTATTTTTTTTTCAGAAGGTCAAATCTATTGCTGTAGCATCCTGTTCTCTGGCGAGTCCCTGCTTTGGGTTCACCGGAAGTTAGAACCAGATACGTGGTTCAGGGGTGTACTCTATTTACTCTGCTCAATCTTGACGGATGTGTAGTCATTTGCACCCCTTTTCAATGCAACCTTAGCAGTAGCAGAAGAATCCTAAGAGGATCGAAATGTCTCACCACTGACGTTTGCACTGCAATGTGCTACTGTACTGGTTTGCAAGTTCTCACACACTCCGCGTCAAGGCAGAGTTTGCGTTCGATTCCCAGCGTATATCTGTAGAGTTGATGGCAAGGGTTGAAGCTTAGTTGCTGGGTGTGGGATTCCTTTCAACGAATTGCATTCTCTTTCAGGATACCAGGTGTCAGGAACTGTATATACCATTTGTACCGCCTTGAACAAGGAGCGGTCTTGGTGGTTGCAGCATACATGCCAGAGAATCAGAATGCCAATGACGAACGAGAACACATCAGCGTTGACGTTGACACAGACTCGACCTCACTGATTCGGATTTCCTTCGTACACACTTGAGATCTCTTGAGCCCATTTCTGACCCGAGGTTTTGCATCAGACCCCTATCTACGCCTCATTCCATGATGAAGGCAACAGGGGGACTCAATGGGACTCAGGGGGTTCCGGAAGATTTCCCAAAGATGCATTGACCGCCAGTAGCCTCGTGACGTGGCAAAGTGTCTCAGTCAGACAGATCCAACTGTTGTCAATTGTTGTTCGTAAAGGTGTTTGGCTGGCTGAAGAACCATCAGTCTTCTATGTCTACGCCGTCTATGCACTCAAAATGAAATGTGTTAATGAAGGATTCGTAGAGAGACCCTGGAGGCTCCAAATCCTTTTTCTCCATCAGCCCATGCATGTGCGGCTCAAAAAAGAGCCTTGAGCGCCGGCCTAAACCAGTGGCCTTCGAGTCAAAAAAACGCGGAGAAGCGTGGAATGCAAGTGATTGAGTTCTTCTTCCTCTTCTTCCTCTTCTTCCTCTTCTTCCTCTTCATGATCAAACTGTGATGCGAATCAGCACAACAGAGAAGATGGAAAGATATGTCAATGCAGTTTATGCGTTCGGCCTATAGTAAGCACAACTGTGACCAAATCACCCACACTCAAAGGACAAAGGCACGGAATCAAAGATTCTGAAACCATGTCACCCAACTCCTTCAAGTAAGTCCGTGGTCTCAAACAATCTGGACTCCCCACCAATGTCCCTTCAGCACCCAGTCCAACCTCAAGTTCTCGGTTCTCGCATCAAAAACCGCCAGCATTACAGCCGATAAGTGTTGGCAGATTGCTTCAATTCGGAAACGCAATGTTGTGTGGTGGTTGGATTGTATCTTCCAGCTGAGAGACCAGCTTCAACTATGAATGCGACAAAAGGATATAAAAGGTACAAGTCAAAGGCACCACAAAGGTCTGGCATAGCATCCTAGCAGCCGCTAGCAGGCTGCTAGCAGCCCAATCGGCTTTGCAGGCAGTCTTCACAAGCTGGCTGAAGCTGGCGAGCGGTGTCCAAATCCTACGCTGCATGCAGCAGGCCACTGGATCATTGATGAAATTTGATGAATGTTACACAATGTGTTACACTGAACATCACTGAACTGTTACACAATGTGTTGCGAATGTTGCGAGTTGCTTTGCTCCCTAGAGACTTTGTTGGTTCTCTGACACTGAACTTATAAAAGTAGTTCGGCATAGTCCTTGGTCCTTACCTTCATGGAGAAAATTCCCATCGTCATGATTGTCAAAATCCTGCAGTAGCTCTTTTACATGCCTTTCTACAACCCTCATCAACCCTCCACACTGCCCATCCGATCCCATCGACAGGAACTGGAATCACACCGTCAAGGACATGTGCAGTTGGACCCTCTCAGCTGGCTCAATGCTTGATTGTTTCATGGTTTGTTCCGCAAAACGGTGTCACAATCGAATTTATTGCAGCTTCCAGTGGCCAGACATCGGAGCTGTTCGAATTGCAGAGTCAGGGATCAGCACGGTTGAGATGGTCGGGATGGTTGGGACGGGACTGTTGAGATGGTTGAGACGGTCGGGACAATCCGGACAATACGGATGGTCGGGAAGGGGAGAAGGCCTAAGAGACGGAAGAAGAAGAAGACGAAGAAGCAGAAGAAGAAGAAGAAGAAAAAGAAAAAGAAGCAGAGGAGCAGGATAAAAAGGAAGAAGAAAGGGAAGAAGAGGAATCAGTTTTTCTTGTTCACGTAAGGAGATCGAGATGGAGGGGGCCACCTTTAGAACACCGGGCCGCCTGTGATCTTCTTAGGCAACCTTAATATGTTTGGTTTCATGACCACTTTTCTGCGGAGGGTTTATTGGACAAGTGTGGATTTAAGCGGGTCCTCGAATCAGTGCAACCGTTGCTCCTGGGACGCATGATTGGGATGGTCCTGATCGCATGATGTTTAGGATATTCGACAGCCACAACAGTCATTGAGTCGTGAAGCTATGTTCTTGAGTCATTAAGATGCGCTTACTGATGTTGGATGTATAGTCAAGACGAGGGGGATGCTGTTGATGGCCAGTATCATTGTTTGAATGCTCGTGGGGGCTGTCCGACAGATAGACGGTTTAATTGAGATACACAAGCATGCTAGGTATAGTCATACCGCTCCCAAGTTGCACTTCTGAGGGTGATATCTCATGTAAGACTGTAAGAGGCATAAATTGTTATTTGCAAGTACAGATATGTTTGCGTAAATACCAAACGCGACTAGCGACCTGTACCCCTCAAGATACCAGAGCTATCATGTGTAATGGTAGAAGAAGTGTTTGTACGGTTTACATTTGAGTTGTCCCAAGTGGATTATAGGACATTATAGGATTTAGGTATATAGAGATCGTAAAGTCCCACTTGGGTATTTCATGCTTTGTGCGCTAAGTCTGGGTTTCCATGGTACCCACAGAGTGCCTGGCCCAGGTCACGCTCCGAAGCGAAGACGGAGCCGGAGCTGCAGGCTAGCACGCCAAGGGGAGTTATTCAATGATTTCAATGTTGCTCTCTTTTTTTGTTTCAATATACTGTGAAACCAGCATCTTCGCAACATGTCGCAACCAAGCGCAAAAAAAATTGAATAATTAGCGTCAATTGCCGCCGTCCAGCGCGCAATTTATGGACACTCGGGCGCCCAGACCATGGGCCCAAAAATGGGGCCACGAATTTGGAGGCCAGTCTGGGTCCAGAATCTTGCCCTATTCTTGGGGCCGCAAAACACACACGGGAGCTGCTACATCGAGCTCCGTATAGGCAGCAAGGAGAGATACGCTGGTACATGTGCTGCCGCCAATGCGGGCTGGCAATCCATGATGCTGTACATTATATATATAATTATATATATATATTATAATATGTTAAAATCTGTTAAACAAATATATTGTAAAGTATTCCCAAATGTTTGAGTCACACGGACAGATGGTCCACCAAACGTCCATCCAATGTTTTTTTTGGGGATGCCTCAGGTGGAGCGCCATGTTCTGAATCGACAGCCACCAGACATGAACCGTTGGCCAACTCCAAACAACAACAACATCAACATCAACAACAACACCAATACCAACACCAACACCAACAGCAGCAGCAGCAGCAGCAACAGCAACAACAACAACAACAACAAGAAGAACAACAACAACAACAACACCAACTAGGGCAGCCACAACTGAACTACATTGAACCACCAGAGAGGCAAAGGCAATGCGGCAGCAAAGGCATTGAAGCGGTGGCACCAAACACAATTTGTCACACCAACTTGGGAATACAACGGCCAGGCTCACGAATATTATGCATACGAATTGCGATGTGTGCAGTATATACTTCACTGTATACATATGTATTTGTATCCACATGTATCCAATGTATCCACACATCTTGGACAGAGATGCATCATCAACGGAATCATTGAAAGCACTATGCAATTGTATTTATTTGTATGTATGTGTTTCCGCAGCTTCCAAGTGACTCACTCCAATCTGACACCTCGCAGGCAAAGTTTCCATCGTCAGGCTGAGATTCGGAAATGGTCCGGCGAGGGGATCCAATAAGTCCATTAGGGAACCAGTTTGAACCACTAGGCACCCGAGAGGACAGTGAATCGAATTTTATTGAAATTAATGAAGATATATTGAAATTTTATCAAGTTTGACTGATTGAAATTTATGTTGCAAATTGGTGCCCGTGTCTGAGTTACCATTTTCCACGCCAGGCCAATCTTCGCAACCGGCCAGATGGTGTCCCTGCGGATGACCCCAGCAACTTTCAGGCAGCATCGCTGCAACATTTGTACCAACGATTTACCAATGTAATTCCATGTGTTGACACTATCATATCTATCATCATTGCTGATGAATTATCATGTCTTATGATAATAGCATGCCTATCATGTGCCTATCATTAGCAGTCATTAGCTACCTAGATTCTGGCTGTGGCACAGGCCCCGAACTCTTCAGAGGGAATGCGATGTAGCGGACAAAAACTGTACATATCTCCAAGTTGGCTGCGGGTGCATGGCCCAACGAATGGCCAGAGCCTGTGCCAACGACAAATGGAATCCAAAGCAAAAATGGGGCTGAGATTTGAGCTTCCAGATGCTTCCAGGTTTCTTGAGTGTCCGGATCGTCAACTTAGAAGCTGCAGGCTAACCTTCCGCCTTGGTGAACAGAGATCGCATGGTAATTCAAGATGTTGTGCATGTAAGATATCTTTGTAAGTTTATGATAGCTTATGTGTATATAGACATTATATAGATACATAGTGAATCAATGTGAATCATCATGATAAATTATATAGTGCGCATCAGCGCATGGGCCGGACAGTGACGCGAGTGGGTATCCAGGGTCGTCGCTTCTGTCGCTTCCGCGGCTCGGATCTTCAAGGTCACGTCAGCGTGTCGCACATGTTACACGTGTTCTCATCCGTGTCTCCCTCGTTGGTGATTGCCCGTCCTGGTTTTTCATGGTCCAATGGTCATATTTGTCTGAATGTATCCAAGGCATTCCAATCCTATCATTCCCATTCATGATTCATTGATGAAGCATCTCAAAACGGCGGAGGCCCCTGTGTATTTGTTTTTGTTCATTTCAATCCTAAAGAGCTTCTAAAAGACGTTGCTCGAGTCATTCTGCATGATGTTGTGCGTGTTGTTTGTGAAGATCATGCCAGAGCCCCCATTGGTTCAAAGTTGTGAAATGCCTCGTGGTCTACAACTTGGAGCTACCCGCTCCGGAGTAAAGAATACGACAATCAGATACAGATGTCAACCAGTGGACCAGGATACAGAGACGACATGAGGGAAGATGGTGTTACATGACGGAGCATGAGAGTCATAAGAGTCATGAGAGTTCAATCGTGGAACACAACATCGAAGAGTCTTTCGAACAATGCAGCCGTCTTGAAAAGGCATGTGCATTAAATCGTGTACCAGATTCAGAACTCAATATGCTTGCTGTAGCACTTGCTGGCACTGGTTTTGAGTTTGCTTCTATGTGTGTGTTTTGAACATTTTTGAACAACCAGAGAGGCATATACAATTGCTCGCTCAAGTTTCCTTCACATCTGGCCCGATCTGGCCAAAGAATCAGAAAATCTTCGAAATCTGCCAGCGACGATGACAGCAATGGCGAGAGTTCCTGTGTCTTTTGGCACTCAGCAGCCAGAGGTGAGTACTTTCTACGGCAGCTTCAGTGATGAGGCAAGATGTGCAACAGCATGGGGTGACATATGCGGACTGGGGGACTGCTTACCATCCATGGTCCATCCTTTGTGAGGCCAGACTTATATAGATTTATGAAACGTATGAAACCTCCAGTCTCGCCAGGTGAAGACCCTCTACCCAAGTGGTCCAAGTCGTGGAAGTTTCATGCCACCTTCGCCACCTCCGCCAGCACCCCGAGCTCGTTCACGGCCACGGCACGATGTGGCATCTGCTGCGGCATCTGCTGTGAGCTCACGAAGTGAGCCATTGCCACCACTGGCACAGCCGAAGGGTTCCTTGCTGATGCCTAAACATGCTGACACGATGGTTCAGAAATGTCCAAGATGCCATGCAATAAATTCACTGAACCAAGAATTCCCATGGTGAGAGTCCTGAATACGGTTTCAAGGTGTTTCAAGAAACGGTTATCCAAAAGCTGACATGTCTTGAATGTGCAGTGCTCAGAGTGCATTTGAGGCATACTTAGATGATCTTAGATATTTCATGCTTAGGATATCTGAATAAAGTATAATAAAGTCTTAATTGTCTTAATATGTCTTAATATATCTTAGGCCGTGGCGTCAAATGCGGTAAATCGTGGCTGAGCTCAGGTGATGTGGCGCCCATGGAGCCTCACCATCCCCTTCGTCCCATGAAGTCTCTGGCACCTCCAGGGCTGATCGCTGCAGGTGCGCTGGTGTCAACATGTCCTCATGAATATCTCATGAATTATATTATGAAAATTATATGAATTCATGTGTCAAAAGAATCCCAAAGAATCCAACAGAACCAAAACCGATGAAATTGTAACGTGATGGTAACCTGTAACTGCAACCTAGAACCCATTCATTTCAGAGAAGCTATGGACCGCTACATAGATGTCGGATAAGGATGTCCAAAGTGCATCGTTTGAGGGGTCTTGGTTTGGTACCCCTTGAACTAGGGCACTAAGCTGTTTTGGTGCCCTGGTGGCATTGCCTGGCATTGCATGTATAGTCTGAGAAGATTGATGTCGGATGAATTGTCACTGCAAGCTTTGGGGACATTTGCCAACAGAAACATCAGATGTCAGACATGCATAGAAATGCTGCAGCCTTTGAGGTATTCCATGGTTGGACTACGGACCAGGCTGCATGCCACTGGCGGCCAGCCCGCGACCCTGTGCTGGTCACAACGGTTGGCAACGGCCGCCTTCCCCGCTGCCAATGGGGAGCCGTGTGAGGATGACACAAGCTGGGGTCATTCGAACGAAGACACACAAACCTTTCAGTTTGAAAATGGACTCCATTTCTTCGAACATCTTCAAACCATCAACATCCGTCAACTACAATTGGATTCAAACATCTTCTTTAATTCAAGTGTAATCTCCGACTTAGTACCATGATCCTGCGTATTTGGCGAGATTGGGACAGACTCGGGAAGTATAGGCTGAGTCCAAACGATTTCTTCCAGTACAATAAGTACAAGTATTTGTTCATTTTGTTCCAGTAGTTCAACAAGAGCTGCATTTATCGTTGTATAGCCTGTATAGCACTGACACAATGTGGTGTATCAGCATGCAACATATACGAATATACGGATAAACTATGATATACTAAAACTACTACAGCTAATGATATACAGTAACAGCGAATCAAATAAAGAGACTCTGTCTATAAGCGAGAAGACAGCCGGAGGCATAGGACTGTTTGCTATTGCAAGGCATTTATCGGCTTCGTTTGCTACTCTTAAATCCTTTTAAAATCCTTTGAAAATCCTTTTAAAATCCTTTTAAAACTCTTTAGATACCAATCCTGCAGCATCCTGCAGCATCCTGCTCTCAGAAATCAGTCAGGAGCATTTCTCCGAGTCTGAGTCCGAGCATCAGAAGGGTGGTGGTTTTACCACCCTCTTCATCAGTGGCTCCCACAACGCGACCGCTTCAAAGCGCCCCCTTGCCGATTCTGCCCAGCACTGCCAGGACATGCTGTTTTTTCATCTTTGTTCCTCCATGCACAGGCCACGTCAGGCCACCACATCTCAACACCGTTTCTAGCTGTGTTTAAGGTTGAACCATCTCTCCATATTGCCTCCAGCCAAAGCAAATGGAATGCATTAAATGGCATGAATATATATAATGTATATAATGTATTGTATCTAGAATGTCATATTCCTGTTGTGGAAATCCTTGATCTGACCACCCACAAAGGCGAGTACAGCTACCATTCAAACTGCATCTACCAATGTGACACGTGCACCTTAAGGGCTGTGCACATCACCTATCGCACCTGTAATATCCTGTAATATGTAGTACTGTAATGCATCTGTAATGCACAAAGCCTTTTTTGCTTTTGCAAACAATGCAGACCCAGTCTTGAGTCTCGCCCAGGAGTGTCACGCGGATGACAACCATCCCAAGCCGGCCTCCAGTGAGAGTGAGTAGCTTGTTTCGATGTACAATGTTAAAATTAAGACTTGACAAAAGAGTCTTGAGATAGTCTTGAGATAGCCTTCTTGGTGACAATATGTAGACAATTCTGATGCATGATGTCGGAAGATGTCGGAACTAGTAGAGAAATGTAGAGCAGGGATGATCAACTCTTTCATGACTCTTTGGAGCAGCTCTCCACTGAAATTCTTTAGGTATGAGGTGCTTCCACAACAAGGGGTGAAAACTATGTTTGCATTTTTCACCATTTCCCGTCATTTCCCAAGATACCACGGGCCAGGCCGAGTGGGAAAGGAAGCTGATGCAACATGATTAGCTGCATGGAACATGGAAGACGATGGAAGACGATGGAAGATGTGATTGTGCAGCCAAGGTCGGTCAATCTCACCTGAACCTGCCACACGAGCTCCCAGTCCCGATCTCCGGGCACCAGGAGTTGCTGGCTTCGCTGGCAGCCTCCGCCCAGAGACAGGGCTAGCAGAGAGGTGGTCAGCACTTCTGGAGGAAACCTGGACAAAAAGGGAGGACTTTCTGGACATATCTGAACATCTTAGAGAAAAGATGAGAAAGGATGAGGAAAGAAGATGAAAGAAGATTATGGAGATAAAAACTACAGCCCAACCTACCAGCAACGAACAATCTTCTTGTCTCTGATGAATCTGGATCAGCAACTTAATGCCTTGCAAGAAAAACTTAACACGTAAAGTTGCTCTCCAAAGAAAGAAACAGCGTCATCAACAACCCTAGATGCTCAATTCAAAAGCCGGATGGCTCGAGGGGAAGCGCCGGCGCAGTGAAAACAGAGGCGAGATCGGGCCGGTGCAGATCGTGGTCGCTGTGCCGGGCGACCTTGAATGTGGTGTTCATGTGGCGCGGGACTGGGTACACCGCCACCTTGGCCAACCTGACAAAGTCATCCTTCGCTTGGATTTTCGCAATGCCTTCAACTTGGTCGACCGGGCAGCCGTCCTCCGTGCTGTGCCGCAAGATTTGCCTGGCCTCACCTGCTGGGCGGATTGGTGCTATTCGCAACACTCCCGGCTTCTTTATTGTGGTGGAGTACAACAGCAAGGTGATCCCCTCGGTCCTTTGCTGTTTTCCTTAGCCCTTCAACCGGCTTTGGTTGCTGCGAGAGGATCCTGCGACGTGTGCTTCGCTTACCTGGATGATTTGGTCATGGCCGGGGATGTAAGCCAACTCGCCACGGGCCTTGAACTGGATCCTTCCTATCGGATCGCCCCGCCATGGGTCAGCCAGGCACTGGCCTCTTACAACCAGGCGGTCTTGCCTGAGGACCAAGTTCAAGCCTTGGCCCCGTCCTGTCAGCAACGAGAGTTGTCAGCCAGTGTGGATAAAGCACAGCTGGCCCGCTTGATGGCTTCCACTCCTGGCGAAGCTGCCAAAGGCTACCTCCAACTTCTTCAACAACCCGGCGCCGGGAGGTTGACCCTTCCCAGTGCACCGTCCGATGGCTTTTGCCCTCTTTGCAACGGGGTGGCGGATTCCTTCGGAGAGCACGCTCGGGTATGCCCTTGCGGAGGTTGCGGAACTTCTTCGCGGCCAAGCTCGCCACTGCAGGCTTCAGCCCAGAACTGGAGAAGTATACGGCTCATCTTGGCTAAGGCCTGGAAGCTACATGTAAACACTCCTGTATACGGCAGGTATACGGCTCATCTTGGCTAAGGCCTGGAAGCTATATGCGAAGCCAGGACACCGCTGAGCCAGGCTTCCGCCCGCCGACCTGCTGACGTTTGGGTCCCAGGATGGGGTCTTCATTGGTTTCCAGCGGCCTTCGCTCGGGCGTGCTCCCCGCCACTGTTGGTCATGGGGGGCATGCCGCCTTGGTGCACGAAGAGCGCAAGCGCATGCACCAACCGACAGAAGCTCAATGTCAGGCTCAGGAGCTGCAGTTCCTACCTCTGGTTGCGGAAGGGTGTGCTGGCGGCTGGGGACCCACCGGCATGACTGTCTTCCGGCAGCTTGGCAGCTTCCTTGCTGCTCATGCAGGCGAATCTTCCAGCAAATTGACAGAAGAGCATCACCTTGCAACCGGAGAACGCCCGAGCGGCGGTGCGTTGCCTCCCCGACAAAGTTGTTATTTTTACTGCTTTGTCCGAGCCGTGGGCCCTGTGGTCTAGCAGTCTTCCAGCTCGTCCTCACCTGTCTAGAGGCATGAGGATTAACTCGCACAGGCAGTCTGCCCCTTTTTGCTTCACCATGGCCCTTTTCCCTTTAGGGCCCTTCCCACACCTGGTACAGTAGGCGTTGTACAAGCCAGAAGTATATATGAGAGCCGGATATGCGTTTCCTTGTCCCTATCTCATCTCTCTACTGCTACCGGGCAGTGGTCCTTTGAACCGATTGAGGCCAGGATTGATTTGAACGTGTTTGCAGCCCTGGAAAGAGAGAGCGGGGGAGAGAGAGAGAGAGAGAGAGAAAGAGAGGTAGAGATAAGAATAAAGATAGAGACGAAGATAAGACAGTTTGGTTTGCTCTGCGGGAACTTCAGTCTGATGTTGTTTGCAGTTGGTTGCGCAACATTGTAACATGCATGCTTTCCTGCTTTCCACATTGAGGGCCAATTTTGATTGCTAGCTTTGCTGAAAGCTGAGGAGAAGCACTGGGTGACTTGCTATAGATTACACTGTGCTATCAGTGCTGGATTCTGTTTACATGACGCAAGCATGTGCAAGCAGTGAAGAAATAACCACACTGCAGACACTGCATTTAACACATATTACAACCTCCGCCATTGTCCCCTATTGGCGACTTTCCATGATTTTCCATGTTCTGCACATATCCTTTGGGTATCTTTGCGTCTGAGGATGCAAAGATCCCTCCTATGGAGTTAGACCGAAGGCTCGATTCGATGGCAGTTTCAAACTTCACACGGAGGACGAACATCGGATAGAACTGTCGCAGACATGTTTGTTATCAGAAGTTCATGTTGAGTTCATGTTGGCAAAGTTGGCAAATTGGAAGTTGTCAAGGCGATGGGAAGATGGCAGAGTCGGAGGCTTGCAATGCAGCAAGGGCTGTCAGTGGTGACAAAGATCTCCCACTGTACCAAGATACCGGCACAGAAACTTCCAGAAACTTGCAACATCTATTAACATACATGTAAGATCATGTAAGTAAATGTTCGCAAACTTAAGGAAAATTAATTTTGAATGGCATCTCATTAGAACACGTCTTTGGATGTGAAGCAGACCAAAAAGTGTTGCTAAAGATGACGTTCAGCAGTGGACGGTCGTGCATTTGAAAGAATTGTGCCTCAGGTAGTTCGGATGTCAGCACGGATGTTACGATGTCGTGAGCTGAGATGGTGCTGGAGAACGTAGAAAAATTAGAAAAGTTGAATTTCACCTGATCGATCCCAATCGTGTCTATGGAATTCTCTGGAGCTATGTCAGGGAAATTATACAATATATAAAAATATCCCTATTTTTGTTTTCAATTCATCCCAGGAAAGCAAGCAAGCAAGCAAGCAAGCAAGCAAGCAAGCAAGCAAGCAAGCAAGCAAGCAAGCAAGCAAGCAAGCAAGCAAGCAAGCAAGCAAGCAAGCATGCAAGCAAGCAAGCAAGCAAGCAAGCAAGCAAGCAAGCAAGCAAGCAAGCAAGCAAGCAAGCAAGCAAGCAAGCAAGCAAGCAAGCAAGCAAGCAAGCAAGCAAGCAAGCAAGCAAGCAAGCAAGCAAGCAAGCAAGCAAGCAAGCAAGGAAGCAAGGAACATTGCGTGCCTTCGAGCATTAAATCAAAAACCCTAAACAATCAGCAACGCTTTAAGACACTTCGAAAAAGGACTGAATCAATCAAACCCACACAAACTCCGAACAAACTCCAAACCTACCCTAAATAAACCTGTCACCAAACTTTTAAAATCACCATAAACAACCCTAAATAACCCCTAAACTCCCTAAACCAACCCTAAAAAAACATCCTAAACGAACCCTAAATAAACGCTAAACCAACCCCAAAAAAACATGTGCCTTAGATTTGTAAGCCATCATGTTAAAAAAGGCATGTATCATAAATCAAGCCTAAATAAGCCTGAAACCGACCCTGATAAACCACGAAACCATCCCTAGCCAAATAGATATTATAGTAACCTTATATAAGCGCTCTAAACCAAGCCTTTATAGATCTTAAATAAACCCTAACCAAATCCTAAATCAACCCGAAACCAACCCCAAATAAATCACAATAAGCCCCAAAACAACCCGAAAGAAACACCACAAACCAAGACCAAATAAATCAAGAACCAAACCTAAGTAAGCCTTAAGCCGGCCCCAAGTGGGCGCCGAGCCAGTCCTGAATCACCCCAAACATACCGTCAACTTCAAACTGTCCCTAAAAAACCTCGAACTCACCAGTAACTGTCCTTAAAAAACTAACGATTACCTTCTGCAAATATGTTGTAAACAAGATATTCAAGGTCCAAATGGTTGCAAATACCATGCAGGGGCAACAGTTTTGGCGGAGGGCAGTGCGTGAGAGGTGCCACAGTCAATCTAAAAGAAAACGCGGGGAAATTGAAAAAAAACGGGCCACCGTGCACCCACTATGTCATGGTCATGGGTAAGGCCGCAGTGGTTCATCTCGTCACCATATTATCAATTATCACCATTGCCATTGATTGCCATAGTCCGGGTACCGTGCAATTTGAAGCTCTCAGCCGCTGTTTCAGCCATCGTTCCGAGGCCATCTTTGGGGCTCCCCCAGAACTGCCACATTTTTCGACGAAAACTCTTCTCGCAAGAGCTGGTCGGGGAATCTCAGGGCAATGTGCTGCCATGGATACTGAAGAAAGACGGGAGGGGGCAATGCATGGCCTTTTGATATCTTTTGATTCCATGCTGTCAGTGGGGCGTACAAGTGGATTTCTGATTATTTCTGTTGCATGAGCTCGCTTGAGGTTTGCATAGACAGCCATCACATGCTGCATGTGTGCTGCTTTCATGCATGTTGGTTGCAAGCTAGCCCTGACTGATCTGACTGGAAGACAAAACATTACACAATAATAAACAAGATCGCACGAGAAAGACTCTCAGCAGGGTTTGTTCTTCCTATGCGATTTTAAAGACATTTTCTGTTCGAGGCGCAGATCCAACGCATGTTGGAAGATAAAGCAGACTTGCGCGCTGCTGCTGCACAGGAGCTCTGCGATTTGTTTTCAAGATGAATGTCTGCAGGGTATAGCCAGATGGGCGCAAGAATTCAAAGACAATGGCATATGGCGTAGTTGTCCTTCCTTGCGTTGGCAAATGTTGGTAATCAATCTTTACACTATTTGGCGAGTCACGATGATGGTTGCGGAGGAGTTTCGCTGGGCCTTGCATTCTGGTGGCCGCTGTGGCGATGACACCATTGACACCGCTGCTGCATTATCGGTGGGGATTGGACGGTTTCAAAATCCAAGTCCCGTCAGGTCTTGTGGAGATGGAACAAAAGACATGCATGTGCTTTCTTATCTTTCCCGCTCGAAACGAAACAACTTAGATTCATGTTGAACTGTTGAACATGTCTTCATTGTCTTCCCAAAGCTGTGGCTCGGGGATTCATCTCGCACCAATTTTCTGCAGCCGCGGAGGCCTTGCGACAGCTGGCGTACCTTTATGGTTTGCCAGCACTAGATGCTGATGCTGCACGGCAGTCTCACGTCAGCACGTGTGTTTGGTAATTTTCATCAATCAACTCTGAAGCATGTCGACTGTTCAGCCTCGTTCACACTCATGATTGGATGGTTCAAGAATCAGTCTTCAAACAAAGGGGACACTATGATTATGTAGGTGAGCTTCTGAAGTCTAAGCTACCCCCATTGCTCAGAGCATGTCCAAAAGAGGGCGGCCTTCCATCCACTTTGCACCGAAGGTGTTTTGGACCTCGCGTTGATTTTGACTCCTTCGCATCCGCTTTGCCCACGCTGCTGCATAGAGCGCAGGAATGTGCAGGATGGCTCCCGACATTGCATCTCTCATTGAAATTTCTCACTGAGGAAGACAGTTCATGCTGCATATGTTGATCATTGCGTCATCAATTTGTTTGCTTGCGTTGCTTGTCTAGGATGTATCCATCATGCCCAAGACACTGACCCAAGCTAGAAATCAAATGAAATCAGCCAATCTGAGAGTCGCGGGTGATCAGTGTGTACTTCGACAGTGGGATGTCTACCCGAGAACCCACTCAGTGTTCATTTCATTTCATTCCTGGATGCTTCCTGATGCTTCTTGATGCTTCCTGTTCAGGACTTGACCAGTAAGATGAGGTTGGCCAAGCGCCGCAACGCTGCTTCAGTTTGGGACATCTTGAGACCACTTGAGAATCACCGAATTCAACCCTATTCAACAGGAGATCCCAGCTCTAACACCTCGTTCGGGACGGTTGGTCTGGTGATGTCTGCTGTCCAAGTGCAATTAATTCAGCGGGAAGTTCATCCGCCTGTGGGAAGATGGAAGCGATTGGAAGCGTATGTTGTGCACAATAAAACATCCGGAAGCTTTGTATCCATTGGTTGATTCATTCTGATAACTCTCCTGTGCCTATTGCATCCTATGGCCTATGCATGTTGGGCCTGGCACTCTGCCAAAGATGTGGCTACTCAATCATCATTCCAACTGGCCAAAAGCGGGATATATAATTCAGTGCAGTAATATTAGGTGGCATTTGTTCAAGTCTAGTGCGCTGACCTTGAGAGCCATAAAACATCGTGAGACACGTCGTAAAACATCGTGAGACACGTCGTAAAACAACATTTCAATCTGGACGTGTTCCATTATGTTCCATTATTTATTTTATATTTATACCATGTTCCTATCTTTCTTCAGGCATTTCAGGCCTTCCGCTGTGCTTACACTGCCAGATTTTAGGAGGAATTTGCTGTAGATGGGAGGTGAAGTCCGACCGCCCCTCAACGACCCTGCATCAGACAGGGCGGCGTTTCTGGAAAATACGACGGGATGGACGGGTCTAGAAGATTCATGAAGATTCCACAAGTCTCAAGATTCCTTTACAGACAGTATCAGAAAGTTGGCTATTGCCATTCGGCTTTTCCAACATGTTTAGGATGAAAAGCTTCCCTTGATGCTGTTGAAGCTCAAGCTTAGCCACGAACTTTTTCCTGCCAAAGGAAACGCAGGTCACGAAGCTGCAGCAGAAGTGTAGGAGACCCGTCCTTTTTGAGACAGCATTTGAGAATGTACTTTATGATTCCTTGTATGATTCCATGCCTTATATGGTTCCATACATGATTCGATATGGTCAGGATGTTCAATACCTTGGTACCTACCTGCTGTGAAAACTGACTGTTTCAAGAGGTCCACAGACTCTGTACCAATAGAGTGACACTGAAGAAACTCGGGCTTTGCCGCACGGTCGTCAGGTCACGATGTTGAACTCAATGGCCTCCAGAAGTACCTGGCTGAATTCATTGGACAGCTGAATGTTGCTGCATGGTTTGCAGTTAAATCTACTCAGGTATGTGATCGTACGATCCCCTTTTGAAAACACATGGGCTGATGGCTATCCACCTATCAGCCGTATAAAGGGATGGCCATCAGCCGTGTAAAAGGCATTAAAAGGGTAGAGCTTGTACAAAAGAGAAGTAAATAGATGTGATAATACAATGTAATAGATATATAGCCACACGACGTAGCAGCATATCCAATAGACTAAGATAGACCAGGCCACACTGGGTCTGATGCTTGGAAATACGTACTTATACGATCTTATACGTACTTTAAATTGATGAATTGTGGATGCAAAGATGAATTCTGAGTTAATGAGACCACATGAGACCACCTTGTTTGCCAACCACCTTGATTGGTAACCAAGTCCTGTCCTTCAATGTCCTTCAATGGATGCAAGATGGTGCAAGATACTCCATGAAGTGTAGGTACAAAGGTGGGCTGTTGCTCTTGGACTTGGCGTCATTTTCATCTTTTTTATTTCAAATTATTTCATAAATTATCATTTATTCTCATATTATGAAATAATTTGAGCTATTATGTAGATTTATGTAGTACTATTTAGTACTATTATGATGATGGGCGCATATGCAAACGGAGTCAAACAGCTGGAAAGTGGCTCCACGATCCTTGCGTCTGCAGGCAGGCCGCTTCCTTGTCGATGCAGTTTCCAGGCGCAAGCACAGAGTCGCACATTCATGTTTAAAACGAAACAGGAAACTGCAATTGGCATGATGGAATTGTGGAATTGGCATGATGCATTTGACATATGTTGACATCTGTCGACATATGTTGATGCTCTTCATGGGACACCTGAAGGTGGGTTTGCAATGGCTTACAATGGTCTACAAACAACATGGCAAAAGCAAGACGGAATACACAACAGGCTAAGGAATGAGAAGGATGCGTATCTTGCGCAACTAGAAATGGCCTGGATCAGGTTGTGAGCAAGCTCTGGGTGCATTCGGCTTCAAGGACCGAGACTTAGTTCCTCACAAGTCGCAGGTCGCCACGGTTTGTCTTGTTCGGGCATGTTGGGGCTAGCTTCGCTTGTCCAGTGCCAAACCGCAATGCTTTGTGCACGGACCTTTCATTTCTCCCAAACAAATCCAAACAATGCCTCAAGATTTGCAAAACAGAGTGTGTGGAAGATGGTGCGACATGGTATATAAACGTGTGTAGATATTATATGATATTATAGATTGCCAATGGTAAGGCAGTTTTCAGCTGAGATATTGGAGTGACTCACAAGTGACTCATCAGGGTACTGCTCCGAGGTCAAGCTCTTCCAGCTTTGGGCACCTTGAAGGATGAATCCTTGGGAGCCAGAAAAGTTAGGAAAGTTCAATCGGTTCAATGTCCTTTGCAAAACTCATCCTGGGGAACGAATCACTTCAGGGTCAGGTTTGTGTAAGGTTTTTGTCTTTGAATTGTCGCAGCGTTTGCAAGAGCAGTGGCCAAGGTCATCTCGGCGGCGCTTTACCACACAGGTTCCTGTGCCACTGATTGCTGTGGAGCAGCTTGCTCTCTTTAAGCTATTTTAAGCTTTTAAGCTTTCTGGAACATCGGACAACAGAGGTGATCTGAACATGTTGCTTTCACAAAAAGCTTTCACAAAATGGAAAAAAACATAAGTGTGCTGTGCCCCCATCGAAACTTCTGGCTTTCCGTCCGGCATTCCACCGAGGCTTTAGTTGCTACTTTAAAAGTGTCCGAATGAACTCTGATTCGCAGTAGATTTGATATTTCTTGATGAACTCAAATACACCTCTTCCAACGGTTTGGTAGGCTGGCTTGAGATCAAAACTCACAAGCCTTCGCATTCGAATTTGGGTGCAACAAAGTATATGTGGCTTGACCACCTAGAAATTATGTTCTGTTCTGACATGTATAAATATCTACAGTCCATTTTGGCACATGTTGAGTTGAGTTTCCCCAACAGCAGTTGGGTCTCCTCTGCTCTTGAATCTCTTGACCACGCAAGCTGGATTGGGAATTGACAAAACGAGGTTACATGATATGACAATATGAGATACATTTTCTTATTTGAGTTTTCGCCATGGAGAGGTGACGCCCATCAGCGGACAGCCTCCGATCGCACCAGGTGCCGAAACCGTGCTGACTTGCGGCATGTCCATCAGTCCTGACATCTCACGACTTGTCAGCACTGAATGTAAAATCTTCTTGTGAAAGGTCTGCCAGGCATTGCAGTGTTTTCTCGTTCGTTCCTCTATCGGAAAATCGGAGTTTGTGCAGAGCTTGGCAGAGCTTGGCAGGCTTTGATGTCGGACAATGGGTCGGCAACTGAGTGATCAAGTCGCTGTTGGTCTCAATTCGATCTTCGATCGATTTCGGATATTTCGGTATTTGAATTGAACGAATTTCGGGATCTCGGGATTTCGATATTTCGATATTTGGCTCGAGAATCAGGTCGCTGAGATGGAGGAGTTGGAGCTTCCAAGGACCCGAAAATCCAAGTGTTGTGCCGGGCTTCGTAGACAAACCATGATAAAACATCTGATAAAACATGATAAAACCCAGACCCTGAGCCCTTCTGGAAGTCTGACCTTGGGATTGCATCCAGATGCTTGCAAGATCTTGCAGGTCAAGTGTTCACTCTACTCAGCCAGAAACTTTCAAAACTGAGCTTTGACAAATCCTTGTGTTGCAAATCTGTGCTGTTTTTTTTTGGTCAACTGTCTCTGCAACATTACAATTAGCACAATTAGCCGTAATTAGCCTTCCTTTTGCAAGTCCCGGATGCTACAATACGTCAATGCTAAGTGGCTAAGCCCCTGGAGGTCTTTTCCCTCAGAGGTCGCCGGGACCATTCGGCAGCTTCAGCTGAACGAGGCTCCAATTGCAAAGCCCCAGCGCTACAATTGACTCAATCGCCTCAGCACTGAAGAAAGACAGAAAGACAATGAAAGACATCTTAAGATTCTTAAGAACTCCAACTCAGAGTCGTCTTTGGTCATGGCATTGATTGCATGATGGGACATGTGAAAAATGATGTGAAAACTGATGTATTTCAGGACACAAAACAACCTGAAACCACCAAGTTGTTCCTATGCAGGCCTTTTGGGGGCGCTTTAAGAATATCCCGGAGATGGCCACTGCCACGGACAAGCAGGAATCCGCAAAACCCTGATGCGCAGAATGTGGCAGGTGACCGTGTTCATACAGGGAATATTCTGACTTTGGTGATTCTTTGAACTAATCATTTTGATATTCTACATATTCTTCTCCACCTGCCAGGTGAGGGCCTCTAGATTTTGACAAAGGTGCAACTCCTTCCTCCTCCTCCTCCTCCTCCGCCTCTTTGTTGTCTTCATCCCCTCTGCCAGCTCAGGATGCTGTGGAATGCGTTTGGACCCGAACACATGTCAGATAGAATGCCAGATAGAAAGTCAGATAGAATGTGAGATAGACTGCCAGATAGAATGCCAGATAGACTGTCAGATGCCAGATAGAAAGTCAGATAGAATGTGAGATAGACTGCCAGATAGAATGCCAGATAGACTGTCAGAGTATAGAATGTCAGAATATATGTCAGGTAGAATGTCAGGTAGAATGTCAGAATATATATATATATGTCAGATAGAATGCCAGAAAGAATGTCAGAATAAAATGTCAGAGTGGGGATTACTCGAAGTAAAATAACCTATAGATTTCTCTACGTATATTTATATACGTATGTTTTGTATGACTAGTTAACGGTGGACAAAAGTGTCAGAGACGTGCAATTTCCAGGAGATCCTTCATATCTTGGAGAACTTTGTGCTTGTGAATCGGCAGCTGGGCCCAATCAATGTTGCGCCATGGAAGATTTGGGTCTTTCCATGCTTTGTGTCATAATCACCAGAAAAAGATACCCCGTCAGATGTCTAAAGAATTCTTGTGGCTCACATTCCCCCAATGCCTTGAAAGATGGCAACTTGTTTTTGGTTGCCGCCTATGTCCAGTTCCCAATATTCTTTTGACCCTAGGGACCCAGAATTAAGTCAAAGCCGACAAGTTTCTGCGGCCTGAAGCATGGTTTAGCATAAATATGGTGCATTAATGTGCATTACATCATTTGGAAGTTGCTTTGAAGATTTGTAGTGCTGTATTCACTGGCCTGGGAAAGCGTAAAACCTCACCAAAGCACTGCCGCACTGTGTAGCCAGGAAGCACGTGGTCCTTTGTCAACGCCTCAAAACCACAGTTATAAGGACGCCGCCAACCAGAGTTTGTAGCTGCCTTAAAAAAAAACGAAGGAGGTGTAGTCATTGTACAACAGTCCCTCAGATATCATCAGGCTGCAGTCTATGGACTGGTTCCTTCCCATCCCAGTCAATCTTGTCGTGTTGATCATCAATTTCACGCTCAAAACCGTCAGCAGTACCACCATTGATCACCAAAAGCATCGCATGGATATCACACATCCTCGTTGTCATCATAGTAAAATAATGGATGTCAGTGTGTCTTTGGTATGTGCTTTCTTGTCCAAGTTCAGGGAAATCCCACTCGAAGCTACCACGAAGAATTTGGAGTCTTCGGTGGAACCTCCTTGCAATCCAAAGCAGACAAAGGATTGTGCAGAAGGAACTAGGCATGTTGGTGGCTTTGCCACTCACTTTGCCAAGATTGCAAGCATTTGTAAGCCTTAGATAGCCTTAGTGTCTATTGCCAAGAACCACTATTAGAACAATGGCCCAATGAGCCCCTGAGACACAATACATTGCGCTTGCAGTGCATCAGTTGTCGCAAGTGCTTTTTGCCTAAGTAAGATCCAGGAGGATAGACGAATGGACAGCTCCTGAGTTGGCGCTGCTTTGTGGCAAGCTGAGAGATGGATCCTTCGTGATGGTTGACCAATGTTGACAATGTTGAGACCAAGTAATTGCCCGTCTTTTGCAAAAAAAACAATTGTAGAAAATCAACACGTTGAGGGAATGAGTTGAGTTTGCGGAGCATGAGTCCCACAGGTCGTAGCTTTGCGGAGCTCTCCTACCTCCACGAGGATTTGTTACTTGCAATGACCGAGCAGGTGGTATCTACCCTGCTGCTTGGCCGGGACTTTGTGGAGCTTCCAAGAAAGGTCCTGTAGCTTGACAGAGCTTTAGCTTCAGAAAAGACACGAACCAACGATATGGGATATGAATGGATATGAGGTTTCAGGATTTCTCTGTGATTCTTCAGACATTTTGTGTGTCAGTGTCATTCAAATGCTGTGAACGGTTCAAGGTCCAAAGTGGTTTGACCTATCCAAAATGTTTAAGTTTAAATTTAACTTGGCGGGTCTAGTTCTCAACTGGACAGGTTCAACAAATCCACAAATTCCACAGCTCAACAGTTGAGGTCCGATTGCACAGCACAAGAGCTGTGCTTGTTGTTGGATGCATATGCCACGAAAAGATGCTTTGCCTGAACCTCTGCAAGCGGGGGCTGTCCGGATGACACACTAATGCCAGACCCTTGTCGCATTGACATGTTTGACTCAATCAATTCATGATTTCCTGTAATTAATTTGGATCCAATTGGTAAAGGTGTTTCTTCGTAGGAGAAGTGCAACATCAGTCCCTAAATGCAAACAACGATTCTGGCTGAGAAGCTTGCTGCAAGTACTGAGAGAGCACAGACACCACAGGTCCTTGAGAGTCAAAACATCTCAAACCATGTGGAAACATGATAGAATATGATAAAACCATATAGAATTATACAAAATCCATCAAGAAATCAAAAGAAATCGATCAAGGACTTGGCTCTCCAAGTGCTGGTTGAGCGAGGTCCAGTCGGTGACCGATGCTGTCACTGAGCAGACCCTCATGAGACTTAAAGAGCACGGTGGCCAAGCATCCGCTGCAGTGTTTGTGGCTGCAGAAGGGCTGGGATTTGAAGTACTGTAATATGCTGCAATATGCTCGTTGCCGTCGTCGTCGTCGTCATCATCGCCGTCCTCGCCGGCGTCGGCGTCGTCGTCATTGTGGTGGTTGTTGTCGTCGTCGTTGTTGCTGCTGCTACAATACGCGTCAAGACTTTCGGAGTGTTTGTGCCAAGCATTGCTTGGATTTTAGAAGCTTGTGTTTTCAACAAGGATGTCAATGTGAATGTAATCGTAATCTTCCTAGGTAGTCAAATCAGCGCAGCACAAACAGGAACTGCAGTCGCAGTTCTGCTGGTTCTCTGTAGGAAGGTCTGACAGTCTTCGTGCCAACCATATCCTGCCACCTGTGTATATGAATTACAGTTTTTGCATGCTGATTTGGAGACTGATGCGAAATGTTCTGCAGTCTATTCTTTTCCGTCGGAGAGTCGGAGTACAACGCAAAGTGTCTAAAAGAAACACAACACCTCTTACTCTGGGAATGCCATGAAATTCTTTGCTACATCTTGTGCTTTCGAACAATTATTTATTCTTTTACCATGTTTGCAACAGGGATCCGGCATGATTCACCTTACAGGGATTGCTGGTGTGCCAAGGTTCACACCGTCACAGCTCTGTTTGCACGCCTCCAGCTACACAAGGCACGTTGCCCAATGATTGTTGAAATTCGGACAGACAGCCGTAGATCATGGTGCAGGCATATGCTAAAATCATTTAAAATCGATGAGAGTTGCCCAATATTGCCGATGTTCAAGAGTTGCTTGGTTTCAGCAGCAAGACATGCAGCATGGTACCAGTTCGCCCACAATCTACACATAGTTTGCCTCCTAGTGGGATTCCCATGACGCATGACCTTATGGTTTGCTGTTCGCTACCTCAGAAGCATTTGTCAATCTTCCAGGTTGGGTATGCAGAATGTTCGCCTCTCAGAAGTTCAGTTTTTGATATTTGATACACCCGACAACAAGTGTAAACTTCTGGAACAGGAAAAGGCAGTTCCACCCTTTGTGAAGCTATCAGCTTATACAATTATAGGTACAACATAGATTCTGACATGAGTTTGCAACATCCTCATCAAACCCCTTGTTGCAACGAAATCAACGAATCAAATTGTGAGTTGTGGTCGAGTGGGAACAAATGGCTCTAGAATCCTCAGGATAGAGGCATGATCTGAAAAGTTCCAGCAGCGAAGATTATTATTTTTTTTTTAGTTATTTTTAGTTACAGTATTTTAGTTGAAGTTTACGAAGTCAACCAAGCATTTGAGGTCCAGTTCGGGTATCTCGTTATATCTCGTTTGTCAGAACATCTCCAACTGCACTTGTGCCTCCAAGGAAGAGCTGATGAGAAGAATCTCCAGTCGAATCATTGAGGTTGGCAAAGTTTGGAGCACTTGGACCTTCGATGACTTGGTCACTTGCCAGTTCTGCCAGTTCTGCCAGTTCTGCTCAAAGAGCATTTGCGGCTGCTGTAGGGCAATGGTACGTACTTGTGCCGTTTGAACGGCACTGAGAAAAGGCAATCTTTCTTGACATCTTCTTTTCAGGGTCAAAATGAAGAGAATGGACCAGATATGACCAGACACTCTGGAGGTCCATTTGTGATCCACACAGATTGTGCATTTGTCGTTTTTGGACCAGCACAAATCCTGCCGTCACAATCCGTCACAGCAAGAACTCAGAATTTTGGTCTGGAAGGCGGTCGGCGACGCAGGGATGGAGTTGGAGCCTGAGATGGGCCTGAGCTTTGGGGAGGGTCGAGGGAGGTGTTACTGGGGCATACTGGGGCTTGTAGGGATACATAGGGATACTATGCGAAACTTTGGGTCTTGTGAGTTTACCGCATTGCAGCGGCCCTTTCTATGCACCTCTTGTTGTTGGACACCTGATGATTTTCTCAACAGTATTTGATTCGCAAGAAATTCATGTTTTAGGATATTTAGGGCTTTTAGACAAGTGCGGCACCTGTTGATATCAGCACTGCCCCAAAAAGAGTCTGAAATTGAGGCCTGGCTTCTCTGCAAGGGCCCGGGCACCAAGTTGGTTGACTCCAAGTGGAGGCTGTGCATTAAGGCTGTGGTTGCATGTAAATGGAGCGACAACAGTCCCTAATTATGTTTGCAGGCCATAGATAAGATTTTAACATGCGGAAAAATGAGGGCAAGCGTTGACTTGCCGCGAGAAAGTGGGGTCAGTTTACGGTTTTGAACATGTCGGTTTGTTGTGCTTCAGTGATGTTGATCAGTGATGTCGAGCAGTTTCCACTTTGCAAGTTTGTTGAACCTCCAAATTGAAAGGCACTCTTGTGCAAGCCCTTGCAGAGCCCCAGAAGTCCTCTGAAATCATGGCAGAAACAACTTGCGCACAGGACATTTGCATACTGGCCCATGCATTTGCAAAGCTTGGATGCTTGGCTCAAAATGTGAAAACTGGAATCGCTGTTCTTCCAAGAAGCGAACAGATGCTAACAGGGTCCTTGCCTTGAGGAGAAGTCCAGAAATGCGTACAATAAATTTCAGACGTTTCAAATGAATAGCAGAATGACATGTCTTTGTTCAGCCCCAGCGTTTTGCATGCACCAAGGCGAAGAAAAATCCCGAGACGTTTTCAACATGCTTTCAAGGTGGAACTTCTGAGATATCATAATATGGTTACTAGTATGAGTTATTATGGCTTAAGGCTTAAGCGTTATACTTGTTACTCGTTATAAGCATCTTCTCGCCTGTACGCAAACAGAATTTTACAATTACAAGTGCCTGTCTTCTGGGAACCTTTGAACCTCCCAACTTATGAGGTGACCAATTTGTACATGGAGAAACTTGCAGATTGCCAACCACAATACTTAGCGTATTTGGAATAGAATTGCTTTCAGGTGAGTTTGATGTATTCCCCATGTTTCGGATTCTTCGCTTCACCAGTGAAAAGTCTTTGAACCCCGTACAAGACAGCACCGCAGAGGGCAGCACTACCGGTGATGCGGGATTTTACTGCAAAGGAGCTTCAGTCACTGCTGGTCGGAAGCACCCAGCCGTGGGACTGACACGACTTGGATATCATTGAGATCGATCCAAGATGATCTAATATGATCTAATCTGATCTAAGAGAAATTAGGACCTTATCACAGCATCATCTCTCAACAGGGGGAAGGTGTGCACATAGATGCTTCAAGCTGCCGATGTAGAGGTTGTGTATCAAAGCGTTGCCTCGATACAATCACAGAATATGACAGAAAGAAAATATCCAAATGCCCACACCACCAGAAAAGCATGCAGTGTGGGAGCAGACGAAAACGCTGACTGACTCGTGACAGATATGGATTTTTAGTGAGTTGACTGTTTCGTTAAGTGATCTCCCCAAGAAACTCACTGGATGAGCAGCCACAGACCAAGCATGAGGTGTCCTGTGCGCATGCCCGTCACGCAGACAACGAGCTGCTGGAGAACATCTCAGCACAGGCAGGAGGGCAGAGATGTTGTACGGATAATTACGGAAACGGCTATCGCTAGGACTCGGCAAGACTCAGCAAGATTCGAGACACAGATGTGCCCCCGTCGTTGTTATCAGCCTCGTCTTTGCCGTTTCTCTTGATTAATGAATGTGGAATAGCAAGACGTTAACGTTTAAGAGCCCAGTAGCAACACACACTGCAAAATTCAAAGGCAAGACTGGTTCATGGTGTTCCCCAGTATTTTGGTAGCCACAACCCAGTCACTTAACATGTGCTGGTTTGGTTCCGAGATGTTCCGAGCCCAAGTAGGCCCAGCGGTGTATCTCTCAGTTCAGTGCTGAATCTTTGGCCTTGACTTTGCGAGGTCGGATGGATTTGGATTTGGAAGGGAAGCCGTGAGTCCAAGATAGTCCAAGAGACCACGCAACTCACAGATTCAACATGATTCAACAGATTCAAACAAGGGAAGAAAAGTATAGAAAAGTATAGAAACGTGGCAGACACAGAGGCATTTTCTGATTGGGGTTCCATTCCTAATCAAGCAGGACAAAATTCATCAAAATTCTACATAGAATCGGTCTTATTGCAGAATATTTCTATTGATAAAAGTGCAGAACTCATTCCATTTTTGTTGTTGCCTTAATCTAGATACAATATGATACAATATGATACAATATGATACAATATGATACAATATGATACAAGGACCATTCAGGACATGTCAGCCTGTTGCTGGACATTTCACCATCCCACATGTTGGAAGCCCTGCATCACATGCTCGGCATCAGATCACATGCCCTGTCGTGTAACTTGTTCTCGCATGTTGAAACCATTGCAGGGAGAGGCAGTTCAAAGACAATGCTGTGTTTTGTCAAATCATCAACCCATGTGAAAGTGGTGCCAGATGTCTTGGTTGCACGAAAAAAGAGTCGTGCAATCTCCATGAGTGACCTGTGAGAGGTATGGCATTCTTCGGCAGAACGGATGACCCGATTTTCACACGAGACCTTTGTTTGCACTGATGGCTACTGCTTCCAATGTTTGATTCAATCCATTTGAAGGGAATCCGAGATGTGCATTCTGGTTCTCTATTCATGCAAGTGAGCCTTGTTTTTGGCTTGGTGGTTTCCATGAGTGACCCAACATACACTGCCTGATAGCCCTTATTTGCAAACAATGTCTCAGCTTTAGTCCTTGGCATTTGTGCCAGTTGTGCCCTGAGCAAGGCACTTGTGGAGCTTCCGCGCGTCATTTTAACTATGCGTCCAGCAGACATTGCTGTTGTTTGCAGCAGCTTTACTGCAGCGCAGGTGCCATTTGATTCTCCACTCATTTTCATGCAGCTGGTAACTTGAGAGTCCATTTATGTGGGTAGAGTATAGCTGTTGTAAGATCGCTGGACTTCACCCGCAAATCGCTTGCCTTTCAAGGGGCTTTTGTGTAGATTCTACACATGTTGCAATGCAGGTGAACAGTTCCTTTCTGGTGGATCTGGTATCACCAGTGATTCTTGAGAAGGCGGTGGGCGCTGCCGGGAAACGTTTCGCGTGTTATGACTCGTCATCGTTTCATCATGTTTCTTCATGTTTCTTCGAGATTTCACGAGCTGTTTTGGGGAGGCGCCTACTTTCAACGCAGTGGAATGGCTCCTATTGCTGCGTCCCTTGGAATCCTTGAAATTGCTTGAGCCAGATGTCCGTGTTGATCTTGTTGTCCTTCAATTCCTTATTAGCCTTCAGTGGGACATTGATCAGTAGCGAATCCCTAGTGAGGCAAAAAGGACAGGTGAAAGTCGGGGTTAAAATGGGTTAAAGACAAGGCCTTCAACAGTAGACTCAGTAGACTGGTGCTCCACCTTTCAGGAATCTAATACAGTCCATCTCGTTCAGAGTCTTGTCTGCGGCGCTGTATGCCATGTCACCAAGGTAGCTATGCAAAGCTGGGACCGAACAAGATGTTTCTCTCCGCAGTAACAAACTACCTCAAGGCTGGCTTGACATGGCTTGACATGGCTTGACAAGAAGAATCACGTTTGTGTTTAGCAATTGAGGTGGATGAGCTGGAACCGGGGCAGCTTGACGAAGCTCTTGGATTCACCCAACAGCTCATGAAGGAGGTTGGGTATAGGGGGATGCTATGTATGCTGCAGCAGCGCAGAGATATCATGACAGGCCGCTTTGACTTGAAGAGTTGAGATGTCATTTCAAGACGCGTGCAGGAGTTGTCTCCAGGAGTTTGAGGTCTGATCTTAATTAAGCAGACCAAGCAATGAAACTGGACATCAAAATGTTTGCAAAGTATGTGGGATTGAGATGGCTTGTTTGAGTCAGAATTGTTACACGTTACAACACATTACAAAATAAATGAAGTGCTGAAAGAAGATGAAAGAAGTGTCATGGCACCAGGCGGGTGAGGACTTGGCTCCACTTGACCAGCTCTACTCAGTGGAACGCTCAGCTGAAAACTTTGGTGAACAAAATGTGGAATGAATCAAGGAGATCAAGGAGATCAAGGACTGTCTCGTCATTTTTCTGCCACGCATCTGAACTCAGGTCCTTCGCGAGAAGGCCGTCTGCTCCGCGAAATGCCACACCGCAAGGGACAGTGCAGAAATTAGACTATCTTATCAGACTATATCAGACTCACTCCTCAGGAGGTCAGATTTGGCGAATAGTAGGAGTCACATCATTCCAAGAGTGCAGGTTTTTGTCCAAACTTAGCTTGGGAAGCTTCACACTGTATCATACCAGTGTAGTACCCGCACGAGGCGGGGCGGAAGTTGCCTTAAGGTTATACTATAAGACCTTTTTCATCTATAGAACTTACGTGGGCTGTGCGCAACCCAGGCCCATGCCTGAATGCTTTCGGCGAATCTGCTGCACTGTTGTTGTCAAGGTCAGGACTCGCACACGAACATCTTGCAATGCAACGCCAAGCGACACTTTGCGTTCCGAAGGTCACACTTGAAACTCCACCCTTCACACTGCACACTTCATCTCTTCTCATCTCTTCTCATCTCTTCTCGTCTCTTCTCATCTCTTCTCATCTCTTCTCATCTCTTCTCGTCTCTTCTCGTCTCTTCTCATCATATGTCATTCAACTTCTCAACTATTTTAGTTGTTCTCATCTCATGGAAGCTCCTGTGTGCAGGCGGGTGAGTAGAGCGCTGTACAAAGCAGGCAGGACCAAAACAGTAAGAAGCGGTGCGTAGTTTTGTACATGTTCTTTTTAACATGTATAACTGTATAACATTTGACAGCTATTGACAGCTATAGGGCGCATATTGCGTTTGTGTTTTCCATGGGATTAGTCATTGCCAAAATGCACATATATACACACATGAATTTCACCAAACCTTGACCTCCTCAATGGCCCTCATCTTCAATGTTCAAGGCTCCTTGCATGTCGTACTGAAGTGTCAGGGTCATTGAGTTTGTAGAAGGGGGTGAAATCTGGTGAAAAGGTAATCAAACCTCCACCTACTTCAAATGAGGAGTGCGAATCAAATGTTCCAACAGAAACCAGGCCGCATCAGGCAGCAATTTGTGGCCACTGCGATCGCTTCTAATCCTGCCACCAAGTCACTACTGACGTTTCACTTGAGCGTTTGGTTCTGAAAGGAAGAGTTGGAAGGACCAAAGCAAAAGACTCATGCTGAGCTCATGCTGAACGAGTAGAGACGTGGTTGACAGAACAAGCATGTGAATTGCTAGTGAAGATATCCTTATCATGAGTTATCATGTGAGCATCTGTGAGTATGTCAATTTGTGGCATGTGATGGCCAATGTGGCCAATAACCTTCCCCTGCGCGATGGAACCCACATGATCCAATGGGATCCAAGTATCAGAAACAGAAAAAGTGAAGGAAAAGTGAAAAGACAAAAAACAAACCTGATGATTCCTGCAGATATGGGCAAATAAATTAAAATAAACTCTAGAGATGACTGGCAGATAGTTCCTTTTGAGTCATCTTTTGACATCTTTGACCACAGTTTCAGGTTCAAGAGACATGAATTCATGCAAAATTGCAAGGCTTCATAAACTCATCGTTCTACATGTGTGAGCCAAGGGTCCTCATGCAGACCAAGCATCAACGACGTGCACAATTCAAGGAAGATAAACGAGAGCTGTGACATGTCAAAGACACCTTGAAAGACGGTACAAGCTAACTCCGTCGCAGCAACTTTGACATCACCATGACGCTGCGCATGATCTTCAGTATCCAAGGTGCCGTGGAACTTTTATTTGTGAACATTCGTGGATCTGGTAGAGCAAAGACAACACACAAGGAAAGCGATCTAAATCTGGAGATGGATTTGGCATGATCGTAACGCGGGCCTTAAAAGGATTTAAAAGGAGCATTCCTGATTTAAATCACGTACCACGTCCAGCAGTTTCAGCTAGCAGCAGCTAGTAGTTATACTTTCAGTGGTTCTTCATATTTGTAATGGTTCTATTTGTTTCTTTCAGTCTCACATGTATATATATATATGATATTCACATATAGTCACATGATCTTGTTTCTACACACAATAACTCAGTGCTAAAGATTGCAAATGAATGAAATCATTGCCACCCCATCGTCCACCTTCCAAATGCCCGGGGATGTCGAATTTGATGGTGCACATGCCGAAGGCTTCAATCGACTTACAGCCTTCGCCACAGGACGGGTCTCACTGTGTTTAAGACTTTCACAATTTCCTTCGGGTGGTTGGGATTTTGCAAACTGTCCATTTTGTGCAAGGCTTAGAACGTCTGACTGCTATTGATTGGTCCACAGCAGTATATTTATACATCCAGATGGGCTATACTGGAGATAGTGCTTGCATCATCTTAAATCATAGGCAGTGCCTGATTTTGAGGAGCAGCAGGTGGATATGCGTTCACGAATCCCGACGTGGACAACGTCCAGATTCCAAGCCAGAATGCAGGGATGGAGTGGCCAGTTGTCCCAAATCGTTGGAGTGGGTGAAGGTTTGCAAGATTTATCATCGTACTAGTAGTTGAAACTTCTCTCAAATAGCAAAACTTAGAATCAGGAGTTGTGCACGGGCGTGGATTGACAGCTTGCACAAATCATTGACACACACACACATATATATATACACATGTGTGTTTAAGTTCGGCACGAGTTGGGAAACCACGCTGAAGGCACTGTGCATGGCATCATTTCTACCTTAAAGCATCTTAAAGCGGTCCAGGTGGCACTTCTAGGTGTTTTTTCCGGAAACAAGCAAGTACTTTAACTACCAAACAATTTGACCACCTGAGGTCTACGATATTTTCCCGCTGCACAAGCCGCACTCTGAAATTGTGCGAGACATGAAAGATGCGTCAGACTAATTCGTAAAGTAGATTGCTTGCTGTGTTAGAGAAACTGAAAAAAAATAACTTGCGGACTGCAGTCTTGCCAAAAGGTTCGCAGAAGTTTTGTAGGGTTTCGAAAGATAGTGCGTTTGGCTTGGAGCTGAATAGAATCAGATGAAACAGTGAAGAATGGAGTCATGATGAGTCGTGTTTCCAAGGCCACCTCCGTATGCCTTCCTCAATTTGCGCAGCACTCAGTTGCCGGGCTGGACGTGTACCAGCACATTTCGACCATTGGGCAACAGGCGCGAGTTTTGGGATCCGGTATTGCTTGTTCAAGGTGCTATTGGTGTTGCTTCAAAAGTGTTAGATTTGACAGTATTGTGGAGTAGGGACCTATAGCGTATGTGGATATGCCATGATGTGTAGAATTACTTTAACGCAGCTGAGGTACAAGGTGAGGGAGGAAGACAAGCACGAATTCGAACAGAGCTGGAAGGATGTCTCCTTGCCACGGCAGTCCATGGCATGCCATGGCAGCTTACGAAATTCGTATCATTGTGTGATTGCATTTGGTTGATCGTGTTTCAGGGCTCCATCAAATGATCGCTTAATTGGTAGGAGGTCGCCAAGTTCAACCAGCGGCAAGAAGGATATTTGTTCACCAGGTGGGGGCCCGGGGGTCGAATGAGTCTGTCACAGTGCTGTGAGATGTTCATGTTGCGCAGTGGAGCAAACTGAATCTTTCTTCATGTCAGAGAATGTTCCCCATAGCATAGCAACAGCAATTTCAAGCACTCAAGAAAACATTCAAAAGCTTGACATACTATGCCGGGTGCTATGGCGCGTGCTTGGGCCATTCTCACAGTGACAGGTTTATGAAGGCAGATCCACGTGCGGCGCCTTAGCGTTGGGATCCTGCGACTACGATACCGCACTGGCTGAGAAAGGTTGAGAAATGGTTTGTGTGAACCTTGCTATGCATGCTATGCGTTTTACAATGCTTTACACATAGTGACATAGTAGCACCATATGTTCAACAGCTATAAATCTAACCTCGGTCCTTCCTCTACTCTGCTGCATTTGAGGTGCAGAAGGCTATGAGAACCGAAGGTACTGCCAACTTGAACCCTCAGAAATCCCCAGAAGCTACTGTGATATATTTATATTGTGACAAGTTCATGTGCTGGGTTGTGAGGATAGACTGTGAAGCTTGTTTTGTCAATGACATGAGGGATGGACAAACCACGGGAGCATCGCAGAGAGTTTGCCACAAGAGATTCCTTTGAATCCCGACTCCTGGGTCGTGTCACCAGTGCAAAATAGTGCAAACATGGAAACGTTTGAATTTCGCCAATGGATTTGTGCAGCAAAGTTGTGCCAGTTATGACTACATTGACATAGTACAGTGGACCACTGGTGATGCCCAGCGACGGGCTACATTGAGGCCTGGTGGGAAGTTTGGGATCAGTGCTAAACCGCTTAACGCCATGGAGTATTTCTAGGAACTTACTGAACCTTTGAAGATGGTCAGCCAAAGTCCCAGCACTGCAAGTCTGACGTGAAAGCAGTCAGTTTGGAAGTCCCATGCATTCAAGCTGCACAAAACATGTAACAAAATGTGACAAAGTTTGATGTGTAATCTTCTTGGATGAAGACCTTTTGGTTGGGTACACCTGCTTCAGATCAGCCAGGTCAGCCTATACGGAGTTGGAAAAGAAGATGCCAACTCCCAAGGATGCACACCTCAACAAACCTCAACATGACGCATTCTCTTCGGTGGTTAGTGCTATGCAAAAGCAGGGTCAGTATGGTCAGTACTCTTTGTTTGTACAGTACTTGCGCATTTGACTTGCATGAGGTTGTTGACATTTTTTCGCCGGGAAAACGACGAGCATGTCAGGTCAGGAACATTAACTAGCATGTCAGGTCAGGAACATTGCGTACATGCAGGTGTAGTAAGGCAGAAACAAGGAGTCTGAAGGATTTTCCTCCTGTGCGAACACTTTACCAAACATGGGTTCTCAAGCTTTCAAAAATAAGTCTCTATAAAAGCAAGACGAAGCAATCCTGCCAGATGTTACACTCTCTGTTTGTGTCTCTCTCTCTCTCTCTCTCGCTCTCTCTCTCCAGCCTTTGTTTGAACTAGAGGCCATCTAATTCTTATTGAAAAGCACATTCCATCACAGGCCCTCGATTGAAAAAGGAATATGAAACATTATGAAACAAAAACACGTTGATTGAAGGCTGAAAGCATGGTCTTCGGACTTCCCATTGCGTTCACCTGCTACTTTGGTGTGCGAATGTCGCCCTATCACCATCCACTGTCGCTTTAAAATGCTTTAAAAACATTCAAAAACAAAAAAATGGCTCAGTGTCGCACTGATTACGTAGTCCTTGCACGTTCAAACCAGGCCTTATTATTATAGCTGCGTTGAAACTGAGAAGCATTGGGAGGCAACTCGCATGACTTGAGGCCTGGTGAGAGACTGGAGTCCCTGTCTCAGGATGACTTGACTGAAGCCTCCTTCGGCTTCACAAAATTTTGGAGTGTTGCTGTTGCTAGTGTTGCATGAAGCTTCAAGGAGAAGTAGGAATGCTTTTCACTGTTTACCAAGAGGCCTGGACCATTCCCTCCATGCACAGTTGACAGGTTTGATCAGCACTTGGTCAGGTCAATATTTGAAAAGGAGCACGGTTGGACAACTGTTGTATAAGGGCCAATATTTGCCGGAGGCAATAAGAGAAACACTGTTTGGGAGGACCTTGTACTTGTAGGATCCTACAAAGCTGTTGTCCAGGGGTTGTCATGTTGCTAGAACGGTGCATTGGTGCATATATGTGTCAAATATAATTGACACTTGCAAAAATGTTGCAGCGGTATGCCAGAGGGTCTCTTCAACTACTATTCTGATACAGAAGGATGGCAGCCCGACTAGCATATTGGAGGGCTGCGAAATACCATAGCTTTGGTAGAGGGTGGTAGAGGTTGAGACAACGTAAAATGATGCTGACCAAGCAACTCCTAACTTTGGACTGCGTCCAATTTCCTGGACAAAGCACATCAAAGCACCATGAAACTCCCACTAGTGGCTATACTGGCTATACTTGTACTGTGTGGTTGGACTTAAAGAACTCCACTGAGGGCGCCCATGATGTTCAGCTCAGTGGTCGATGATACACAGAAGACGCCCACGTAGGTGCCATGGTCGAGGGCATGGGATGGTGCGGGCACATGCCATACATCCCATGCCTGGCGAATGCCCTGGATGCCAAGACTTGGCAAAATCGGTTGATTCTTTGCATTTCTTTTGACAAGGTGACAAGGTGACAAGGTGAACATGTTCAAGAAACCAAACAAACAGGATATTGTTTGAGAGTGTTCAATGTTCGCGTCACTTTGTGGGAAAAGCATGGAAAAGCCATACCATCATCAATCTCTGAGCCTTTTTGAACGAATCGAGCGAAGTGGATCTGTGCAGGGGCATACATTATTGATCCATATTGCGTGCAAAGTTCAAAATCCAAAGAAATCCATGAGTTCAGACTGTTTCCTTCAGTATGATCAGTATGCAGGTCCTGTTTCTTGACAGACAGTAAGTAAATTATCTCAGCACATATTATGGCGTCCATCGGTCTATCTGTCTAATAATATAAATAATATAATATATATAATTATATAATATATTATATATATATATATGTATATACATAATATATAAATACCTAAAATGAGTTTCCATACATCTATTTGTCAAATGATATAAATATATAATACACAAATACCTGAAACCGGTATCCATCCATCTATCTGTCCAATATTATAAAAATGCCAATATGATATATTTATATATATTTCATAATATTAAGATATCTTAAGTATATTTCATGATGATTTCTCCTATCAAATCTTCGAAGTTTTGCCTTGAGCCTCTCCCACTGGTTCCTGTCCCACTTCACCGACCAGCCCGAAGGTGCATCAGTTTTCACGCTAGCCGCCACGTTCTTCGGCTCTTGAGCCTGGTGCGTTAGTGGCACAGCGACTGGTTGCGACTGACAAAAGATTTGGTGCCTGCTTCTCACATCTTCTCACTTCGATATAAGGGAGAAATAACGTCGGCAAGATGAAATGAATTGCGTGATACCTAGGACCTAGGACATGTTTGTTTCTTGGATCATGTGCATGTGCCAACAATGATGGGCGTTGATGTTCGTGGATCAACAAGACGCGACTTTCAATGTAGTTTTGCAGACATGGCAAAAGTGTATCATCAACGTCCAGATTGGGTTTCAACGTCAAATCAATTAAATATTCTTTGCCAAGCCGTGTTGAGGATGTTGGTCATGCTGCAAGATGGTATTTATGCCGCCCAGTGTCACTCATGAGTACTCCTGCGGCAGATTTCAAGGCCCTAGCATCACTAGCAATACCAGTGCAACTGTTGATTTGCTGCACTGATCTTAAAGATCCTTTGTGGATCTTTGAGCCAAAGAGTTCCTTCACACTGAAGGCATGCGTTTTTGACGGTTTCACTTGTTTCACACACAAGTTACAGGTCATATACACAAGTAATGTATATGTCTAACTGTCCGGCTTAGCATATTCATGTGTCACTTTCCTGGCAGACCTTTTTAGATCAAGACCTTGTCAATAGGAACGCTTGTCCTGTCTAGATCTGTTTAGTACAGGAGTTGCTTGGAGTGAAATTGAGGTGCTCGCTGTTGCCTGCTGCTGGGTTTTGATAGCTTATATAGATACAAAATCTCAGCAAGGCCTGATTTTATTGCAAGGTTTTGGCATGTTTCAGTGTGTCGAACACCTATATCAAAGGTGTTCAAGATTTAGCATTTGCTGTGGACAGTGGCATCAGTACATGGGAGGGGGTTGAAGATGAGAGAATTTATGGTTCGGGCGTGTTCATTCGCACTATTCTCACATATTCTCACTGTACACAACTGCTATGCGTGGAGGTTTCCTTTTATGGCGGCCTGCGCTCAGCATTTTATTTTTCAAGAAAGTGAGGACAAGGCTCGGCTCTGCCAGGTTTTGGGTGACGACTTTGCCATATGGGCCATATGGGGTTCCCATGGGTTCCCGGTATTGTGCCGATCTAGCTTCACCGTAACTGGGAAGACATCGAAACAATGCCCAGGGCTAGATTTTTTCAGAAATGCGCAGAGAAATGAAATGATCGACAATTTTCATTCCGTACAAGTTCATCATAGTTGATCTCTGGTGACTTTGTGTTCTCTAATCATGCTTTTGGTAGTAGCAAACAAGGTGCCTTCAGATCCGTCAGGTTCTTGTGTTCGAGGTTGTGGCTGTGGAGTCACAGCCAGAGCCCGAGGACATGGCATTCAGATCCCCGGCATTGCCTCGGCATTGCCCTCATTTTATGCAACTGTTGCTTACGAAAAACTGGACTAGATGACTGTGAGAAACTTGAACTGGTCAAGCAACAAGTCAGAAAACTGTCAACCCTTCCAGCACTCAAGCGTCAATAGAAACATTGCATTTTCAACTTCCATACTTGCAAAGACATTCACAGTCAACATCCTAGGGAGAAATGACGCATGAGTTCATTGCCTTGGCGTCTTAGTGTTAACGGGAAAAAACGGGAAAGGTACAGGTAGGAAGCGGGGGTCCTTGCAGGCTTTCCATGTTTTCCATATATGTTCATCCTTTTCATGTTTTTGAGTTGCGCTTCTGGATGCAACATGTCTCCGACGCTGCTTTCTGTGGTGAACATGCTATATCATGCTATCAACTCTATCAAACCTTATTGTACAAACCAAATGGTGCACTTCATGTCGGGGATTTCCATCACGATGCAGCAAACATGGCGCGTGGCTTTGATGTAGGGGGCTAGTGCGTTCGCCTGCGTGTTACTCGCGCTGCCACTCGCAGCGCTCACCTTTGCGTGCGCAGGAGAGTGACTCAGATGGAGTTGAAAGACACATCCTTGAAGCCCTGAAGGCCGGCAGGGCACCGCATGTGGAACCGTTTTCTGGGCGCTGAGTTTGGGAATCGGATCGGGCAAGCCTTTGGCCTCTACCTTAAAAAATGTCTAACATCTGCCAGAGCTTCTACCAGACGTTTTGCTTTGGTCACTTTTGTCATGGATCAGCATGGATCCCTGAGATCCCTAGAAGTGAGCTGTTCAGTTTTTTCCCGAATGCGTAGCGAAGGGTTCCCATTTATAGTCTGGGGGTCCGGGGGCTGGACCCTTGTTCGCCTCCAGTTGGTCGTCGCGTCGTTTTCGCTTTTTTTCGCGTCGTTTTTGCGTCGTTTTCGCGTCGTTAATTCCGTCTCTATGGGGAAAGCTGCAAAACCTCGGTCGTTTTGATGCGCTCACGTCGCCGTGTCTATGGGGAAGCTGCCAAACCTCAGTCTCTGCTTTTCCTCTGGCGTCGCCGTGTCTATAGGGAAAGCTGCGACTTTGTGCAAGCTTTCTAGCTGGGAACTGCTTTGTGCAAGCTTTGTAGTACACAGTAGTACTGGGAACGTGTTTGTGCAAGCTTCGTAGTATACAGTAGTGCTGGGAACTGCTTTGTGCAAACTTTGTAGTACACAGTAGTACTGGGAACGTGTCTGTGCAATGTTTGTAGTACACAGTAGTGCTGGGAACTGCTTTGTGCAAACTTTGTAGTACACAGTAGTACTGGGAACGTGTCTGTGCAATGTTTGTAGTACACAGTAATTAGTGGGAAGTGCTCTCTGCAAGCTTTGTAGTACACAGTAGTACTGGGAACGACTTTGCGCAAGCTTTGTAGCACACAGTAGTACTGGGAAGTGCTTTCTGCAAGCTTTGTAGTACACAGTAGTACTGGGAACGTGTTTGTGTAAGCTTTGTAGAACACAGTAGTACTGGGAACGACTTTGTGCAAGCTTTGTAGTACACAGTAGTACTGGGAACGACTTTGTGCAAGCTTTGTAGTACACAGTAGTACTGGGAAGTGCTTTCTGCAAGCTTTGTAGTACACAGTAGTCCTGGGAACGTGTTTGTGCAAGCTTTGTAGTACACAGTAGTACTGAGAACGACTTTGTGCAAGCTTTGCAGTACACAGTAGTACTGGGAACGTGTTTGTGCAACCTTTGTAGTACGCAGTGGTACTGGGAACGTGTTTGTGCAAGCTTTGTAGTACACAGTAGTACTGGGAACGTGTTTGTGCAAGCTTTGTAGTACACAGTAGTACTGGGAACGTGTTTGTGCAAGCTTTGTAGTACACAGTAGTACTGGGAAGTGCTTTCTGCAAGCTTTGTAGTAGACAGTAGTACTGGGAACGTGTTTGTGCAAGCTTTGTAGTACACAGTAGTACTGGGAACGTGTTTGCGCAAGCTTTGTAGTACACAGTAGTACTGGGAACGTGTCTGTGCAATGTTTGTAGTACACAGTATAGTACTGGGAATTGCTTTCTGCAAGCTTTGTAGTACACAGTAGTACTGGGAACGTGTTTGTGCAAGCTTTGTAGTACACAGTAGTACTGGGAACGTGTTTGTGCAAGTTTTGTAGTACACAGTAGTACTGGGAACGACTTTGTGCAAGCTTTGTAGTACACAGTAGTACTGGGAACGTGTTTGTGCAAGCTTTGTAGTACACATTAGTACTTTTTAACGTGTGTGTGCAAGTTTTGTAGTACACAGTAGTACTGGGAACGACTTTGTGCAAGCTTTGTAGTACACAGTAGTACTGGGAACGTGTTTGTGCAAGCTTTGTAGTACGCAGTGGTACTGGGAACGTGTTTGTGCAAGCTTTGTAGTATACAGTAGTACTGGGAACGTGTCTGTGCAATGTTTGTAGTACACAGTAGTGGGAAGTGCTTTGTGCAAGCTTTGTAGTACACAGTAGTACTGGGAACGACTTTGCGCACGCTTTGTAGTACACAGTAGTACTGGGAAGTGCTTTCTGCAAGCTTTGTAGTACACAGTAGTACTGGGAACGTGTTTGTGTAAGCTTTGTAGAAAACAGTAGTACTGGGAACGACTTTGTGCAAGCTTTGTAGTACACAGTAGTACTGGGAACGACTTTGTGCAAGCTTTGTAGTACACAGTAGTACTGGGAAGTGCTTTCTGCAAGCTTTGTAGTACACAGTAGTACTGGGAACGTGTTTGTGCAAGCTTTGTAGTACACAGTAGTACTGGGAACTGCTTTGTGCAAGCTTTGTAGTACACAGTAGTACTGGGAACGTGTTTGTGCAAGCTTTGTAGTATACAGTAGTACTGGGAACGTGTTTGTGCAAGCTCTGTTGTGCACAGTAGTAGTGGGAACGACTTTGTGCAAGCTTTGTAGTACACAGTAGTACTGGGACGACTTTGTGCAAGCTTTGTACTACACAGTAGTACTGGGAACGTGTTTGCGCAAGCTTTGTAGTACACAGTAGTACTGGGAACGTGTTTGCGCAAGCTTTGTAGTACACAGTAGTACTGGGAACGTGTTTGTGCAAGCTTTGTAGTACACAGTAGTACTGGGAACTGCTTTGTGCAAGCTTTGTAGTACACAGTAGTACTGGGAACGTGTTTGTGCAAGCTTTGTAGTATACAGTAGTACTGGGAACGTGTCTGTGCAATGTTTGTAGTACACAGTAGTACTGGGAACGACTTTCTGCAAGCTTTGCAGTACCCAGTAGTACTGGGAACGTGTTTGTGCAATGTTTGTAGTACACAGTAGTACTGGGAACGTATTTGTGCAAGCTTTGTAGTACACAGTAGTACTGGGAACGTGTTTGTGCAATGTTTGTAATACACAGTAGTACTGGGAAGTGCTTTGTGCAAGCTTTGTAGTACACTGCGTAGCGAATGGTTCCCGTTTATAGTCTGGGTGTCTGGGGGCTGGACCCTTGTCAGCCTCCAGTTGCTCGTCGCGTCTTTTTCGCTTCATTTTCGCGTCGTTTTTGCGTCGTTTTTTGCGTCGTTAATTCCGTGTCTGTGGAGGAAGCTGCAAAGCCTCGCTTGTGTTGCTGCGCTCACGTCGCCGTGTCTATGGGGGAAGCTGCAAAACGTATCTCGTCTCGAGTTTCTGCTTGTCTTCTGCCGTCGCCGTGTCTATGGGGAAAGCTGCAAAGCCTCGTCTCGAGTTTCTGCTTGTCCTCTGGCGTCGCCATGTCTATGGGGGAAGCTGCCAAGCCTCGCTTGTTTTGCTGTGCTCACGTCGCCGTGTCTATGGGGGAAACTGCAAAACCTCGCTCGTTTTGCTGCGTCGAGTCCCTGCTAGTACTGGGAAGTAGTTTGTGCAAGCTTTGCAGTACACAGTACTGGGAAGTGTTTTGTGCAAGCTTTATAGTACAATGTAGTACTGGGAACGTGTTTGTGCAAGCTTTGTAGTACACAGTAGTATTGAGAACGACTTTGTGCAAGCTTTGTAGGACACAGTAGTACAGGGAAGTGCTCTCCGCAAGCTTTGTAGTACACAGTAGTGCTCGGAACGTGTTTGTGCAAGCTCTGCAGTACACAGTAGTACTAGGAAGTGCTTTGTGCAAGCTTTGTAGTACACAGTAGTACTGGGAACGTGTCTGTGCAATGTTTGTAGTACACAGTATAGTACTGGGAAGTGCTTTCTGCAAGATTCGTAGTACACAGTAGTACTTGGAAGTGTTTTGTGCAAGCTTTGTAGTACAAAGTAGTGCTGGGAAGTGCTTCGTGCAAACTGTATAGTACAAAGTAGTACTGGGAAGTAGTTTGTGCAAACTTTGGGTAAAGTGAGGAGTGTGGAGTGTAAAGTGAGGAGTGGGGTGTGTAGAGTGTGTAAAGTGTAAAGTGTGGAGTGTCGGGTGTAAAGTGTAGAGTGTCAAGTGTAGAGTGTGGAGTGTAGAGTGTAGAGTGTGGAGTGTGAAGTGGAAAGTGTAGAGTATGGAGTGTGGAGTGCGGAGTGTAAAGTAAGGAGTGTGGTGTGTGTAGAGTGCGTTGCAGTGTGGAGTGTGGAGTGTGGAGTGTAGTGTGCGGAGTGTGTGGAGTGTGTGGAGTGTGTGGGGTGTAGTGTGGAGTGTAGTGTGGCGTGAGGAGTGTGGAGTGGGTAAAGTGTGGAGTGGGTAAAGTGTGGAGTGGGTAAAGTGTGGAGTGTGGAGTGTACAGTGTGGAGTGTAAAGTGTAGAGTGTGGAGTGTAAAGTGTAAAGTGTAAAGTGTAAAGTGTGTAGTGTAAAGTGCGGAGTGAAGAGTGTAAAGTGGAAAGCGTGGCGTGTAAAGTGTAAAGTGTGGAGTTCAGAGTGTAAAGTATAGAGTGTAAAGTGTGGAGTGTAGAGTGTGGAGTGAGTAGTGCAAAGTGTAAAGTGTGGAGTGTAAAGTGTAAAGCGTGGAGTGTGGAGTGTAAAGTGTAAAGTGTGGAGTGTGAAGTGTAGAGTGTAAAGTGTAGAGTGTGGAGTGTTGAGTGAGGAGTGTGGTGTTTGTAGAGTGTAAAGCGTAGAGTGTAAAGCGTAGAGTGTAAAGCGTAGAGTGTAAAGCGTAGAGTGTAAAGCGTAGAGTGTAAAGTGTAGAGTGTGGAGTGTGGAGTGTACAGTGTTGAGTATGGATTGGGGAGCGTAAAGTGTGGAGTGTGGAGTGTAAAGTGTGGAGTGTAAAGTGTGGAGTGTGGAGTGTGGAGTGGAAAGTGGCGAGTGTGGAGTGTAGAGTGCAAAGTTTAGAGTGTGGAGTGTAAAGTGTAAAGTGCGGAGTGTGGAGTGTAAAGTGTGGAGTGCGGAGTGTGGAGTGAGGAGTTTGGTGTGTGTGTGTGTAGAGTGTGGAGTGCGGAGTGTGGTGGCGTTTGGAGTGTTGTGGAGTGTGGAGTGTGGAGTTCAGGGTATGGAGTTTGGAGTGAGGAGTGTGGAGTGTAAAGTGTGGAGTGTGCAGTGTGTAAAGTGTGGAGTGTGCAGTGTAGTGTGTGGAGTGCGGAGTGTAAAGTGTAGAGTGTGTAGTGTGGAGTGTAGAGTGTGGGGTGAGGAGTGTAAAGTGCAGCATGGAGTGTAAAGTGTGGAGTGTAGAGTGTAAAGTGCAGAGTGTAAAGTGT